CGACGGCATCGAAGGCCGCTGAGAGGTCCAGCAGCACCAACAGGGACACACTCCCCCTGTCGAGCTCCCGGCGCAGATCATCCACTAAGGCGACCAAGGCTGTCTCGGTACCATGTCCCGGCCTAAAGCCAGACTGTGCCGGATCCAGATAATCCGTGTCTACCAAGAATGCCTGGAGTTGTGAGGCCACCACACGTTCCATGACTTTGCCCAAAAAGGGGAGATTGGAAACAGGCCGATAGTTGACGAATTGAGTGGGGTCCAGTGATGGTTTCTTCAACAGCGGTTTATCACAGCTTGCTTTAAGCTGGCTGGAAATATGCCTTCCCGAAGGGAGGCATTAACCACCACCTTTAACCCACTCGGCCAATCCCCCTCTGGCCTCCTTTAGAAGCCAGGATGGGCAGGGGTCTAGGATGCATGTGGTAGCTCTCATTCCTCCAAGCACCTTGTCCACATCCTCGGATTGAACCAATTGAAATGAATCCATCAAAACTGGACAAGCAGATGCTCGTGTTACATCCTCAGAGACTGCCGTTAATATGGTATCACTGAGAAGGCCCTGTCTCTTGTCCCTGCCAGCCGCATTTGTGAGGCCGGCGGGACCAAGAGCAGGGCCTCCCCAGATGATCTTAGTCTTATTTGTATCTTCCATGCTGACAACAGATTCGGTTTGCAATTAAAGGTGTCTTGTCAATGATTGTAGCAATGTATCATAAATTGTGCTGATTAAGTCAGTACTCAGCAGACAATTCTTAGTGTTATTCTGACAACACACAACCACATGTATCTGGGAGCTGATATCACCATTTTATTTTCCATTTATTTTGGTAGGTCCCTCGAGCCTTTGTGAACCTGGTGTCAATTCTTCATATTACAGTTCTAAGGAAACTTTATCAGGAGACAAAAGTTTACTGCCCACGAACGATTACAAGGTTTGAAATCAATCCATATGTTAAGTTCTGTACATTTCAGCAAAACATGCAGTGCTTCTAAAAATTTGTGCTCACTTGGGAAATAGGTAACTGCTTGCTCTGGGAGGAGGCTTCTCGCCATGCTTCCAATAGAGTAGACTGCAGTCTGCCCACAAAAGCATATGAATAAATTCTATTTTTTCACTTAGTCTCAAAGGTGCTACAGGATCCCTGCATATCTTTTTTTAAATGCTGAAACAGACTATCCTAACTGGTTGTATTTTGATAAATGTACACAAGTATATGAATGTAATACACATGTTTTGGGTATACATATAATAACATACATTTATGAACCTGGGAGAAAAATCAATTTAGAAGTTACACAAAACTTCATTGTGATGTTAGTTAAATATTAGAAATTTCAAATATTGTGTTTTTTAGGGGGACACCTTTGGCCTTTTTTTAAAATTCAGGACTGACTCTTCACTGAGTGGTCATGGCATCCTCATATGTTAGAGGTAGTCTTTCTGCCTAAAAATGACTATCTAAAACTCCTCTAAAAGAGACCCTTTATTAAATGATGTCATTGTTTTAAGGGTGTCTCAGAAAGTATCACCCAAAACCTAAAGCTGAAATGCTCTAAACCAGGGGTGTCAAACTCATTTTCATTGAGGGCCACATCAGTCTTACGGTAGCCTTCAAAGGGTGAATCCATGGAAGGGGAATAATTTCCCCCTCTTTGTGGGTGATGCTCTTCAGCTTTTACCCAATTTGGGTTCCCAGATGTTACTGAACAACAGTTCCCATCACCATTGATAATCTGGCATATGGATAGGGGATAATGGGAATTGCCACCCAATAGCACTTGTAGCTCTGAGAATGAGGAAACGTTAAAGGACATTTTAAAGTCAGACATCATATCCACACACCTTGTGTCTAAATTCAAACCCAACTATCCTGACTAAACCAAACAAACGGCAGACTTCCAGATGTTACTATGTCACAACTCCCATCAGTACTACTCACAATGTCTAATGGTGAGAAACACAAGAATTGTAGTCCAACATCTGGAGGGCCGTATAAAATGGCCTGACAGGTTGGATTCAGCCCAAGTGCTCTTATACCAATGTATAGCATGGCGAAATGAGATAAGTTGCCATTTTGAAAGTAATAATAATAATAATCTTTATTTATAACCCTTCCTATCTTCCCATGGGGACCTAGTACCCTTCCAAATACTTTAGATATTTTTTTCTTGCCCAGATGTGAAAAAAATCTCTTTTCAAAATGAAGAAGTCAGAGCAAGGAACTGTGATCTCAATATAGAGCTTGCATGTAGTAAAGGGAAAATATCTGTCAAGATGTACTTGTCTAAATATTGGGTACAGGGCCTATAAAAGAGTATGAGAGAATAGATTTAATTGTCTTGGCATACAGCTGTAAGGACAGGAAAGTGCCCATCAGTTTACATTACTCAGCTCACATGCTGTTTGTTTATGCTGTTTGAGCCAGCATGGCATACTATTTTAACTTACTTAGGTGATCCCTCGTAGTTCAAGAATGATGGTCCTCCAAGTGATGTGTCTTGGCAGTGGATACGTAGTTGGCTGTGGAGCCCTATTTTTGACCTGCATGTTCTCCCACAATGAGGGCATTAGTTTCCAGGTGGAAGGTGGTCCCAGTCGGGGTTGACTTGACATGCCTTCCTCTTGGCACATTTCTCTCTTTCACTCTCCATTCATGCCTCTTCATATTCTACAGCACTGCTGGTCACAGCTGACCTCCAGCTAGAGCACTCAAGGGCCAGGGCTTCCCAGTTCTTGGTGTCTATGCCAGTTTTTAAGGTTGGCTTTGAGCTCATCTTTAAATCTCTTTTCCTGTCCATGAACACTCTGTTTCCCATTCTTGAGTAGAGTAGCTGCTTTGGGAGACGGTTATCAGGTATTCAGACAATGTGGCCAGTCCAGCGGAGTTGATGGAAGAGACCCTTGCTTCAATGCTGGTGGTCTTTTGCTGTGATGAGGGGGCTTGCGTGTTCCAATGAACCTGCGGGCACAACGACTGGAGTTGTGCAGTCCCAGGAATGGCTGCAGGGGAGGTTCCAGCCTAAGCATAATCCGAAGACCCAACAGCAGAGCAGGCGGAGGTAACATAGTACATGTTACAATGGCTGTGAAGTGTTGTAAGCATTGTGTTATGACTCTGGATACCAGGATTCAGTTTCCAGCTCAGCCATGAAATCTATTGGTTGACTTTGGCCAAGTCATGTATTTTCAGCATCAGAAAACTCCATGATAGGTTCACATTAGTTTGTCATTAGTTGAAATAACTTGAAGCCACACTTTGACAAAAAATGCTGTTTGTTGTCAAAATAGTATACACTATATATAAATTAAATAATCCAAGAATGTAGTTCATAGTGGATAAAGCCAATGGAGAATTGAACTATTTAATGCGTCTGAGGTTCAGCTTGTCTAAGAAAGGATGTTAAGTTTTATTTCATTGTGAATTGAAATGCATTTTATGGTTGTAATACCAGCACACACATGGAGTCTACATAAATCACTGTATATTTGGCTTAAGCCAATAAGAATACTCCTCTTGCCTTCCCAACTTCTCAGTTCTTACTCATAATGAATCAAGTCATATGGGAAGGCTAGAAAAGGTTACCAGTATCTTGAGATAATCATTTTGCTAAGGGAACAGAGAAAGTGATCTCTAATCTCTTAGGCTTTCACCTAGCCCTTGTCTGATTATTAGAATTTTGTGATAAGCTTGTATCCACAGCCCGTGACATTTGTTAAAGAAAACCTGCAAATAAGACATTAATGTAGTACACAGCAGGAGAATCTAACCTTTTTGAACTGAGGAAATGTTGTGAGCTTGTCAAAAAAATATGTGCTGATTACAGGGTCAAACTAGGCAATATGCTTAATCAGTAAATACGTGTGGTGCTTCCTAAAGGAATGAAAAATGTCTACTTCTCCTAACACGTGCCTTCTCACATTTCCATATCCTGCATTCGCCCATGCTTTCTTTTGTGTTTGGTCATTAGAAAGTGAACATATTTGCAAGCCTAGTTGCTAAAACATACATCCATAAAGAATTCAGTTTGCTGGATGGAAAAATATGCCAATTTCAAGAGATGCTCAACTCCATGACCTTTCACATTCCCTTTAGTGCAGTGGTTCTCAACCTGTGGGTCCCCAGGTGTTTTGGCCTACAACTCCCAGAAATCCCAGCCAGTTTACCAGCTGTTAGGATTTCAGGGAGTTGAAGGCCAAAACATCTGGGGACTCACAGGTTGAGACCCACTGCTTTAGTGAGAGGTAGAAAAAAATCAAAGGTCATTATTGTGCGTTGAGTGGACATCAGCAGAAAGAAATGAAAAAAAATCCCTTCTTCTAAGTTGATTTAAGACATTCAAAGATGAGATCAGATCAATGTGTTCTGCTGATTGTTCCTACAGTGGCCAAACAGATGCTCGTGGGAAGGATGTCCATGGGTTAAATTGAGTGTCATATCACCCTTCTGCAGGGTATAAAAATAAAGTAGACCTCACAACCTCTGAAGATGCTTGCCATAGATGCAGGCGAAATGTCAGGAGAGAATAGCTCTGGAACATGGCCATATAGCCCAAAAAAACCTACAAAAAACCAATAGAGTAGTTATTATTATTATTATTATTATTATTATTATTATTATTATTATCTGATACATGGAGACATAGTGTTTCTGGTACAGGAAGGAATACATATCTGTCTGTAATGTATGCTCTTTTCACATGAAAGAGAAGATGGATAGGAGAATCATGCTCTCTGTGTCCACAGAATCTACATGTGATATGTACACATGGAGCAAAATGCATGGAAATCAAGGTGAGGACAGCAGACACAATCCTGCTTTCTGCTCCATGTCTTCCAACCAATGTGGTGTCTGATCATGTAAAATGGAGTTAGATATTTTCGTAGTCTGTAATATGTACAATGGTGGATTTTAAACTTTCTGGGCCTCAACTTTCCTGAGTCAGGACTTTTGACTTGGAAAGAATTGGCTTCAGCTTCCTTAAGATGAGGAGATGGGCTGAAATGTCTGTATTGCAATGAAATACTTGACTTTCACCATTGCATCTAATTAGTTAATAATTTGTTTTGCACATCCTGGGACTCTGTTTTTGCACTGAGAACCAGTGGTATACTCAATTCTGGTGAGTAATAAATATATATAAATGATCAAATTAATTATTACAGATGCAAATGAAAACTACATCCCAGAAAGAAGATGACCTTCTCTTCTGAACCTGGATATATTTATTTCTCAGGATTTTTGCTCTTTTTTGTTATCAACAAGATAATCAGAACATCTTATGAGATAATCAGGCCATCTCAACAATCTTAAGTAATATAAGCACCTCATAATAACATGAGTACAATATAAAAATGGCAAATTACCATTGAACCGAATGGTACGACCAGGTAGTTAGATGCATCAATAAGAAGAGCCAAAGGTTCCTGAAAATAAAACGGTGTTTGCTGAAAATTTAATAAGCCTGAAGTCAAATGGTTCTCTTCTTGGAATTGTCTTACAAAGTCTATATACTCCCCCTGTCCTTCAGTGTCAATCCTAATTTTGAGCAGGATCATACATGAGGAAATTAGCCCAATTCTGCCCTTTTCTAGCAGAAGAGGTATTTTGTCTCCATCTTTCAAAGTTGGAAAAGTCCTTTTGGTTCTTTTTTGCTATATAAGAAATTACTCTATCTAGGACTCTATTCATTATTTCTGCTGTACTGTTTGATTCCAGGAAAAGAAAAATAAAGTGCAGAATATTCGTCCCTTTCCCCCTTTCTCATTGACTGCAAGTTCCTCCAAGTGAAAGGAATTGATATTAGAATTTCCCTCTATGGTAACTTAATTTGTAATGGAAAACATAGCATCTCATTCATTCCTCAGTAGGGCAATTACAGTTGGAAAAAGACAAGATGCCTTTATTTCTGCACAGAACAACTAGTGCGAGTGAAATTAATCTTAGTGTCAATACAACTGTTTCAGCCTTTTCTTATATGCATTAGAAGAAGGAAGAAACCTCAATCATATTATCTCTTTTTTAGAACTCTGTGTTCTTGTGTTTTGACCCCTGCTGATGGTTCCAGTGCAACTGATGTAATGGAGGCCTTCAACAAAAGGTACCAGGTAAGGATATGGAAATGTAGTAAAATAATACTGTAATGCTCCTATTTATTTTCTGTGTTTGTAACCAGTTTACCAAACTCATCTTCTCAAAGCAATCATCATATGGTAGCTTTGTTTCACAAAACAGCCATATTTTTTGCCCCTTGTTGGTAGAAGACTACCCAATGAGAAGTTTATTCTTTGATGACTGCTCTGTTCATGTGAATTTGTCCCAGACAGGGAAAAGTCCACGGAAAACTTATTTCAATTTGGCAATCATTTAAACTTTAAGCAGTGATTCAAGAGCCAGATATATATTTTATCTGGCTTATTCATTAACTGCTTCTTCCATGAATGTCCAGCCGCTATAATAGACATGATGTCATCTAGCAATGTTTCCCAGAGGGTAAAGAATTTCCATGCATATTTACTAAATGACAATAATCCTGTATAAGTACTTCCATGTTCATCAGGCCTTCAACATAATCATATTGAGCAAGATTAGGAATAAAGGATCTTATCATACGAGGTAGGCAAATCACAATTACACCAGGACAGCAACATCTTTGGCTAGGTTCTATCACATGACATTGATCCTCTTCTACTGTACACCCAGTTGGAAACAGACTACAAAAATAATTTTTACCAAAACAAATAATCTTTTGAAATCTTCTTTTTGTAAAAAAAAATGCCATCTAATAGTTTCCCACCAGGAGAACAACAGAAGAGGAATGGTCACTGTGAGAAGTCCTCTGTTACCCTGCTGTAATTGTGAACCACCTGTCTCTTTAGAGAGAAAAAATGGGATGCGAATTAATAAGAGTATCAGCATCATGATGTGATAAATTCCTGGGCCTATTGTTCCATCATTACTTATGTAAGTCCCAGTAAACTCAGCAGGTTAAGATTTAGGAGGTCTGCAGCTGGTCTTTCTTTTCATTTGTAATCACTCCAAATTGGGGATCCCTCCAAATTAGGTGGATAAACCTTCTTTTTCATGGAGACAATCCTCTGAAACTTAATCTTTGAGTGGTGCAAATGGGATGGACACAGGATGGACAAGATTTCCAAATAGTTATTGGTGATTATTACTGGTCGGGGGATTCTGGGAACTGTAATTCAAAAAAGTTAGTGTGATCAAAGGACTGTAAACATTATCAAGAATAATATTGGCCCTAGTAAAAAATACCCAAATTAGTAAAATCTACTCATGATATTCATTTGGAGCATCATAATTTTAGCTATATATAAAAGCCAAAGTTAAAGGTTTCCCCTGACATTAAGTTTAGTCAAGTTTGGCTCTGGGTGTTGGTGCTCATCTCCATTTCTAAGCCAAAGAAATTTCTAAGCCAAATAGACACCGCCAAGGTCATGTGGCCAGCATGACTGCATGGAGTGTTGTTACCTTCCCACCGAAGTGGTACCTATTGATCTACTCACATTTGCTTGTTTTCGAACAGCTAGATTGACAGAAGCTGGGCCTAACAGCGGCAGCTCACTCAGCTCTCCGGATTCCAACTTCCAACCTTTCAGACAGCAAGTTCAGCAGTTCAGCACTTTACTCCGCTGCACCACCAGTGGGCCCAAAGCCCCCGGCGGTGCAATGGGTTAAACCCTTGTGCCGGCAGGAATGAAGACTAACAGGTCGGAGATTCGAATCCAGGGAGAGTGTGGATAAGCTCCCTCTGTCAGTTCCAGCTTCCCTTGTAGGGACGTAAGAGAAGTCTCCCACAAGGATGGTAAAACATTAAAAAAAATCCAGGTGTGCCCTGGGCAACGTCCTTGCAAACAGCCAATTCTTTCACACCAGAAGCAACTTGCATTTTCTCAAGTCACTTCTGACATGGAAAAAAACATGGGGGGGGGGGGCGTGTAGCTGTGTATACATCTCTGAAATGTCTATAAGTTAAACCTTTCTTCTTCTAATTATGCCACAGCTTCTCTGCTGAATTCAGGCAGAAAGGACAAAGAGACTTAAAAAGACAAAGGGGCCACCTTGTGCCTGCTAAGTATTAGGTGACCTGGTTAGAAGCAAATAAGGATTAAGCAGAGGATTCAGGAAGGACGAGTCTTTGAGCTTTGAAATGTGGTTCAGCAGGACAGGGAACAAAGGCTATGTGAAGAATAGCAGCAGTGGCAAAAGTGGGCTCGCACAGTCCAACAGATGACTGTTGACTCAAAGATGCAATTGAGACTTTTTAAAAACTAAAATATAGCTGGGGAGAAAATGTCACTATTTTTTTTAGTACAACATGCAGAATAAAAGCCAGGTGAATAAATAAGTGAGCAGTGCTAAGAAAAAACAGGTAGCAGGTTTTGAAAACTGTCAGAGTTTTAGCTATTGTGGCACCCAAAGCTTCAAGGCCATGTGGAGTTTCAGTCATTGTCTCCTGCATGGGTCAAGGTTAGGATTATAACACAAATATTTGCCTTGCCTTGTGTCTTCTCTTTGAAAGATCTAGTTACCATTTCAGGTTTATCCACTCTAGTGTGGCATCCTGGTAAATAGGCAATGACTGTATTTTGGGGTCTCCATCCTGGGAGAAAGGCATAGTATACATTTAATACATAATGAATTATTGTTGTTGTATTGTTGTTGTTTTGCTTTGATAGGAGGGAACCCACAACTTAATCAATAGTGGAAGATATGACACAAAAGAAGATTTTACTGTGATTGTGCAGCCATTTTTGGAAGAAACAGAAATGCCAATGACTCCGGTAAAGTACCAAATTGCCGATTTACAGATTTCCAAATTTCAACACATTGTTCAGACCCACTTTACCTAAGTATGCTTCAGACCATGTTTAGGCAGCTTGACACCTTCAGACATTTTCAACTATCCTTCTCATAATTTTAGGTGGTTGCTCATGCTGACCAACGTGTATAGAAGCTGTGGATCAAAACACTTGGAAAGCACCCAATGCTTGCCCTTGCTTTAAGTGTCTTGGTTGTTAATCATTCTCCTGGCAATTTTAATGCATTTGAAACAGTACTTGGTTACTAGAGACTACTATTTTTTGGTTGCTAGAAGTCACATCACCTTGATATATAGTACCCAGACATTTCTTGATCTCTTCTTGTGTCCATTGAAGAGAGATATTGACAAGCTGGAATGTGTCCAGAGGAGGGCAACTAAAATGGTCAAGGGTCTGGAGAACAAGCCCTATGAGGAGTGACTTAAAGAGCTGGGCATGTTTAGCCTGCAGAAGGGAAGACTGAGAGGAGACATGATAGCCATGTATAAATATGTGAGGGGAAGCCACAGGGAGGAGGGAGCAAGCTTGTTTTCTGCTGCCCTGGAGACTAGGATGCAGAGCAATGGCTTCAAACTACAGGAAAGGAGATTCCACCTGAACATTAGGAAGAACTTTCTGGCTGTGAGAGCTGTTCAGCAGTGGAACTCTCTACCCCGAAGTGTGGTGGAGACATCTTCTTTGGAGGCTTTTAAACAGAGGCTGGATGGCCGTCTGTTGGGGGTGCTTTGAACGTGATTGTCCTGCTTTTTGGCAGGGGGTTGGACTGGATGGCCCACAAGGTCTCTTCCAAATCTATGATTCTTGCAATCCTCTTACATTTGTGTTGAGTTGAGAATTGTGGAGCCTTCTGTCCTAAGCAACAGGATCAGGAATGATGGGAGCCCCAAGCCAAACACACCTGGAGGACTAAGTCATTCCTATCCCTGGTATATGGGGAAGAATGCATATAGAAATCAAGTCTGCTTGTGGGTACGTACATGTGTATGAACACACGCTCTAGACATATTCAGACTTCCATAATGATATAAGGGTTTAAAATAAATGCTTCTAAAAGAGAGAGAATGCTAATCCTACTATCATCCCTTATTCTTATATGGAGAGGACTGGTCTGAGGAAGAGAGTCTGCACTGTGCAGACTCAGGGTTCCCAGCTGTATAAAACACTTTGATAACTAGCCAAAGGTTCTTTTCTTCATTTTTGTGTGTGAGGAAAACAAGGCAAAGGAGGTGAGCCAACATATTCTTGATTCTCATGCATTCCTTATGAATATTTGAATAAGGATGCATTGAGAGCCAGTACTGTATCATGATCATATTCAGTGCCACTGATTTCTGGTTTATCTATGCCAAGATTTAAAGCAGTTTGGATGCTGGAAGGAGTATAATTCAAGAAGAGCAATTACTGCTATTAATGGTCCCACTGCCAACTACGAATACAAATTTTAAAAGTCACAGATTAGACAATTTGAATTTTGTGACCATTTGATTCCACCATTTATTGTGTTCTTGTGTTTAGATGGGCCGGGTTCTGGTCCCTGAATGTTTATGCTGCAAGATTTTTTTACTCCACCATCAGCTATTGATTTTTGTATTAGCAGGCTGGTTGATGTTCTCTAGACTTTAATCCAAAGGACATAGCCAAGGAGTTGAACCCCCCCCCCCCACCCCACAAATTGGTTCAGCATCTTGGATAGTTCAGAATAGATTCACCACCCATGTGACACAGAAGATATCATGTTTGTCTTTCCATTCCATTTGCTCCCCAGCCTCCCTCCCTCGCTGTAAAAGTAAGCGTGCCTGTCATTTTCCCTAGGACGGATTGCCAGATTCCTCATATTTTGCCCCAGACTGCTTCCATTTTCAACAGAAGGCACACTCCCAGGCTGCTCGTGGTCTATGGAACAACATGGTAAGAGGCTGCTCTAGATAAATATATCCCAGCTTCCTCCTTGAAACTACTAAATCTGATTACATTGAGAGATGGGTGTCATATGAACATTGGTAGCCTGCAAATCTAGTTATCCCTCACCATTAGCTTTGGCTGATGGACACCTGTATAAGGCCAACAGAATTTTATGCAGCAGCTTTAATGTAACCACCCATCAGCTTGCTTTTGTTTTACAATGCACATGTTTTATTTTCTAAAGTAACCATCTACAATATCTTTTGCTTTGGGGATAGAACATACTGTAGATGGAATTTCTTTCCATGCTAGAGAATATGAATAACAATACTCTCCCGCTCCACACCCCCAGTGATACAATAGACTCCTGAATAGATTTAATTTGCTAACAAAACTCCATAAGCAACATACCATATTTTTCTTCAGCTCCCATCCTTTTTTCTCTTTTTCCCTTTTCCTTTATGTTATGAAACTGTGAAAATGAAGTAAAAGATTATAAAGTTTTTAAAAACCTAAACAACCAATAAAATAACTAGGGGGTAGGGCAGTAGAGATGTGGGAGGGCGTGACCTTAGTCAACACCTATTATATACCTTACTTTGGGCACCAAAGCTAAGGAAAATATAGAAGAATAACTGCAGCATTTTAAATGTACTGAAACATAAAATGTCTGCTGCAGCAGACCATGTCTGCCCTGCAGGTAACCTTATTTCTGACTGTGGAGATGCTGACTTGTCAAATTAATCTCATCTGTCATTTTGCAATGAATTTGAATCTGCCTCCCAGATGAGAATTCTTTTGGACTATTCAGAGATAACTTGGCTTTTTCCATTGGTGTTAAGGGAATCTAATTACTACTATTGGTAAATGCAGCAGAGAAGTAAAAATTTTAAGATGTGGACTGAGTGATGAAAGGATAAAACCTACTCTCTCTGTGCCCTGTAATCCCAATAAAAATTCACATATGGACTACTAAACAAAGAAATGGTAATGGTAAAGGTTTTCCCCTGACATTAAGTCCAGTCGTATCTGACTCTGGGGGTTAGTGCTCCTCTCCATTTCTATGCTGAAGAGCCAGCGTTTTCCATAGTCACCTCCAAAGTCATGTGGCCATCATGACTGCATGGAGTGCCGTTACCTTCCCACCAGAGCGGTATCTATTAATCTACTCACATTTACATGTTTTCGAACTGCTAGGTTGGCAGAAGCTGGCACTAACAGTGGGAGCTCACCCCGCTCCCCAGATTCAAACTTGTGACCTTTAGGTTAGCAAGTTTAGCAGCTCAGTGGTTTAACCCACTGCACCACTGGAGGCTCCTAACAAACAAATTACAAAGTCAAATGCACTCTGAGATTTGAGCACACAAGGTTCTGGAAGCTATTGACCATTGTTTCCCAGCAGGCATTTGAGAAACATGTAAACTGTTATAGCCAATGGGCACAAATATGGTGCCAGTCTCTGCCATGCTGAGGGTGGGAAAACCTGCCAGTCTTCCCCCTCAGAAGTGCTGCTTTATATATTTTTGCATCAAAAACAAAAGATCTGGTTGGATCTGATAAATTTTTTTATATCCAAGAGCAAAAGATTCAGCTGGATCTGATAATGTTTCAGTACAGAAGGCAAAGCATAACAATAAATCTGCTGTTATGAATTTCCCTCAAGGTTTTTCAGCTTACAGTAGGTTATATTTTTATGTTTTATCCACTCACATCACACTTTTCTTCTTGTTCTTTCACATAGCTGGAACCTGTTGGGGAAAAAACAAAACTGCGATCAATCGTACCTGAGATAACCCTCAAGTGTCCAACTAAGGTAAAGTGAATCTTCCTATGAATAGAGTTGCACTGCAGGGCCTAGAGATTCCTAGAGAGAACATTTTAATCAAATCCACAAGTAATGAAATCCACAAAAGACAAACTTGCAGATGTGGAGAGATAGCTGTATAATAAAAGCTTGCCATTATTAACTAATGCCTGTCACAGTTTTACAGACATGTGTCCAATCTCTTTCTTCCCCCATCCACTTGTGGGAGGAACAAATTAGCATTGCCATCCCCACTATCCTCTTCCCCACTTCTGGGGCCTTTAAAAGACAAAAATCTACACACAAAAAGCAAGTATGGCTAGCTCTACCATGAGGAGCAGAGAAAACATATGGGTGCAGAAGTAGCTCCCTATTCATAGAACCAATGAGTTGGAAGAGATCTTGTGGGCCATCCAAGCCAACCCCCTTCCAAGAAGCAGGAAAATCACATTCAAAGCATTTTTATGGACTTTTTATTAGTCCATAAAAATGTCTCACTTCTTCCAAGTTGAGTTCAGTGTGACATTTCTAAACTCAGTGCCTTATCTGGACTGCAATTTACATGTGCCTTATAGAAGTGAATTGCAAGATGACTTGGTTTTTTTCATCTTTGTCAAATTCACACTGCCTGTCAGATGTTTTATAGCTTTCTTGGGACAGACCAGACAGGCCTTTATCCCAGGGGAATTCGGTTTCAAAAATGCAGATTTTCCTGGGGTCCTGTCCACAGCCACCCCAGAAAGCGCGGACTTTCTGGGGTGAGTGTCCAGATGCTCTTGTGAGACTGGCCTGTGAGAACATCTGGAGGGCTTTCCCCAAAGCCCCCAGACCCTTAGAAAAGTAATGAAAACTTACCCAGTCTCCATTACAGGCTTCGGCCAGCTCTCCCAGCATATAGAAATGATGCGCCAGGAGAGCGGGGGGGGGGGGAGAGCTGGCTGAAGCCTGTAATGGAGGTCAGATAAGTTTTCATTACTTTTCTAGGGGGTCTGGGGGCTTTGGGGGAGGGGGTTGGGTATTCCCACAGTTTACTGGACTTATTTAGCTCAGTAAACTGTGGGAATACTGTCTTCTGCAGTCCAGACCTGAAAATAGTGGGTTTATCCTGCGCCTTCCAAGAAGGCACAGACTAAACCCACTATCTAATTAATTCACTACAAACCAGAGTTTTCCTGGTTTGTAGCAAATTAATTCGGGACTGTCCAGAACGTTGTCTGGACTGCCCCTCCTTTATCGCAATGAAGATACTGTCTGGATGGGCCCTTAGTTGATTGCCCCAAGAAAGCCCTCCCAATATGTACAGGAGAGGCTGGTCCCTTGAATCCACCATAAGACATTGGCCAAGAAGGCAATTTACTACAGTGAAATCTAGATTTTAACTATATACCAGTGGTTCTCAACCTGTGGGTCCTTGGATGTTTGGCCTACAACTCTCAGAAATCCCAGCCAGTTTCCCAGCTGTTAGGATTTCTGGGAGTTGAAGGCCAAAACATTTGAGGACCCACAGGTTGAGAACCACTGCTATATATGATATAGGTACTACTACTGGTTTTAGGTTTTCTTGTTGTGGTAAGTTAGAAGTATTTAAGAACACTAATTAAATCGGTCCTGTTGGACTAAAGGAGAATCATGCCACATTTCCAGTTTAAATCCCATTCTGAAATCGCTGCTTCATCACACAGGGTAAATGTGTGAGACAACAAGCAATTTCAGGTGGTAATTTGGTTTACCAAAACAGTGTAGAGGACTTGTAGCTGAAGAATAAAAGCTTCCTCCTCCCACCATCATCTTGATCCCAATCCAGTTTATCCCACAAATCGATGCTTTTATTCTGATGGGAAGTTGAGTTGCAGTCTTCTGCTCTCTTGTCCAGTTTGGCCCTAATTAATTAGATAGGTACAGATCTAGTATATTATCATTCTTTTTTTCCAAGACAGAGTTGCCTATAGAGGGCTCCTTGGGACCATCTTTTAATTTTGACTTCGGTATCCCCATTCCATAGACCCAGCCATATTTGATGACATACAAAAACAGCAGGACCATTTCAGATCACGGAAGCCAGTTGCTATGTTATGATAAAACTGCATCCATCAACAGTCCTACTTCAGGTAATTTAAGATGCCGTTTGACATCTAAGTTAGCATGAGGAAGAGACTTTAATCAGGTCTCATTTGAATCTTAATTCTCCTCACCCCTCTGCAGAGAAAATATATGTCAGTTTGCTAAACTGGCAAAATAATAATTTTGCTGCATTTTCAATAGTAGCACAATGTATGTGTTTCCTAATATGGCAATTAATTTAGTTCTAGTATATGAATTAATATATGGATTAGAACACAGCAGCAAGTAATATGCAGAGTTCAATTTTAATTTGCACCATTGATAATTAGAGCAACTAGGACTGGAGGTCTGGAATAATCTGCAAACAGTACACTGCTTGGTCTCTGAGTCTCTTTTTCAGTCTCTGAGTATCTTTGTCAGAGGTTAGTGCCAACATGTGTGCATATAGCAAATCAAACTATAAGTGAGATCTGTTGTTGTTTTGTTTTGTTTTGTTTTGTTTTTTGTTGAAGGGCAGATATGAGATTTGTGGGTACCCTGCCTACCATTTTTCTGGCCCCAGACTACACTAAATTTCCAGAAGTTCATTTTTAAAATGTCCCTTGAAGAGCTCAAGTGGTATAAATAATATTGCATGTAAAAGGTATGGAGCCTAATTCTGTGCATGACTATTTAGGAACATTTCACAGTAATTCCAATGGTAATTTTGTACCGTAAGAAGGTTAAGACTACAGTATGACCCCTATAAACTGATACCTGCATTTTCATATATCCATGTCTGACAAATATATGTCCTCTCTAGGCATTATCTATGTCCTCCAGCATGACTCTATGGCTGGCAGTTCATTTCAGTAAGACTCAGTATCACCTGTAATTTCACATACTCACATGAAGTCTAGGAATTTTTCCCCTTTTGATACAGAAGCCATCCTTGACCAAAAATATTCATTAATATACTAAGACGCCCTAGGAAAAATTAGTGAGTGACACAAGTTGTTTTGTATTTCTTGACTTTTGGGGAAATTTTCATTTCCAAAAAAAATCTCAAGATTTTTTTCTGTAGGATGGTATACCTTTAGCAAAAAACTCTGGAATCTTTGTACAAAAAATAATCATTTTGCCCAGTTGAAAAAAACTTATGAAATGCTTTTCGTTTTTAAGCAACATTCAAATAAGCAAAGATTAACATCCCTGATAAAGGAGCATAGTCCAAATTATTACAGGAGAACTTTTGCAGGCACATTACACATTTGATGGATTCTAACTGCAGACTTTTGTTACAATAAATTAGTCTTTCAGGTGTTTACTATTCAGTTCCTGCAATGTGTGAGAACATTTGCTTACTTTCTGAAATTCGTTTGCATATTGCCATGAAATATGATGACACAATACTTGCTCAGCTAGTTCATTGGTATGCTTGCTCAGCTTGTTAAAAAAAATCCCTTTCAGGTAATTTGTGGACCAAGCTGCTATAAATAATTAGCTGTAACTTCAAGATCGCACGTCCTGGATTGACTATTTTGAAAACGCTCTTGCTAATAAGTGAAGCTTGCAACTTGCTAGCATAGTTATATAATCCTAAATTGAACTAGAAACCCCATTCTCCTCAAATGGTTATCTATTTGGTTTGTTGAAAGGTGACAAGATTCCTAATTCATAGCCTCACTTGCTTTTTGTTTGAATACATACTTGCTAATTGTCTTAATTTGGCAGGGACAGACCCAGCTCCTCCTCTATTGTACCACCCCTTCAACTGTTTATAAAGTGTTCCTATTTCTTCCTTTTATGTTTTGACTTCATCTTATTTCCACTGTTGCAAACTGAGTGCAAATGTAATTTACATTCAATTAATGCTGCAGGTGAAGGAGAGAAGAGGGGTGGGAGAGGGCAGAAATGGCAAAGTTGTGCCCTTCCCAGTAGGCTAAGCAAAAGCAAACTGCTGCAAAGTTTCCTAGTTTTTGTGGTTTTCCCTATTAATAACTTTGCCATCTTGACCACACTCCTGTGTTGTTTGGCCACATATGCCTCAGGTTCCATATGAGAAATTTTGGAAGCTATGGAACTCTCGTTCTTTGATTCTAACTGATTTCACTACCAGCACCAACAAAAAAGTGTGTGTATGAATGGCATATGTGTGGACATGTTAACAGAGAGGATGGAAGGGCTACACTCTATCCTGCCATTTTCCGCCCCTGCTGAAAAACCTCAGTGATGTGCGGGCTTAAAATAACAGCAGATGGAAAAGGGGTGGGGTGGATAGATGAAGAAGCACTGTGGTGAGACATTTATTATAAACTACACAGAATTCCTCAACATGTGAGAGTAACCATGGCTAGATTGGCAAAAGAGCCCTCATCTGCCTTAGTGCTCCCATTCCCTCACACATGTATTTTTAAGCCCCTAAGTCAGTAGTTCTCAGCCTCTGGTTCCCTAGGTGTTTTGGCCCCCAACTCCCAGAAATCCCAGCAAGTTTACCAGCTGTTAGGATGTCTGGGAGTTGAAAGCCAAAACATCTGGGGACATACAGGTCGAGAACTACTACAAAAGCTCATAGCTATACATAACGTTTATATTAGGGGTCATATTTCTGGGCCTGGAAAAAAATTAACTATCTGGGGCTAGATCTACACTGCTCAACAATGCAGTTTGAATCAACATTTTATAGGGAGTCTTGATCGATATAATGCATTTTAGTGCCGTTAAATTGCATTACATGGCTCTACACTGACCGTATAATGCAGATTCAAACTGTATTATATCGTATTGTAGATCGTATTGTATATCATATTGGGATACTCCATGGGAGCTTATTTCTATCTCTACATTACTACAGCAGTAGCAGTTGAACTAGGCTGGGGATAAAGAGGAAAAGTGGGACAAATAGGACAGAGAGTCCCCTTGGGGAGACAGGGTGGCATAGAAATAAAGTTGTTTCTTATTATTATTTGAAACACAACAAGATTAGTACATAGCAAACAAGATCACTATGCTGGTTGTTGTATTGGATCACATGTTGGACACTTCCCACATGTCTAGGACTATGTGATGTATCAGTGAATAATGCATTCAGATCCCAGTAGGGTGACCTTTTGCAGCTGACAGATGGCAATATTGTCAGTGCCGATTGTGTTTAAGTGTGAGCCAAAGTCTTTAGGCACTGCACCTAGAATGCCGATTACCACTGGGATCACCTTTACTGGCTTGTGCCAGAGTCTTTGCTATTCAATCTTTAAATCCTTGTATTGTGTCAGCTTTTCTAGTTGTTTCTCTTCAATCCTGCTGTCACCTGGGATTGCAATATCGCTGATCCATACTTGGTTTTTTAACACAAACATGAGGTCGGGAGAGTTGTGCTCCAAAACCCTGTCAGTCTGAATTCGGAAGTCCAGTGTATTATTATTATTATTATTATTATTATTATTATTATTATTATTATTAGCAGCTGGAAAATGGGAGGACAAGGAATGAAACAGAACTGTTCCTGCCAAACCAGGATAGTTGGACAGTATAGTATAGTACTCCTAAACCTTTGCCCTTCCCAGTAGGCTCAGGTAAAAGCAAACTGATGCAACCTTTCATGGTTTGCGTGTTATTTATCATTAATGACCATTGATATCCTGATGACATACGTATTTTGCTTGGCCATACACATCTCAGTTTTCATCTGCAAAATACTGGAGGGTATGAAGCACGTTAAATTTAGGATTCGGGACCCAGTGAGATATCTCTTCCCATGCCCAATGTCAGCTCTCACTAATCTTGTTGATGCTCCAGGCCAGACTACACACACTCACTCACACAGACACACACAGTTATGGTGCTGTGGTTTGTTTTTTTACCTGTTGTCAAGTCCCCTTTGACTTATGGTGACCCTACAAAGGAGAGACCTCCAAGTCTCCATATCATCAGCAACCCTGCTCAGCCCTTGCAGACTTCGGCCTGTGGCTTCCTTGATCGAGTCTCTCCATCTATAATGTGAGCTCCCTCTTTTCCTGCTGCCTTCTACTTTACCAAGCTGTAGCACTGCTGATGATATACTACTGTTAACATTATTCCATTTATAGTGCTGGCATGTGCAAATGCATAAGGGTGCCAGAAAAATATCAAAGACTAACTCCCTGCACTGTTCATCATGTCAACACCAAGCATAACTTAAATGGTTTGATCCTACCCTTTAGAACCAAAGCCTGGTAATCAAGATTTTAAACTGGAATTTAAGTATCCAGCTTCTTCATTAGCAGTACGTTCATATCCTGCCTCATCTTTGCTGCCAGAGTCCTTCTTTGTTTTGTTCTACTGAAGACATTTAAGCTGGTGAATGAATCACAGCAAGAAAGGGCACATTTTATACTTGCAGGAATTACTTGCTTTTTACTAGTATCCTGAGATTCATCAATCTAGTGGAAAAGACATTCTCTTAGAATTTAAGAACCCAGGAATTTGATTAAAAGCTATCACAAGCATCTGATAGCTTCCCCACACAAATATCTACTCTCAAGTCTCCTTCATTTTGAAAATAAGATAATTTAGGGCACAAAGGAGACGGCAGGGAGGGTGCATTTCACTGCTATTTTTGAACAGTCAGAAAACCTTCCCAATGTTCTCCAAATTACCCAAAGATTTATCAATCAATCCCAGCCAACCCTTGGATTTGAACTGGTTCATTATCTCTCTTTAACGAGACATAAAAATCCACTAGAGGTTCATTTAGCTTATACAGGGATGCAAAAAGCACCATTTTCTTCTTGTTTTAATTTTAGCTATCTCTGTTTTGTCTTACAGTGCACAGCCTGAAACCAGCTGATGTGAAAGTAGTAGCGGCCTTAGGGGACTCCTTCACTGTAAGAAGCAATGTTCTTCTGCTACTCCCTCCTCCCGGTTTGCTGAGTCACAATTTGCTTGTTTAGACAGATTACATGGGGATTATGCACTAACCTGTGAAAAAAAGATATTATGCTGGAAATAAAGGGTGATCCAGGTCGCAACATAGATCAGGGGTCCTCAAACTTTTTAAACAGAGGGTCAGGTCACAGTCCCTCAAACTGTTGGAGGGCCGGATTATAATTTGGAAAAAAAGAATGAATTTCTATGCACACTGCACATATCTTATTTGTAGTGTAAAAAACACTTTAAAACAATACAATAATTAAAATGAAGAACAATTTTAACAAATATTAACTTATTAGTATTTCAATGGAAAGTGTGGGCCTGCTTTTGGCTGGTGAGATGGGATTGTTATTGTTGTTGTGTTTTTTCAAGTCGTTTCATACTTAGGTTGACCCTGACCGAGGGCCAGGTAAATGACCTTGGAGGGCCGTATCCGGCCCCCAGGCCTTAGATTGAGGACCCCTGACATAGAATCATAGAGTTGGAAGAGACCTCATGGGCCATCCAGTACAACCCCCTGCCAAGAAGCAGGGCAATCACATTCAAAGCATTCCTAACAGATAGCCATCCAGTCTCTGTTTAAAAGCCTCCAAAAGTACTTAGTACAAGACAAGCAGGTGCATCTACCCAAAAACTGGGGGATTCTGGATAATATAGCCCGGAACAAACTTTTCCAATATTTGCTTTGATTCCAGTAGGGAAAATATCATAATTGTATAACCTCTGGTCTTGTCATCAGGGCTAAAGATGCCCTCTTGACTTGAGCAAGGGGAAGTAATTGTAGTGTGAGCACATACATTGTGGTAGATAGCAATGTGAGAGAAAGATAACAAGTACCGGATTTTTGCAAAGGCAATATCTAAAGAGTTGAACTGTCATAGTTGATTACTTGGTTTGTAAACTCAGCCCCATTTCACGAATATGGAGCAGACTGTAATCATTTTGACAAATAAGATAACTTTGCTTTCTTAGGGTCCTTCCAGACATGTCCTATATTCCAGGATCTGATCCTAGGTTTTCTATTTATCCCAGATTATCTGGCAGTGTGGACTCATAATCCAATTTAAGGCAGAAAACCTGGGATCAGATCCTGACATATAGGGCCTTTCTGGAAGTGCCCTTAGTGAGATAACATGGGTTCTGTTTAAATCTAATCCTAATTTGATAAATTATAATTTGTTTTTATATGCTGTGTAGTTTAATTTTCGTTATTATGTGTTTATTATTTGTTATGTTCAGGCATTTAATGTTTGCCTTTTTTGTGACTGAAATCTAACCTGAGTCCCTTTGGGGAAATAGGGCAAAATATAAATAAAAATGTATTATTATTATTATTATTATTATTATTATTATTATTATTATTATTATTATGACACAAAAGCACAGTATGTCACAGCAAATGAGATCCATATGCTGGATTTCATATCAAAAATCACAAGTCGAACACTTCCCAAATGTCTAGGACAGTGTGATGTATTTTCGAATGATGCACACCGATCCAAGTAAGGTGGCCTTTTGCACTTGATAAATTGTGATTTTGTCAATGTTTATTGTTTCCAAATACCGGATTAGATCTTTTATTGTTTCCAAATGCCGGCTGACACAGCACCCAGTGTGCCTATTATTATTATTATTATTATTATTATTATAATAACATGTCCCACCTCCCCCAGGGCATTTTGGGGGCCTCAAAGCTCACTAAGTTTAACAATTTTACCAACTCATTTAGGCATTATTGTCATGTTTTTAGTCCTCCTTCAACCAATTTAGACCCTGGAGAAGTCTTTAAAAAAAAAACGAAACCAAAAGTTAACAGGAAGAGTATTTTGCTCATGTCTTGCTATTTAAACATTCCTCTCCAAGCCTAGTGTGGCTCAATATAAGGCAAAAAATAACCCCTGATCCCAGAAAACATTTAGGGACATCTGGGAGCATTTTTTTTTCAGGTGGCAAAGTTTTTAAAGATCTTTAAGGCAGCAGATTGTGTTAAAGTGAACTCATAGTCCTTCATCATTGCAAACCCTTGTTTTAGATTATGCATGAGCAACACGTGATGCTGGAACTACATGTAGCCCCAGAGCTCCTCCAGATTTCTGATACTTGTTATTTTTCTGTTCACTCCTGTGTGAATTGCTTTTTAAATAGATGCTAAGGTTCCACTGAATTATTTAAGAATCCCCTTGTTTTTTTTACAAAATCAGAAATGGACTGTTGGCCCCTTCCAGAGTTTTGACAAACCCGGGGGCAGAAAATTAGCCCTAGACTCACTGCAGCACACAGTCCTTGAGACATCTCTCTGATTATGGTACCTGGTTCATTTCACCGATTAGTCACATGCAGGAATCTCTCTGCTTGCTATTTGCCACCACTAGCATATGTGTCTGCAATGACAGAAGGTAGTTTGGCATGTACTTGTACAGACATCATTATCAGTATGAACAGCTGAATTGCTGCAAAATTCTCCCTTTTTATCTTCACATCTAATCAGTTTCCACTAAGATTATCTTCTGATGCAACAAGAGATTTATACATATGTACCAAGCCCATACGGCATTATCAGGTTTCTCTTGTTTACAGTAAATCTATGGCAATGTAGTGTAAAAGTTCACTGACCTGATTGTGTGATACTTCTCAATTAATTTCTCAGTTTATTGTCTAGTTAATCTTAAATCATGCTGATAACATTTTTAAACACTACTTCATGAGTCGTAAATCCAGTTGACAGAACATGTTGTCCAGCAATGATTTTAGAGATTGCAAAATGTCACATAGAGGAGCCTTTTTAACGATAACATGATCCTCTAACTAAAAGGTTAGCTGCCTATGTTTCAGGAGCTGAAGCCTTAAAAGGGCAGTTTCTATAAGAACAACAAAGATAAATCAAAACACTAATTTTTTTTGTCTTTCCGAGGCAGGCTGGTAATGGTGTTGGCTATACATCAAAAAACATAATGGGTATGAATATACAGTATCGTGGTCTGTCTTGGAGGTAGGTAATGGTCGCTGTGCTGCTTTAAACACTTCAGTTACATGCATGAATAGATAAACAGATAAACTGAAGGGAGGGAGGGAGGAAAATTGTAAGAATAAACATCTTAAATTCATCTTAATGGAGTGGTCAGTTCATGAATGTTATACTTTAAAAGCCCCTAAAATAGCAAATTGACACCTGGGTCCACTGCAGTTGCCTACCTCTCTTGAAGAGTTGCCTCCCTTGACTCAATGCTTTGTAGATATGTCCAAGTACAAACTTGTGTACGAATAACAAAAAGTAGAAATGACTCAATTTTCCCTGCTAAAATAGCCATGGCTGCTGTAGTAATTTAATGTCAGGGTTCCTGACAGAGAGCTACTTATTGTTTAAAATGTGAGGTGTGGCTCTATGTCAAGAAGGAAAGTCATATTAACTCCCCCCTTTGCTTTCACATAAAGTTATCTGTTTTTATCAGGATTACCAGACCATGCTTTTAGAAAGAATAATAGGTTATCTGCTTTCATGAGGGTTAGAGGTACATAACCCCCCCCCCCCCGAAAATGGAAAAACCGTGAATGAAAAAGCATCCCCTCACCCAAAGAACACCGATTTAGGAATCTCTAGATCCTCCAGCACAATTTTGTGGTCAACTTCTAGTGACATTGTCCAAAGAGTCATGCTGGAGGACCTACAAATGGCTAGAAAAGTGTTCTCTTTAGGGAACTCTAGGTCCTCGAGCACAAATCTTCAGTCAGCTTCTAGCAGAAAGTGTTGCTCTGGATCCATGGCAGTTCTTACATAGAGTTTTCAAAGACAGCTGTGCCAATCTGTTCTCAGTATAGTGTAAGGAAAGGTAAGTGCAGTCTTTTGGCAGATTTCAGTTTCACCAGTTTATTTGAGCATAAGCATTCATGGATTTGCGGCAATAGAGGTGGGCTGTTAACAACAAGAGCTTATGCTGAATTTAATTGGTTAGCCTGGAAGTTACACAGGACTCCTTTCCCTTTCCCTTTCTTTGATTTATAGAGCATTGGCGATCTGGTATGCTCTAGAGCAGTAGTTCTTAACCTGTGGATTCCCAAATGTTTTTGGCCTTCAACTCCCAGAAATCCTAACAGCTGGAAAACTAGCTTGGATTTCTGGGAGTTGTAGGCCAAAACACCTGGGGACCCACAGGTTGAGAACCACTGCTCTAGAGTAAAATACTCCCTTTGTGTTCTTTACAGGTCCAAATTTCCAACTAATATTAGCAAATATTGTATATATTTGAGTATAAGCCTAGTTTTCAGCCCCTCTTTTTAGGCTGAAAAAGCTCCCCTGGGCATATACTCAAGTCAAGGTTGTTTATTATTTTTCTCTATTTATTATTATTTTATTACATTTATTATTTTACTCTATTATTTTTAAATTTATTATTTTACACTATTTTTATTATCACATTTATTATTTTACTCTATTATTACTATTATTATTGCATTTCCATTATTTTACTCTATTATTATTATTATTATTATTACATTTATTATTTTACTGTCTTTATTATTATTGGAAGGCTACGTAAGCACATTTACATCGAAGAAGGCTAGAATAATGGTTTAAACAGAGTAGGACAGTCTTATCTTAAATTACAGTTTTATGTAAATATTCAAAAACATTTAACCTACGGATGCCTCAATTAATGTAATTTTATTGGTATCTATTTTTATTTTTAAATTTGCCAGTAGTTGTTGCATTTCTCACCCTCGCCTTATACTCGAGTCGATACGTTTTCCCAGTTTTTTGTAGTAAAATTAGATGATTTGGCTTATATTTGGGTCGGCTTATACTCGAGTATATACGGTACATGTTTTTATATATGTCCTAAGTACTATTCCAGTCATCACTCAGCATTAGCCAAGTTGGGTTAGGTTAATGGTAACTGGAGTCCAAAGGTGATTATGATGATARTTTTGATCTTAATTTAATTTAAATGTTCATTTTTATTCTACTTTGTTGTTAAGGCATTGAATTGTTACCTACCTGTAACCTTGGGGGGGGGGGGGAGAGAAAGGCAGGATATAAATATAGTAAGCAAATAAATAAGAATAACCCCCTGTAATAATTCACGTGGGAGTTGTGGTCCAAAAAAGTAATATTTCCATCCTCAGCCCTTGCTGTCACATTCCCCCTCTTTCCCCAAGGTAGTCAATACCTCTAAATTCCTAATACCAAACTACATGTAATGTATTTTTCTTGTAGAAGTGTAGAATTTATCTTTTGATGCTGGCCATCAGTTCCCTTTGGGAAATGCAACTATCTTTGGAACTGCATCTCAGTGCCTGCTTCTCTTTATTTTCTTCCTTCCCTTTTGTTTGTTTTTTTTCTTGCTGCAGCATTGGAGGAGATGCTACATTACAGAGTGTCACAACTTTGCCTAGTAAGTAAAAGATTTGTCTCTGCAGTCACGCAGCATAAAAATGAAAGGTTCTTCTTCTGTATATTGGCATAAAGAGCAATGAGTCAAGAAACTCTGGGAGATATGACCCGCCACATGCTATTATATATTTCTAATAAATCCACAGAAATATTCTTATGCACCATATGAAAAGTGTATGACAGGGGTTAGTCCTACTGGTAGGCAGGGTGAGTCAACCACTTCAGACTATAGATATCCAGTTATTTCTTCTAAGCCTTCCAGTCATTCCCGCCTGCTACAGGACAGATGCAGCACTAGCTAGACTGCCAACAGAGAACACTTTCCCATCACCAGAACGTGCTGTGTCTAATGCAGTTGAGCATAGAGCCAATCAATAAATGATGTAGTGCTATCAGACTGACTGTTACCTCTACATTTGTCTGGTAATTATGAGACTGTGACAGGCCACATGTTTCTTAGTGAGCCGATATTGCCTCTTGTGTAAAGCCTAGTTCATGAAAGGTATAATATTAGGGACAAAAATTATTAAGAGACCCAAAAAGGTTTGTAGAGAACTTAAAAGCCACCTGGTAATTATGAAGTAAGTTTTCATGTGTATGTGTCCCTTCAAGTAGGAGCTGTTTAACAGTGGAAAATGTGGCTTAGGAGTGTGGTGAAGTCTCCTTCTCTGAAAGTTTTTAAACAGGCTGGATTGCTATCTCTTGAGTGTTTTATTGTATGTTCCTGCATGGTAGGAGGTTGGGCTGGGTGGCCCAAAGGTTTCCTCCAACTCTATGATTATAAGTTGCCTGTCCTATGGAAACCGTATCATGTTTTCTTAGTCAAGGAATGCTTGGAGATTGATTTCCATTACATTTCTCTGAAATATAGCTTACTTCTTCTATATCCCACCCAAGTACTAATCAAACCTGACCTCTCTAGTTTTCAGGATCAGAAAGTGCCTTCACTATATTACAAAGACCTATTAACATAGGTCTTTGTACTTTTTTCTTGTGTTTTTATTTTCTTTCAGATATCCTGCGGGAGTTCAACACCCACCTCACTGGTTACTCAACTAGCACGGGTGGCCCAAATGTTGCGAATGCCTTTCTTAACCGAGCAGTTACAGAAGCAAAGGCTAGGTATGTCCATCTCCACACTCATCTGTATACCACCTCAATGGGACTTACTGATGTTGGGGTCTGGAAGGCATTCCATTAAAATAACAGGACTGGGGAAAAACTGGGGGTTGATTAAATCCAAGGGTATTACCAAATAACTACTAGAAGTGCTAAGAATACATCCAGAATATATTGCTCCCTATCATTATCTGTCCAATCCATACATAGTGAGCATGAGAAACATCTTCAGGACCCTTTTCACATTGCACCGTAATGCTATATTTCAATTTAACTAACATAACAACAACAACAACTTTATTTTTATACCCAGCCTCCATCTCCCCAAACATAATAATAATAATAACTACTACTACTACTACTACTACTACTACTTTATTTTTATACCCAGCCTCCATCTCCCCAAAGGGACTCGGGGCAGCTTACATGGGGGGCCAAGCCCAATCAACAGAGTTAAAACATAACCCATTAAAATGCATAACATAAATAAAAACAACAGAAAAACATTATAAATATATAAAAAACAAGCATCAAGACCATCAAAAACATGGCCCTATCATATGAAGCCCTGGCATTTGTAATGTGTTGAGATACTTTAACTCTCTGTCTGAGAATTCTAAACACTCATCTCTAAACTGCAGTTCCAAGGATTCCATAAGAAAGAACCACAGCTGTTAAAATGGGACCACAGTACTATAATTGTGTTATGTGGATGGGGCCTAGGTGTGCTGTTATGTGTGCCTCATTGAAGCAAATAGGGCTCATTGTTTCAGTGCTGGCTGTGCTTAGTGTATAGTAGGAACAGTGCTGGGATTAACAATAGATGCACAGTAGTTGCAGGGATGAGTGACCCAAGTAAAATGAGATATCGGTCATTGAAATGCCATCTTGGGGAAGATTATCAACATATCCATACAGCAAATGAGAAGAAATCATATTTGTTCGTTACAAAAGCAGGTTGTCTAAAAGTATTCAGGATCTTGTCATATCTTGGCATTTCTGTTGGTAAGATATTGAATACTTATAGATTTGTATGTTTTTTCATCCAAGGCATTAGATGGAGTTGGTTTTCCTTCATCTAATGCCTTGGAGTTTGTGGTTGTGTGTGTCAAGACCCAGAAGCCTCAAGAATGCCAAACACAGTATAAAAGGTCCAAACAAAGGTTTATTAAACACAAAAAAGGCTTAGAGACACTTAACTCAGTGCCTGTAGCACAAACTAAGAATCTATAGCAACCGCTAAGCAAAAAACCCAATTTAAATATAATCTGGATTATACCGGAGTATAATCTGGGATAACAAAAAGTTACAGCAATCTGCTTGAAATTCAAAAGGTCCAAAAGGCACAAGAAAACAAGGTGGGAGCATGCAAAATCAAGGTCCAAAAGCAGTCCGAAGTCCAGGCATGTCCAAAATGAGATGAAGTAGTCCAAAAAAGCGTAGTCGTCAAAACACAGCCCAGAGTCAAAGGGAAGGTGGAAGTCAGCACTTACGGAGTTCCAGCCAGAAGTCATGGAAACATGGAGATCTGTAGTCCAAGGACCCAAACTTGAGAGTATTGACAGTAACAAAGATCCAAACCCAATAAGACACTTTGCCTTTTGCAAAGACACATTGAATTCAAACCAACTTATATCCTATAACTCCTCATCAGAGGATGAACTGCTCCCCACCCTTTCATCATCACTTTCAGCTGCCTCATTCCCTGCAGCTGAGCACCGACGCCCATCTCTCCACCTTTGCCAGCATCTTTCAAGATTTAGGTCCTCCCAAGCGTTCCCAGATTGCCAGTCTTCTGCAAACCCCACAAAGTCATCACGGGATGTAGGCTGAGTACAGATGTCCCTAATCTCCTGCACACGGGTCCAGTCTAAAGCATCCTCCTCCCCATCATCACTCCCAGTCCCATCACTCCTTTCAAAACCCACAAAGTCTTCATCTTCTGTTGGAGCACTATGTATATCACGGATACGCTTCCTTTGGATCTCCTCATCTGATTCTTGTTCTTGAGTAGCCCGCTTAACTCCCCTACTTTCCTCTCTTTCCCCCATTTCACAATCTGAGAAACTCTTTAAGGACTCGGAATCAGTTGGAGCCATGAATATGTCTCTAATCTGCTTTCGCTGTTGCTCCTCCTCCAACACCTGCGCAACCCTCTTCTCCCTTCTACCAGTAGTAGTAAAGTTACTATCACGGTGTAGTACAACAGTGTGCATGTGTGCCTTGGGTAATACTGGTGATACAAAACATTTTCAGACTCCTCAAAAATTATTAAAATTGTCATATGTAGAAAATACCTTTTTTCAGGCCAGTTGTTTTGTTTACAAACTATGAAGTTTTGACAGTTTGAAACATTTCTTTTTGGACGAAAAAAACCCATACTTCAGCATGTATATTTTGGGTACATGGAGAGTTTGAATTAATATTACACATTATTTAACAATGTGAAGTTAAATAATGTTTAATATTATGAGGATGCTTGCCATAGATGCAGGCGAAATGTCAGGAGAGAATGCTTCTAGAACATGGCTATATAGCCCAAAAAACCTACAACCCAATGTGAAGTTATTTATGCATATGGTAAAAAGCCTCAAAAATAGAAAGATAGCTCCCAAATGTTTAGCCTGCTCCCCAGGGATCCTTTAAAAACACAGTTTGAGAAACAGTGAAGAAAAATTGCTCCAATTTTACTCCATTTAACTAGTAATGAATCCCCTCCTCATGTTTTAACATCAACATTAAAACATGTATGTGTGGTGGTGCGGGGGTGGGGAGCGAGAATATTATATGCTTACTACTCAAAAAGTAGTATGCTATTGATGTCTCCCAATACCATGGAATTTCTCCCTCAAACTCAATGGACCCTTAACATTTTATGTTCTGCATCTATTTCAAAGAAGTATAAATATTTTTAATTCTTTTCAAACGTCTGTGCAGTGTGATTTAGCACAGTGAGAAATAACGGGTGCTTCCTTCTTCCTCTCTCTTATTTGTTGCTTTTATGTACATAGATACTATGGTGATGTCCCTGAACTCTCAAAGACACGCATATTAGAAGTAATTTTCACCACATTTCATTTGAGGCCTTATCTGGTAGAGATAAAACAAGCTTGATACAATTCCTGGATTGCCATACAACCACCACTGTTAGAAAGGAATTATCTCACCTAATCTCCATATTTATCTCTAGTGATATGAAGCTAGTTCCCAGTTAATGTAAATCAGTTTTACCCAAGGGGGCATTTGAAATGTCATATTACCCCCACTGTTGTGGAAGCTCTGGACCTTCGTACAAAATCAGATATTTTTATTCCTCTTCTGTTTCCCAAGGTGCTTTGTACCATTTCTGTAATCAGCTACAAGAGCATCAAACCACTGCATCTAGTATATGAGTTTGAGCAACCATTGTCACTTTGTCCCTGTCTTCAATCTGGGGTGTTTTTTTAAAGTTCAAATAATGAATTTTCTTTCTTTCTCATTTTTAAAATTTTCACTAAAAGGCTTGACAAAAAAACTATCATTTGTGCTACAGCTTCTATAATTTTCAGAAAGATATTTCACACAAAGAGAGACATACTGTTCAACTGCACTTTACACATGATATTTGAAGAAGTGGTTGTTTGTTTATCAGAGTGCACATTTCCACTGGGTCTGACCATGTGTGCGGACTTTGAGGACTCCTTTGATGGCAGAAATGAGTCACTGGCCACTTTTCAGCAACAATGAATCACTGGCTTACATTCTTTTTCATCACTCTTTTCCTAACCCAGTTGCAAACAACAGATCCACTAAGAAAATCCAACAAATGCTAAATTCAGCAAAGGACAAAAGGGATCCTCTCACCTCTGCAGGAGTCTATCAAATACCATGCAGCTGTTGACAAGTCTACACCAAACACAGCCCCCAAACACAAATCAAGGAACATGAAAGGCACTGCAGACTAATTCAGCCTGAGAAGTCAGCGATAGCAGAGCACTTGATGAACCAACCTGGACACAAAAATCCTGGACCACTCTAACAACCACCATGTCAGACTACGCAGAAAAGCCATTGAAATCCACAAACATGTGGACAGTTTCAACAAAAAGGAGGAAAACTGAAAATGAACAAAATCTGGCTACCAGTATTTAAAAAATTCTAAAATCAGGACAGTAAATAAAGAGCAACACTCAAAAAAACAGGGCAATTCCATACACGAAACAATCAAGGCCAGCCTAACACCTCCTAACAAAGAATTACCCCAGTAAGCAAGGCTACAATGCTAATCAAGGTGGCCARTTGCAACATTCATACATGTCTCTAGCAGACAAGAGTTCTTTCTCCCACCCTGGACATTCCACAGATAYATAAAMCTCACTTGTCTAGTTTCTAACAGACCTCACAACCTCTGAGGATGCCTGCCATAGATGTGGGTGAAATATCAGGAGAGAATGCTTCTGGAACATGGTCATACAGCCCAGAAAACTCACAGCAACCCAACAGCAATGTAGTTTAGAAGGTCCTGTGTTAATTAATTAATAACAASAACTTTATTTATATCCCACACCTATCTCCCCGAGGGAACTCAATGMRGTTATTAAGATGGATATCTAAGTTCATATTTGCTTACAGGATATTGGAAGTTTCCTGGGAAGGTCAAAAGCTTGAACATTGTTTTCATCATAAATATCTCCGTGTCACCTTAGATCGAACACAAGCATATAGGAAACACTGCATGAACAAAGTAGCTGCAAGCAATAACATCCTAGCAAAATGGCACTACCTAAAAGAATCCTCCACCTTGTGTGACTGTTGAGCAGAACAGATAACTCTGCATCTGTATGCTTGTCCACTATGCCCTGCCTCATGTACAGAGGAAGAATTGTTGGAGGCTACAGACAATGCCGTTGCTGTTGCCTGTTTTTGGTCAAAAGATATTTAGCAGCTTGTGCTCCTTCTATTTTTATCAGTTTTATACTAATTTATGCAATGCTTTTGATATGAAATAAATAAATAAATATTTGCCTAGTCTTTATCCTTTCAGATATGTTTAAGCCCAACCCCAATAGTCTCACCTGCATTGTTGTATTTCAGGAGGATACGAGTTTGGTATGGATGATTTATTAGGCCAGGGTGAGAATTTACCTGTTTGGAACCACTGCTCTCTGTTAGTAAAAGGGAAATATGCATTTCTAACTACAGACTTTTTAAAAACTATGAATTGATAGATGTGCACAACCTTCTTGATTAACTATTTGTCAATCTTTTTTTTTTCAGAGATTTGCCAGAGCAAGCAAAACAACTTGTGAAATTAATGAAAAGCGACTCGGTAAGCTGGCAGATATTCAGGAGAGTTGCTTATTTGTCATTGTCTAAATAGTTCCAGACTTTGCTTTTCTGAAGTTATAGCTGGACAACCCTGTGCTAATATGTATCTATACATCAGAAATTATACATATATTTTCTTTTCTTTATTAGAGAATCAACATTTACACTGACTGGAAGGTCATAACTATATTTATTGGAGTCAATGATCTGTGCGAATATTGCAGAAATGTGGTGAGTTATGGAAATGTTCTTGAAGGCCTCTCATACTGAATGAAGACCAAAATGGAGCTTTGCAAAGAATCATTAAAGACATTTCTCTGTTGCTATAAAAAGACAATAATCTACAACCAACGTTCCCACTCTTAGTGCTGTCTGAATTGCTTGGCTGGAGGTTCTGCTCCACAGAAAAAAAATTATGATGATGATGATCATCATCATCCAGTTGTTTAGAATCATTAATATAAATTGTGTTTCACAAGTAAATGAACAATAAAACAGCTCCCTACCCTCAGTCTTGTAATCTAATTTAGACATAACCCAAAAAGAAAAGAGAATTGACAGTGTGGGAGGGGATTAAATCCAGCAGATACTGCCTTTTTTTCTCTTCCTCTGAGGACATAGCAGTGACATTTGGGATGGAAGGAAGGCTGTTCATCTATGTATGGGGCTAGGTATGATGGAGCTATGCTACCTTCTGCTTTTTGCCTCCAAGATCAGTGCATTGGCAGTTGTGATGGAAGGAGAGTCTTTCTTCTGTGTCTGAGCCTAGGCATGAAGGAGCTATGTCTGCCTCTTCTCTCCATCCAAAGCCAGGACAGTGGCACTTGGGACTGATAGTCAATTTTCATTCCTTCTGAAATACAGTTCTGGTGTGAGAACAAGGTTTTAATTTGAGGTTGAAGGAGGTAAGTTCTCTTTCCCGCTCTCCTGGCCATGAGGTTGTGAGACAAGAAGTGATAAATCTCCTTAATTTCTGCAGCTCGTTGGGGCTACTCGGTAATTTCAAAAGCGCTAGAAACATATAGAAATAAGGACAGCATTGAGCTACTGAACTTGCTGACCGAAAGGTCATTGGTTCGAATCCAGAGAGTGGGGTGAACTCTCACTGTTAGCCCCAGCTTCTGCCAACCTAGCAGTTTGAAAACATGCAAATGTGAGTAGATCAATACGCACTGCTCCGGTGGGAAGGTAACGGCGCTCCATGCAGTCATGCCAGCCACATGACCTTGGAGGTGTCTGTGGACARTGCCAGCTCTTTGGCTTGGAAATGGAGATGAGCACTAACCCCCAGAGTTGGACATGACTGGACTTAATGTCAGGGGAAAACCTTTACCTTTTCTCTACTTTTAGTTTAAAACATGAACATACTGGTAAAAGAGAATGGATATTAGAAGTTTGGGCATTGAAGTAATACTTGGGACAATGAAACTTACGATTCACATTGTTAGGAAAGGAAAGTGACCCAACTAATTTCCCCAAGTACCATGAGAAGAGGACAAGTAAAATTATCACAAGATGTATTTCCTTGTCATGRAAGAAAACAGTGAAACATGCAGTCTCTTGGCTCATACAAATATATGAGTGGACCATTAGAAAAACAGAGTCCTAATTACTGATCTCCCATCATGTTTCCAAGGAGCCCCCGCTGGCGCAGTGGGTTAAACCCCTGTGCCGKCAGGACTGTAGACTGACAGTTCGCAGGTTCAAATCCGGGGAGAGCGCGGATGAGCTCTCTTTATCAGCTCCAGCTCCTCATGCAGGGACATGAGAGAAGCCTCCCACAAGGATGATAAAACATCAAAACATCCCGGTGTCCCCTGGACAACGTCCTTGCAGATGGCCAATTCTCTCACACCAGAAGCGACTTGCAGTTTCTCAAGTCACTCCTGACAAGACCAAAAAAAATCATGTTTCCAAAGYATGATGACTACATGCCAGTTTCAGCCAAATCCAGTTAAAAATAACCTCCATCCTCTTATTTTCCCCACTCTCTTACACCCTTTTTGAGGGTGTAAGAGAACTGCTACATTTCTATATATATACACTTCATGAACTGAAGGCTATGGCATACCAGAGATCAGAGATATTTCTACCTGTCAAGGTTTGTTATCTCAGGTGACAGATTGTGTGACCTTTTCAAGTCACACATAGAAGGGGTGTGTGAACATGTGAACAGTCTCACCCACTCTGTCCCCAGACTTGTTGCCTCCTCGGGTCCTGGGCAAAATTTTGAAGTGAGCACACTCTTACATCTGTTCAGTCAGTTCTCCATATCCACAGTTGCTCTGTTCATGGATTCAACTATCTGTGGCTTTGAAATATATATTTGTAACATACCCAGAAAGAAAGACTTCATATTGCAATTTTATATAAAAGTCACCACTTTACAATGCCATATATAGTGGGGTTTGAACGCCCATGGATTTTGGCATCTGCTGTGAGTCCTGGAACCAAACCTCTTCAGATACCAAGGAACCGCTGTGTATATATTTCCCAGGAAAATAATTTTAGTTTCTTTTGCAATAATCAAGGTAGATACTTGGAAATGTTATTCTTTTGGACTTAAGCTTCTCAGAAAGTCGATCTTCTGACATTTAACATTCTGGGAATTGTAATTCAGCAAATTAACTTTTCTAAGTTCGTGTCATGAGTTCCCCTTTTACTGCAACTCTTACAAGAACTCATTACTACCAGGCTTATTTAGTAATGTGTACTCAATATTATGTTTATAAATGTGGAAATGAATAACAGTAGTTTTGTGTCATTATTAAATGCAGTTTGTGTTGCATTTTTTCATGTTCTCTTTTGTAGAATCAGTAATCTCTTTCATTCTCCTTCTGTTTATTATTAGAATCTCTATTCAGCTGCAAATTTTGCAAGTTATGTTAAAGAAGCACTTGACATTCTTTATGCAGAGGTAGGTTGGTAGAACATACTTTCGCTTTGTCCATGATTGTGCTTTGCTGCACAATCAGTCAGAACACTGCTGCCTTTTTTGTACACACCGAGACCACTGTTCAGCAGTACAACTAGAACTTATTATTTGCTGTGTGCCATTGGCTCATGGGGCCATACTCTAGAGCCATCAGATCCCATCTTATCTTGGGAGCTAAACAGGCCAGGTCTGGTTAGCATTTTAATGGGAGACTGCCATTGTATACCTGGTGCTGTAAGCTATAATTCAAAGGAAGGAACTGGGGAAACCACCTCTGAGTATTCCTTGCCTTAGAAAACCCTATAAGGGGTCACTGTAAGTTGACAGTCAGCTAGAAGGCACATGCGCGTGCGTGCGTGTGCGCACACGCATTGTGATTACATTCTAATGTATCTGTGAAAATATTCAATTTTAGTGCCTAGAAAATGGAATGTTTTCACATATATGATTATAATTAAATCAGTGTAGTCTCTAAAAGTGTTCTGTAAGCTCTGATTATGTAATTATTAAGGCATTGAAATATTCCTTTATCTATTAGTCCCCAAAAGAAATGCATATTGTTGTACTGCACATCTATTTTTGCTAGATGGAATATTGGAACCATGGGATCTATTTGGGGCAGATCCTCATTCTCCTTCTCTCACTCATTATATATTGTGACTCCTGAGTTCCATGTTTATGATGAGCCCATAAGACTTGTTCAACAGTGGAACAGACTGCCTTGGTGCGTTTGGCTCTATTTCGTTGGAGAACCATCTCATACTGGTACTTCAGTTAAGTAATTAGGTATTCTTGCATGACAGGCGATTGGAATATATGGCCTTTACAATCCCCTCCAACTCTCTATGATTCTGTGACCTGATATTTCCTACAAGTCAGAAATTATACTTTGAGACCTAATGCCATTTGCAACTCAACCCAAGATCTGGAGAAGATCCTTGTAGACTCAGAACAGAGCCAAACTATGTTCTGCATGCAACTGTAGGGAGTATATCCCAAATAATAGGGAGTATATCCCAAATAATAGCTTCTTATTGTCATAGAGACTTCTAGCAGGTCCTATTTTCAGTAGACAAGTAGGAGTACACTTTCTCAGTTAACTACATTCCCTGGCTACAAGTTACTCTATCCTTGCCTGAAGAAAACCTGGTGGTCTAGCAATATTTTTATAAAGGTAAACATCATGCTTGGCATAGCATCAGGGTTACAGTGAAAGCAAATGAGGGGATGTTATAAAGCAAATTATAAAGAGTACAGAGAAGGATGTATTTCAGGCTTTTGTCTATGTAGAAAGCATCACCCTCCAGAAGCACACCTCTGACCAGAAGTAATTATTTGCATTTCATGCTATATTTATGGATTATTTGGCCTACTTGTGAGCTGATGTACTCTGAGACTCATTGAATAGGCATAACTAGCAAATCTTAGTGATGAATCTGGCAATGCCTTTGAAAGTACTTAAGAAGATATAGAGAGGTTGTGTGTGTTGTATTTCACTATCCAGTAGCCATGGCACATTCATTAATTGTAAAGGGACTTGTAACATTTCAACACAATAGAAATATCCCAGTCACTCAGTCCATCCAGTTTTCTCTTTGAAAGACTGCACATAATCTAGTCTTTAAAAACATTTTAAAGGCAGTAGCTTCCCCTCTGTCCATGCCTCAACCTTGCACTAAGGCTACCCATCCCCTTCATCTTTCCTTGCTTGTAGCCTATTGCATGAGGAAGTGTTAGTCTCACCCTGTAGTCGCTTGTGAAAAGTTTCTACAAAGGAAAATTTAGCCTTGGCATGCTTTTTCCTTGAATGCATGGAAAAGCCCCTAGCAACAGTATGAATCTCTAAGCAGGGACTTTGTCAGCAACAAAAGAATGCCATCTAGAGAATATATAACAAATGCAAAGCTAAGGAAGTCCCATGCTTAAATAAGTCATGGAATGTGGTGGAAGAGTGGTTTCATGGCATTGCTAATTATTGGCAGATACTACATTTAGCAAGTAACTGACATATTCACAGCAATACTGTCATTGCCTATGAAGGATACGGCTATTGGGAGGCGCACAGGTTAAGGTCAAACGAGATGATAAATTGATGGACTATGACTGTTGCTTTAGATGAGATACACATTTTGAATATCTTGTAATGTTGATTGAATAACTGGGGATGCTCCATGTTCTCAACAGGTGCCTAAAGTGTTCGTTAACCTGGTGGACGTAATGGACCCTTTGCCCTTGAGACAGCTGTTTCAGGATACCAGGCTATCATGTCCCGGATATCTGGCAGAGTAAGACAGCTTTAATTTGTTGTTGTGTCCTGGACTAAATGGGAAGAGGAGACATAATACCTTAAACAGCAGATGCTAAGAAAGAGCAACAACACAATGTCCATGGGAGAACTTGGATATTGCGTTGAATGTTTAACAACAGCCCACCTAACGTTCCCTAAATGTATCTGCTGCCTTCAAGCCCGGCAGAGGACCCTGCCCTCTTTCTGGTTTCAAAGTTGGAATTGTGTATGTGTGACAATCCTGTGCCTTTTTAAAGCACCAAAAAAAGCTATATGTACCAATTGCATTTATTTATATGAAGGTCATTTCCGCTGACATTTGCGCCAGAAATTGACTAGAATGAGGCAAGCGCTTATGCAGAGGCATGTGAAAACTTTTCCCAAATGCTTGTTTTAGGCATTTTGAGAAAGATAATTATAATACAGCAGATGCTCTAGCAAGACTTTTTATAGGCTAATATGCCATTCTTCATAATAAGTTTTCTTTACTGTGTTTGGAATATTGTGGATACTTTGTGTTAGTGCACGTGAAAACAAGTGTTGTAGTGCTAGTAAGGATACAGAAGGAACAACAAAAATGATCAAGGACCTCAAAAAACCCTTCTTACATTTGAGGCTAAAATGATATAAAGGTTTGATATTGCATTAAAAAACAAAGAAATGTATAAAGTTATGCATGTGCAAAATAACTGTTAGCATTAATGTTCTTTTTGTGTGATAATATTGCACACAGAGGAATAGTTTTTACACATAAATCTCCATTGGAAAGTATCCACCAAATTGCATCAGAAAACTTATCAAAATGCCTTCTAAGGGAGTGTTCCTAAAGGTAGCAGTTGGCTTCCATATTAGTGGGGTAGTGGATTTAAGTAACTTTGGGGTTAAGACTGAACTCTACCAGAGTTGTCCAAGGTGCTTAATCCCATTCAACAGACGGACTCAGTTTGAAATCATTATATCTCTGCAACCATAAACCTCCCATGAATGAAACTTGAAAGGGTGGAGCATAGGTTCAAATGATTACCACTAGGTGCTTCTCCCAGTGCACAAATGGTCCCTAACTTCAGTAATTCACAGCATGGTGACAATGAAACACAAGGTCTAATGAGATATTACCCATTTTCGGAGTTATTTTTTAGATTTGTTTCTAGCTCAAAAGGATTAGTAACACTGAATAACATGATAACTCAGGAAACAATTTTTAACTTTTTGTGTAATTCTAACATGTTGCCATCATGAAATATACTGTTTTGAAATTGGCTCCATTGTTATGAAACACTCAGTAGATCCAGTAGTTTGGGTAGCAACTTTAATGTTTAGAACAAATTTTCAAGGATTTTTGCCATCCTAAATTCATGGCATCTATCAGCTCCTACAAAGCGTTACTGTCATTGCAACTCTTATCAAATAAACAGACTTCCATTTTTGCTTCCTTTTTCTATTATTCTAGTATCTTTATTGAGTAAAACAAACTTTTTTTACTACTAGAAGTTGCAAAATTGATAGGAATTGAACTTTATGTGTTTTCAGCAAAACATTGCATTCCTCACCATGCATATAGCAGTGAAAAATCCTCCTTGGCCTCATCAGGAAAGAAAACACTGAGGAACTTGGTTTATATCTCCTGGATGCCCAAAAGTTTTCTTACCTTTTATCCCCCATCTCCTTTGGTTCCATATCTAGTGCTCTCTGTATCTGTGTTCTCCCCATTAAAGAGGGCTCAGCTGTAATGGTGACGATGAAAGAAGCAATCAAAGCCTATCAGGTATATCAGTGAAGACTACTGCTTATTTATGTTTTGCTTATACAGTAGAGTCTTGCTTATCCAACCTTCGCTTAGCCAACATTCTGTATTATCCAATGTGCCTTGGCTGCTTCTGGCTTGGAAGAATAAAAACAAGGCTCTTCCTCAGAGAATTGCAATGAGGTTCCCCTTCCTTCCTTCCTTCCTTCCTTCCTTCCTTCCTTCCTTCCTTCCTTCCTTCCTTCCTTCCTTCCTTCCTTCCTTCCTTCCTTCCTCTCTTCCTTCTCTGGCTCCTTCTCTGGACTCTGCTTCCCTCCTTGCTGTCAATCTCCTCCCTGGGGCCTCACATTCAGCCCAGGCAAGGCTTCAGGGAAGCGGCCTCTGCGCAGGTAAAGGGAGAACCCCTTTGAGACTGCCCACTGCCCTGGCTGATCTGCCGGCCTTGCTCTCTGGCGCTCTTGACCTTGGCACCCATCCTCGCCTCACCCTCCCCCCTCCCTGCAACCCCAGTCCATTTCTCTCTCTCTTGCCAGCAGCAGAAGTGTTTACTTTATGGAAGAGGGAGGGAATAAAAGAAAGAGAGCAGGCACTGAACACAAGAGGCAAACCTTTGCTTGGGTTTAATAGGTTTTTCCTTAATCCCTCCATATTATCCAAGATTTTCACTTATTCAACGTTCTGGCAGCCCGTTTATGTCAGAAAAGCAAGACTCTACTGTATTTGTGTCTGAATGCTTTCTGAGATTGCCATGCTTTATGGACAGGAATGCTACATGTTCCATAGCAGAATCTTATACAGATTTTATGACTAAGATAAGATGCATTTTATTATTTGTGGTTCTATGCCACCTGGTGCAGAAGCTAGAATGTGACAGAAATTGGCATCTTGACAGTCTTGATTTCCATGTAAAATGAAAAAATATATAATGGAAGCCTGCACAATTCCAGAGAAAGATGTGACATTTTGAAAATACATAGATGAACCCCATGAACTTTTCTAAAAACAGATATGAATGTTTAAACTAGCACACACCTAAGAGTTACCTGTGTTTATGTTCATAATATTCTGGAAGTATATAACTCTTTCCTTGCCTTTGGACCTACTCAATGTGACTTGTGTTGATAATGCTCTCCTCTAGTTTATGGAAAATAAAAGCAACTGAATTCCATGAATGTAAATAGGTCTGTGCCTGTATCCATCTGTCTGCCTTGGTAAACAGATTCGCATAGCTTTATAACATAGGTATAACATTTGTGAGCCCATGGCTGGAATCTGGTGGTGAACTACACCAGCACAAATATACTGCCATTGACAGTGGTGGCAGGAGGAAAGGGTTCTGAGTGCAGTAACTATGAAGGAAGTACAACCCCCATATCCACAGAACTAAAATATCTGGTTTTACTTTTCCATGATTTTACTTATTCAGTTATTCACTTTGGACCTCATGTACAATCTACACCAATTTCTTAGTACCTCAGTCATTCATCCTATTAAAATAGTAGTGTTTGTTGTTTTCTATGGTTTCACACATCGATGCAAAGTTGGGAAATATATCTCCCATGGATAAGGGGGTCATATTGTATTGGAAAAAGTAATTGCTCAGTCTGTGCACATTTTCATTATCTTCCCATGCCCAGTAAAAGTGTAATTATGTATCAGTAGGATTCCATCCTTTGATTCAGACTATTGTAAAGATCTATATACTCAATTGACTCAGCTTTGATTTTAACTAGCAGTTAGGTATTTCCCATTCTCTCTCAAGAATATTTTTATTATCTTGCAACAATAAAACTTATCTAATTTTAAAATCATTGGCTTCGTCAGCAAAACACAGATTTATCACTTTCAGAAAATATCTGAGAAAAGGTCCTGGCATTTTGAATGAAGATGCAAGGCCAACGTGTCTTTGGAGGAAGAACCTTGATTTTTTTTTGCTCTGAAATGAAAATTTTACCCCCAAAATTCAAAAAGGCAATAGTTGCCCTTTAAAAAACAACAAGTGGGCAGTCTCAATGTGTCAAGATATGCTTTCTCTTGTCATGATACAGAAAGAGGATATTTCCAAGTACTGTGAACATCTTTAGCACTTGGACCCCAAAAATAAATTTGAAGAATGATATTTTATTTTTCTTCAACAGCACAGCCTCCAAAAGTTGGTGGCGAGCAACATGTATGATTCTCGGGAGGATTTTACAGTCGTATTGCAGCCTTCCATCCAGCTCACTGAATTACCTCGTCTACCAGTATGTATGTGTTCTGCATTTAATGTGGTGTTTACTTTGCTCATTTTTAAAGATGTCTTGAAGAGCAAAGAGGACTTTTCTTCTTATGTAAGTCTAAGAAAAATTAATGTAAAGCAGACAACCATGCTCCAGTCCTTACTACATAGCCCATTCCTCAGTCTCTTGGCATCACTATGATAAAAAAAATGCCATGTAACCTTCACAATGTCATCTTGTTTTTCTGGAGGAACAACAAATTAATATGAAAAGCATTCTGCAAGCTTAGCCTGTGTGAATATATCTTTGTTTTCTCTTCAAGAGCTTTCAGCACTGAGGAGCATTGTATGTGAAATGGTTTCAAGAGCTTTGTATGTATACCTTTTGTGATGCACTTGCATCGATCTTCAGACTTTGGGTCACATCCTTGACTGCTTTCAGCTGCAGTCTTAAATAACAAAGAATAGGCTACCTAGCCAAAAATAAGAACTTTTTACACATCAGGCACCAGCACAATGTGAGCTTACAGTTGTCTGAGACTAGTATTAGTATTGCCATTGTTTGGTTTATCTGGAATTGGAAATGCATATGTCAAAACACACACACACGCGCACAAATAAACTTTAACATAACAGTAATGTATCCATGTTGTATTATAAAAGAACTCTTTTAAATTCACTGTTTGTACAACTATGTCAATAAACCTGAAGAAACCTGACCAGGGCTTGTCAAAATTATGAATGAAAACTTGAAGCGTACCTATTTTGTTTTTCACTCATAAAAAAATGTCAACAAAACTGTACTGCTTTGGACATATCAATTAATTTATGTAATTTACATATTTTGCGTTATATAACATATTCAAAACTTTTTTAGTCTTCAAAAATATGTTCATTCTTCAATAAATGTTCAAAAATTTGTTCTCCAAACAAAATAAAAAGAATCCTGCAGCACTTTTGAGGCTAACTGGGAAAGATATGTTACTAGTAACAACCCTAATGGGCTTTGTCGACATTGTGTGCCTTCAAGTCATTGCTGACTTATGTCCACCCTAAGGTGAAATTACTTGTTCAAAAGGGGCTTTGCCTTCCTCTGAGGCTAAGACAGTATGTGACTTGCTCAAGATCATCCAGTGGATTTTCAGCTTGGCCTCCAGAGTCATAATCCAATGTGAAACCACTCCATCCCTTAAGTGATGTAATCAAAGCAGTTGCAAGCCAACTATAGTTCACAGACACGTGTGCTACTACAGTAGATTCTCTGCTTCCATAGTGGTTATGGTCACAGGTGCAAAAGTGGGGGGGGAAATAAAAACGGCTAATTTTTAATATGAGAAAATTCCTCTCTAGGAATATCTAGTTCCTTCAGCACAACTCTGGAGTTGACCATAGCACCACACTGGAAGACCTAGAGATTTCTAGAGAGCACATATTAATCAAAACCATAAATATTCAAATAAAAAAAGTTAAAGCTGCAAATGTGAAGAGTTGACCGTAGTTTCTTTTTCCCAGTTAGTCTCAAAAGTGTTGCTGGATTCCTTCTCAGGGGTGGTTCAACCCATTACGCAAAGTAAGCATTTGCAGTATAGTTGATTTTGCCCAGGGGCACTCTTAAGGCGCTCTTGGGGGAAAATAGACCTTGACATATGCGAGTTGTAGTTACTGGGATGTATAGTTCACCTACAATCAAAGAGCATTCTGAACTCCACCAATGATGGAATTGAACCAAATATTGCACACAGAACTCCCACGACGAACAGAAAATATATATCAGTGATTGGTTTGGGTGGGGGGGGGGGCGACAAAATACTGTTTGCTTACCATTGAAAATTACCTAGAGGGAGTGAAGAAGGAAAAACAATTCAGAAACCACTTCATTAGGCTGGCACTCTACAAAATTTGGGATAAATATAAAAAGAAAATATGTGAAAAAACCCCACAATGGATATCCCCACTAGAGGCGCTACAAAGAAGAGAACTGGACTGGAACAATTGGCCAAAATACAAAGACTTATTAAAAAAAGAAAAAGGAAGGATAATTTTAAAATCGCAACAGAAAATGAAAGAAATAAATGATAAAATCTCATGGTTTCAGTATAGACAAATTTGGGGATGCTACAAAAAAGACGAAAGATTAGGATTTGCAGAACAAAAGACTTTTTGGGATTCAATAATACAAACGGAAAAAAAGATAATAACGGAGATATATAAAAAGCTACAAGAATGGAATAGAGAAAGAAAAGAAGAAAAAGACTATATGAAGAGATGGAACGAAAATATAGGAAGGAAAGTAAAGAAAGAGGAGTGGGAAGAAATATTGACTAAAAAACTAAAGTATTTATATGCAACTGATCTAAAGGAAAATTGGATTAAAATTTCTTACAGATGGTATATAACACCATATAAACTAGGAAAATGTTATAAAAATGTAAATACCGAATGTTAGAAGTGCAGGAAAAAAGAGGGAACTTTCTACCATATGTGGTGGACCTGCGATAGCTTACTGGAAGAAGATAAAAGAGACAATAGAGGAAATGCTAGGCATGAAAATAGCTCAAAAACCGGAATTGTTTTTACTGGGCATGACGAAAATGAAAATGGATAAAAATACGGATAAATTATTATTTTTATTAACAACTGCGGCTAGAATATGTGATGCCAAATTATGGAAATTAGAGAAAATACCCGATGTAGAAGAGTGGATACAAAAAATACTTGATATAATAAACATGGACAGACTCACATTTTTATTATCAAGACATGAAGAAACACCGATAAAAGAAACAAATTGGGGAAAAATAACAGAATACTTAAAGAAGAAGAACTAGAAGACAATAATTTTTTTTTTAAATGGACTGGACCTCAAATGAAAGAAGGAGAGAAAAAGTATAAACAAAAAAGAAGAAAGGAAAAAGAAAAGGAAGACACCCCATACGACAATACCCAGGAAGTCATAAAGAACTCAATTTTTATTTTTATATTTTTTTCTCCTTTTTTTCCATTTTTTTTCTTTTTTTAATATATATGTTTTAAGTTTTTTTTTTCTCCAATATATATATAGATTTCCCTCTTATTAGTTACTATCTTTTCCTACTGTCCTGTCTTCTTGTCTTCAGTGGATGATCCCAGGTCATAGTGTTATGAAAGAGGTGCCTGAGCAAAACAGTATTTGTTGTTAAAATGTAACTTCCCAGTGAAAATTTACTATGAGTTCCATCACTGGGGTGCCCAATGATTTTGCTATTGTTGATGGTGTTCTTTTTTTATTTCCCAAAATCTCTGTTTTCAGGATGGGCAGCTAGATATTTCCTTCTTTGCACCTGATTGTTTTCACCTGAGTCAAAAATCACATTCCCAGCTTGCCAGGGCCCTCTGGAACGACATGGTAGGACACAAACATTCTTTCCAGAATATAAGACGTTATCTAAAGTACATTCATATTTTCTTGTTTGAGTGTTTTTTCTGTTCCTAGTAGCAAAAGTCCTTTGTCTGCTTTTCATGTTTTGGTAGAAGGCACAATCTAAGGACAGGCACAACATCTGAAAGAGGAAGTGCAGTGTTATGGTTGATCTAAAACAAGATGAACCTCCAGTGAATTCAGTCTTCTGCTAGTAAAGCCCATTAGACTTAGGATTCTTCTAGTCATTCACATTAATCACACTAGAGAATGAATTGACTTAAAATCCAGTTTCTGCCTCCTGCAGAATTCTGGTGTGTGTAGTTTAGTGAGGTTGTTAAAGGCTCCTCACTAAACTACAAACCCCAGAATTCTGCAAGAAGCAGAAACTGGATTTTAAGTCAATTCATTCTCTAGTGTGATGAGATCCCTAGATGAGGCTTTTATTCTGAAGTCATCCTGCTTTCTGCATGGAATTTTACATCTATAAATCAGACAGGGTACTTTCTCCATCATAAACCACTTGTTCTTCTCTTTCAAGGCAGAGCCCATTACAAGATGCACATGTACTTCTGGTTGAGCTCTGTCCAGAAAGAGGAGAGCAAGCATTATATACCACCGTAGCAGCAACATGTATTGCCTTGCCACCAATGGGGAGGGGGGGGGAGCAGGTTGGCAACACTTCCCCTCATGGGATTGAGGTCTCTGTAAGTCATACAATGTGAATTATGGTGTGACAGGTTCTCCATGCTCCCTGACAGGAGCCTATGGATTCAAATCCATGGTCGTTTGTAATGAAGTCCATAATATTTCATTGGTGTTTCTCCACTGCCTCCATCTTTTCCCATCCTATGCTAATCTGTTAATGGGGAGAAAATGGGATAGCTGTTCTGTGTCTTTTGACTGGTAACACTATGAGTCATCCATCTGGAAACAAATCTACAGGATTGAGTCCATTTTTTCTGATGATATTCCATTACACACATTTTCTGTTATTTTTCTCCTTTGCTGTTTATTGACAACACTTACCCTTACTGCTCTGTTATTTCATCTTGCTAGACAGTTGCTGTGTTACTCACTTAGAATTTTAATGAAATTATAGTGTTTATCTGGAGTATGGAAAAACAGCAAGTTGGAAGGTGTCTTATGGGTCAAATTGTCTGACAAACCCATCACAGTGTTTATTAAGTATTGGTATTTGAAAGTTTGAGGTTTTTAATGCTGCCTCATAATTCTTGTTTGTTTGATTCTCAGCTTCGGCCTTTGGACGAAAAAAACATTTCAGTCAGTCTTGTGGATAAAATAACTCTGAGCTGCCCAACTCTGGTAAACATTTCACTGTCTTCCATTAAAAAATTTTTTTTTGAAGGAGGGGACCAGTTTGGGTATCTAAGTGGGGTCTAAAATACCTGAAAATGTTGATATTAGCAATTTAGATATTGAGACCATTGCTGCATGTGTGCATAGATATTTCAGTTTTCATGAATATTTTCTGTCTAGTTCTGAAACATTGAAGCTGCAATCCTAGACATACATACCTGGAAGTTAAATCCCATTCAACTCACTGGGTCTTATGTCTGAGTACATGAGTATGGAATTGCAGTGTTCACCTATGTGTTCTTACAAATTAGCCTGCAGAACCTTGTACTGAACTTCTTTGCAGTGGTGCCATGGCTATGAAGCGCCTTCCTCTTTGGCCCCAACTGGCAATAACATAAATTTCATTTTTGCATCAGGTTAAAACATGGATTTTCAAGTTTTTGCTACTACCACATAGCTTGACCATGGGCTTCTGGTTTAAACTATTTTTAAACAAGTGGCACTCATGGTTTGAGTTTTGAGCTAGGACACTGGGAGACCAGGATTGAAATCTTCTCAGGCATGGAAAACCACTGAGTAACCTTGGACAACATACACTCCCAGACTCAGAGGAAGGCAATGGCAAATCTCATCTGAGCAAATTGTGCCAAGAAAACCCATAATAGGATTTGTCTTGGAGTTGCCTTTAATCAGTAACAACTTGAAAGCGTACAATAATATTAAAGTGTTGTGGATGAGTTTAAATTGTTGACTGCTATCTTATTGTTTGGATGTTGGTGGTATTGTAGTGTGTTATTTCCACCTTATAGCAACCCTTAAGTGGGGTTTTCTGGGCCCAGCAGTGAGTGACTTGCTCATGGTCACCAAATGGGTTTCCATGGCAGAGTAAGGAATCAAACCCTGGTCTCTAGAGTCATACTCCAAAGCACAAACTGCTGCACCATGTTGGCTTTCTTGCTTGGATATAGGGTGGGTTATAAATGTTTGAATACCTGCATGAATGTATCAAGATACGTTAAAGAGTTGAGGGAAAATATGCATGGATTTTTTCATCTTAAGTCACATTTGTGGACGCACGCACACACACATAAACTATTATAGCCAAGAGTCAACATTTAAAATGTTAACAAGTAGCACAGCCATCATAGTGCTGCCTAATACAGGCACACAAACAGAATGAGCACACAAAGGATTTCTGTGCTTCACATCTCTCCATTTTCACTTTGAAAAGATTTATCCATCACTACCATTAGGCCTGAGATCCAGTGTGATGTAGTGGTTTGAACATTGGACTAATATTGGAGATGAGGATTCAAATCCATGCTCAGCCAAAAAAAACCCCAGTAGGTGACCTTGGGCAGATCACACACTCTCTGCCTCAGAGAAAGGTAAAGGCAAATACAGTCTGAACAGATCTTATCAAGAAAATCCCATCATAGAGCCACCATAAATCACAAATGGTTTGAACGCCAGAACAATATCAACAACAATTAGGTCCAAACCTGAGAAATAGTGGTTTGTTCCAATTGTTTGGTTTCTGTTTGCTTTCACCCTTGTTAGGACTTATCACAATTCCCAAGTTGTAAGAAAAAATTGTGGTTTGTTCTAAATGTTCAAACTGCTCTTCTAACATATGCAAAGGAGGACAAGAGCTTCAGAGATAATTGAAGAACTGTGGCTAATTCAAATGTCATAGAATCAAAGAATAATAGAATAATTAAGTTGGAAGGGATTGCATGGGCCATCTACCCCAACCCTCTGCCATGCAGGAAAAACACAACCAAAGCACTCTCAACAGATGACTATCCAGCCTCTGTTTAAAAGCCTCCAAAGAACGAGCTTCGATCACACCCCAAGGCACAGAGTTCCACTGTTGAACAGTTCTTACAATCAGAAAGTTGGGTTGCTGTGAGTTTTTTTGGGCTGTATGGCCATGTTCCAGCAGCATCTGTGGCTGACATCTTCAGAGGTCAAAAAGTTCATCCTAATGTTCAGGTGACATGTCCTTTCCTGTAATTTGAACCCATTGCTCCGAGTCCTAGTCTCCAAGGTTGTAATATGAAATTAGATGGTTTTGATCTACTTTCTTCATATGTAGGAAAAACAAGGTGTTTGAGTGTGCAATCCAAAAATTTATGCAGGTTTTTTTCTGGTAATACAAAAACATTGGTTCCCTTCCCATTATATTAAAACCAACATAGTTGCAAAAGCATCCTAAATGAAGCAGATGGTTCAGACATACCATACTATTCCTGTTAGTTGCAAATGTAGTTACTTTTCATCTCAGCAATAGTCAAGCAGGGGGACCTCCTCCCACCATTTGAAGGTGAATCTCCACAAGCGACCCATGTCTGTGAGTGCCTCTAAACTGGTCAAAGATATCAAGAGGTGGCAGTGTTTGTTGCTTTGAGGTTTCAGCTTTTTTAAAATAAAAAAAAATCCAAATGTAATTGTCCTGGACATTTTTTTGGCATTTCCTGGCAGGAATTGAGTGACTTTCTTTTTAATTATAAGACATATCAGAGCAACATGTTCCTTTTTCTTGTCCTCATTTCTCTTGCTCTTCCATTTAAAAAAAAAAAACTACAGTGCTAGCCTGCAATAATAAATAACACATGTGCGGTATAGCACTGTAAATGTAAGGGAAAAAGGAAAATATTATTCAGTCAGCCTACAAAATGGACAACCACCAGAAAAATATCTCAAAATTCATGTATTTATAACATAAGGCAGACAAATCACAGTTGCAATGGAGCAATGTCATATTTGCTTTTGACTTACCATAGGAGGGAAACAGCTAGAAGGTATTTCTTTCACAAAAGGAGTTCATTAATAGATTTTAGTCAGCCCCCGACATTTACAGGGGTTAGGGGTGCAGAACCACTGTGAAAGTGAAAAACCACAAATTGCTGGTTTATCTGGAATTGGAAATCGGAAATTGCTGGGTTTTTTTACTGGTGATGCAGCAGGTTAAACTGCTGAGCTGCTGAACTTGCTGATCAAAAGGTTGGAGCTTCGAATCCAAGGAGCAGAGTGAGTTCCAGCTGTTAGCCCAGCTTCTGTCAACCTAGCAGTTCGAAAACTTGCAAATGTGAAATTTATTTATTTATTTATTTATTGTATTTCTATTCCACCTTTCTCAGACGGCGACTCAAGGTGGCTTACAAACTGGAAGCAATTTGATACCACAACATACATAAATACCATTAAAAACATTTAACACAACATAATGAAAATCCATATAAAATCATTAAATCTATAATCATCAGTGTCTTCCAGATAAACTCATTTTCTATTAGATCAATAGGTACTGCTTTTGCAGGAAGGTAACAGTACTCCATGCAGTCATACTGGCCACATGACCTTGAAGATGTCTACGGACAATGCCAACTCTTCAGCTTAGAAATGGAGAGGAGCACCAACCCCCAGAATCAGACATGACTAGACTTAATGTCAGTAGCATACACTGCCTTGGAGGGTGATGAAGTCTCCTCTGGAGGTTTTAAGCAGAGGTTGGATAATCATCTGTTGGGAGTGCTTTGAATCTGTGTTCCTACGTGGCAGAATGGGGTTGGACTGGATGGCTCTTGTGGTCTCTTCCAACTCTATGATTCTATGATTCTACAAAACATAAATGGTAGGGCCCATGGGATTGCCAAGCAAAGTAACTACAGTATTTTGTGGGAGGAACAATTAAGTGATGCTTATTTTGACGTGTGTCCCGGGCTCCCTTGCACATTTTTAGAGGAGATTGGAGTGTAAACTACATAACATGTGCTCCAACATCTTCCACAATACTGCAAAAAGTCCAGGGACATGCCTTTTAAGTCATCTGATGCATAAGGCAGGAAAGGCTGACATGAAGTATTATTGGGCTTGAACTTTGACAAATCTAGAGGGAAATGAGATATATATAACTTAAGTGATATAACCCATTGTGTTCAGCTTGATGCATAGAGGATATTGTATGAAGTTGTCCTGACAGATGTTACAAATCATAAATGAAAGAAAAATAATAAGCTCTTAACAGATAACAAAAGTGCTGCTAGAATTCTTAGTCTCAGATAGTCTATTTTTTTCTTTCTCCCGCTTTGTTGTGCATTTATGTGCTGAACAAGCATAGGCATTACTACTGTGATGTCAAGCTGCAGCATTGCAGTGTTTGTAAGAATCTGGATAGGCTCACAGTGGCAATACTAGAAGGCATACAAGAGTTGCTTCATGCATATCATCTATAGAAGTTTGAATAGCTGTGTGAATTTAATATAAATGTTATTGTGTTATCGATGTTTTAATATTATGTCCAAATATCATTCTATGTTTTATGTTTAATATGGTTCGGTTTTTAATTTATAGTTATACGTTATTGTCTAGTTATACGCCTTGGTTTTCACATGTATGTAAAGCATTGAATTTAGCCATTATTATGTTGGAAGCTGCTTTGAGTCCCCCCCAGGGGGAGAAAAGCGGTATATAAATGCAGTAAATAAATAAATAAATAAATAAATGATAACTACTTTGAATATTTAGTGGGAAAAATGTCAAAATAATCACAGCCTGCCCTTCTTTCTCAAGTGGAATTATTCCACATACCAAGAACAGGCACACTTTTCTTTGTAATTGCAGAACTTCAGTTCATGTCAGTTAATATTATACCTTCAACTTATTATTTTAATGATCATATAAGACCTCTTTACTTGCTACCACATGAGATTTTTGGAACCTGGCGTATTTTTTCTCCATTAGCTCCAGCCCTTCTTTGGAACCTCCAAGAACAGCATTCGTCCATCTCCAGATCCCACCAACGAGCCAATCGAGGTGATCATTCTGACTCTGTATTTCACATATATGCCTAGCACAAAATGTCTGCTATTCTTAGGATGTTTTCACATATCACTTTACAGACTTACAGGGACAATTTGAATTAGGACTACTTCATACATGTAGATTTGCAAGAGGATTTTAAAAAAATCCATTTCATTTTAAATTTCAATTGAGATGCTCTTCAACAAATGGGCAGTTAATATATCATTAGACAACTGTCCAAACCATTATTCTGCCCCTGTCTATGGACTTCATGTTTTTAGTTTGATCCCCATTGGCAGCCATTGGAAAAATAACAGTGCAAATAGACATGAACACAGAAAAATCTCTCAATTAAAAATGCTTGGCTGCCGTTATGTGGACAGGGAGCACATACTAGCGCAGAACAAGTTTTTCCACAAGTGGTCTGGCAGTTTCAACACCAAAATTAGGTTTAAACCTATATTGAATGGGATTCACAATATCTATTTCATCTAAGAGTGCTTGGATCTGATTGTCTATCATCCTTTTGACCACCATGCCAATAATGAGAAAATTGGCCACTAACTTACAAATTCTTCAGCTCTCTAATGAACTCATAAGGAGGAATGTATACATTTTGTCTCATAAGGAGGAATGTATACATTCTTAGATGCAGCCAGCAGTCCCTTCTTTACTGCATGTAATTGGTTACATGAGTCAAGTTTTCCCACAGCATTTGACCAAATGGTGCCTTAGGTGCCTCCACAGTTTGAACTGTCTGAAGCATAGAAACTCGGTGTACAGAAGTTGATTATAAATTGTATGATTTTAACTGTATTGGTGTTTAGATTGGCTGCAGTAATGCTGGAGCGGCCTAAGTCAGAGGAGTGCGTTGCCATGGAGACGATGCTGTAGAGAGAGAAGTGGGAGGAGCTTAGAGGGGAGAGTTTGAAAAACGACAGTTTATGTTCAGTTAGGGTTTGGAACTCGGAGTGAGCAGTTCCAGTTAGGAGGTCGTTTCAGTCAGCCGTCGGAGATAGTAGTTTAGTGGAAGAGCAGTGAGAGGGAATAGCAGTAGGTTTTTCAGCCTAGGAAGGCGGGAGGGAGAAACCTAGATAGTTTCTTTAGTCAGGGAAGGCTAAAGAAAGCTAGTTAAGATCGCTAGTCGGGAGAAGACTAGAGATCAGTAGTTTGATCAAGGACAGATCAAATTAGAAAGCTATTCACCTCAGGAAACATTGCTCAGCAAAGTGCTACATTTCACTAACAGTTGCTATAAGCTGTATCATTTGAAAGAGTGTTACTTAAAGTTCCAGAAGTCATTCAACAACTCGTAACCACACGCTTTGTACAAAATAAACTTGTTCTCTTTTGTTGAAGACCGTTTCATCTCAGTCAATCTGCGTCTGTGAAGCCAAATCTTATCATTGATAACCCATATACCTCACGATTGGTGGCAGCTACCCTAGTTTACAAATAATTGGCCTCCCCTACAATATATTCTTTCCAATAAGTGAGGCCTGAGTTTAATTCCCTCCTTGAATATACGCGCTTCGTTACACTCGGTTGTAAAGAATATAAGTGATTTTGTTCAGTAAGCATTCCAGAGGGTGTTAACAAAGGATAGAAATCAAAAGACCCTAAACCACTCAGAAAATGTTTGCTAGGCAACACCGAGATGATGCAACAATGGAAGACGGATAAAAAAGCAACACAATAAAAAATAAGAAGCTCACCTTCTTGTACTTCAAAGGTCACTACGCCTTCGCTAGACGTGAGATTACAAAGGCCAAAGCTTGCAGCCACTGTCTGCTTTAGGCCTGGGGAAAATACTACACTATCCCAATAAGAAGTTTCTAGCACCAGGTTTTCCAAATGGCCCAGGAAAAGAGAGCTTGCATCATTCAGGCCTAGGGGATGAAGCACAGGGCATTATTTCTTTCAGATCACCCCCTGTGAGCATGATCACCCTCTCAACTATGCATGCCACATTTTGGCTTGGTCCCAAATGGAATGTGTAGCATATTGCAGTGATGGTGAGATATGCAGATGTAACCAAGTGTTTTAGCTATGATGTGTCATGCCCAAGTGTTGACATTCTTGTAACTTTCAAAAGCAGGTATTCCTATCATGCCCAAGAAAGGTTTCATGAGTGGATGAACAGAGGATTTTCCAAGGGGAACTCTGGGATTTAATCCCTGGTATAAGCATTGAGTTCCCCTGGGGAGATAGAGCAGCCTATAAATAAAGTATCATTTTTATTATATTGGGATGATCTGTCGTGTGTCATCCATTTTATACTACTTTAGAGTAAAGAATGCTGCAATAGAAAAGGGGCTTGTTTATGACATTGCTGAGACTCACTGGGCTCAGTTATTGGGTAGCACACTGCAAATGCTTATACAGCAGTAAACTAGTCTTTTCAAATATACACGGGAAAGGTTATTAATTACTTTGCTAATTTTAAAGTGAAGAACAGCCTGGTGTAGAATAACCTGTTTTAGGAAAGGATAAGGCTGACTGTATCTAAAACCACTTGGGCACAGCTATAGAGTACAAAGAGCTGTTGGAAGAAAAGAAAAGACTGCAAATAATGCAAATTTGATATGCATGATAAACAACATCAGCTAGAAGAATTTAGCATTATGCTGTCTCTGATGAAATCTGGGGATGGAGGCAATAAGTAAAGGCTGACTACAATAGGAACCAGAGTTTAAAAGGCAGGAATTCCTCTGATGCAATAATTATTTCTGGGTTTTTCATACATTTAGTGTACCCCAGTATATAAAAAATAAAGGCTAATAACTGTTGACTTTTTATCTCTCCAGAACTGGGGTAGCGACCTATTGTGCTCTAAACCAGCTCCATCGAAAAGCATCCCAAAATCAGGTGAGGAATAGGGCATACAGAGAAAATAAGTAATGCTACTTTCTGTTGCTTGCTTTGATTCAGTGCTGGTTTACTGTAAACTTTGGTGAAGTGCAGATGGAAAGATAGTTAGCATTTTTTGACATTGCATTTTGAATTCATATTCCTGCAGCTATGAAGGGTGTAAACATACTTGAAAATAAAAATTGAGATTCTCAATACTTTGAAAAGAGTCTCTTATCACAAACAAAATGCCTCCAGGACTGCCATGGACATAGATAAGAGTAGAAATACTGCACACAGTGCAGCTGCTTAAATACCCTTGACTTCAGTGGAATTTAAGCTGCCTAATAGTATGCAAGATTGCCCCCTCTCAGGAGAGAATTAAATTCAGAAAATGGCAAAAAGATAGCAAAGAGGTTATAAAACATTTCTCATAAGGAATATGTATAATATTGTCATTCTTAACATTCAACATTGTTAATTTGTGTGCTAGATTTCATGAGTCCTATCCATGCTTAAATAGAAACATGTTTGTATAATATGGTGTATTCTTATTTAGGTTTACTTTAAAAAAAACTGTTGAATTCCTGTTTTTTGGAAAATGGACATCTCCAACCTTTTGGAGATTTTATGGTCTTTGGAAAGGCATGACCTTGTTAGAAGTCATAACCTTTTGAAAAATTGTGCCATAACCTCTTGGTAAATAGCATGACCTGTTAGAGTCATAACCCTTTGGGAAAATGGCATTCATGCAAGGTAATCAGGTCTCTCAGCTGTCAAACTGATGTACCCTGATATTTATTTGTTTGTTTATTTCATACACTTTTACCCCCCCCCCCCCCCCCCCCCCCCCCCCCCAGACTCAGGGCGGCCTCACATAAGCATCGTACAATGCTATCAACATATAAATAATCAACAATCACATTAAAAACAATTCATTAAAACAATAGATTAGTCATGCCAGTTTAAAACCAAATCCAAGTCTGGGGTTAATTCAGTGTCACAGTATCCAAGTCTTCTTTCCAATTGCCACTATCCATTAATCGAACGCCTGGTCCCAAAGCCAAATCTTCAATTTTCTTCTAAAGCACAGGGGGGAGGTGGCCAATCTGATGTCCCTGGGGAGAGAGTTCCAAAGACCGGGGGGGGGGGCACTGCCGAGAAGGCCCTTTGCCTTTAAATCATGCTTTCAAGAAAGAAAAAATAAGCAGACTTCTTTAAAAGTAATATAGTTGGTTTACTCACAAACTTCATGTATTCAGCATAAAGGTGCTTTGCTTATCAGTCCAGTTACAAATAGTTTTGCAGTAGTTTCTCTGTGTAGGTAACACAGGGCACCATTCTTAGAATCAATATTTCATAATTTAAAGCATCTCTCTGTTCTGAGAGTCTTAATAGAGTCTCCGTCTAGTCTGAAAATCCAATGGTGTGTAATGGCTTCTGTACAGCATACTGTTCCTACTGAAGTCAGATGCATACATCTGTTTCCACTGAAGTCTCTAAACACACAGTTCTAAAATGGAGTCTGAGTCCTGATCAAGCCCAGTTCTGATCACATAGTCTGCAACTCCTCGCACAACAAGGAGTTAAGGTAAAACTGCATACCATTATACACATATACAATACAGTAAGCAATCTGAATTATATACCTAACAAATAAGTAGTGGAGGCTTGAGAAGATTGCTATTTCTAATACTATTTTCAAAATTCATTCTTTTCAATGCCAGTGACCATCCCTTTTCTGTGTTTTGTTCCCTGTCTTCATATAGTACACAAACTGGAGCCAGCTGACATAAAAGTAGTAGCAGCATTGGGTGATTCTTTCACGGTAAGTCTATACATCATACTGCAAAATACCCTTCTCCCCAAGGAAGCTATAGTGTCAGTTGACATGTAATAGAGAGTTAATGTGGGTAGCTTAACAAAGGAGAATTCGTGACCAACACAGATGGTCCAACAAAGTATGAGCTATTTTTAGCTGGGATGCCATTGAAACAATCATGCCAACTTGCAACAGGATTGCTATAAAAAAGTCATTGTTTGATGTAGTTTTTGTCTAATTACAGGACATTTTCGCTTCCAGGCCTCATCATTTTTGTAATTTTGCTCAGATAGTACAAAATTGCATTCAATTTTTTCATGCAACTCATGTTGTAAATGGAATATTTTAATGTAGTACAGTATAGGCAGCACAAGATAATACCTGAGATGGGCAGGAGAGACTATTTTGTTTGTTGTTGTTGTGTTTACATGGCTGGAGTCCTTGATAGTAAAAAGGTATTTATATGTAATTTTTCTATTGATACTGTTCTGGTACGGCTGTACCAGGAGCTCCAACTTCTTTTTCTTTCTTTGAGTGTTTGCATGTATTCCAAGGTTCCATGCATTTTGCAATAAGGTGGCTTCCCTTGGTTTGCAATTATAGGGCCAATGATCCAGCAATCATCATTAGGTTATTTAGTTCCGCCCCCTTTTCTGGGTTTAGGAGGGAAAAGGGGGACCTCTAGTTCAGTTCACACGAGAAGCCTTTCGTACAGGACGTGAATCAGTTCACCTGTAGAAAGCTTCGTCTTTTACAGCTTTTGCTGGGGGGAATTCAGTCCCAGAGCTCTACAGAGAAGCATAGCCTTTGCTGGGGGGATCCAGTCCCATAGCTTTACAGCCAGCCTTCGCTGGGAATTGAAGACCTTCTTTCCTCTTGGAAATCTACAAAAGGATTCTATTTGGTAAGGGCCACTCGCGGCAGCCATAACGCAATTTGGACCGGGTATAGGGGCCCACGCCAGCAGAGCCTAAGACAGATTGCCCAGGTAGAGGTCAAGGATTTCCCTGATAGTGAAGAAACGGATCATGAAGATAGTTGCCTGTCCCTTGTGGACAAGATTAAGAAAGCCACCAGTTGATTCAAAGCCTTGAAGTATTTGTTTGATTTATTGAAGACCTAAGCATTGATAAAGAACTTTGTTAAACTTTCCAAGTTTCTAAAGACTTTGTTTAGATAAATCCAAAGGGCCTCTAATCCGAGGCACCCCCGGTGTCCTGTTAGGCATACAGAACGCGTCCTGACTACAGACCTTTTCACAGGCCCAGAGCGTGACAGCACAGATACCTTTCTTGTCCCAGGGCATAGGCCAACTATCTTGGTCTTCTCAGGAACATTTATACAGTGTGCCCTCATTATCTGCTGAGGTTTGATGTCAGGTCCCACAAGAATACCCAAATCCATAGATGTTAAAGTCCCATGATATAAAATGGCAAAATCAAGATTTGATTGTGTATGGTGGTTGTGGGGGGTATTTTCAAGCTGTGAATTGTTTATTCTATGGACACAGTATCCGTGGATATGGAAGACCAACTATACTTCTGGATTGTTTTAGGTTTTTCGCACTATATGGCCATGTTCCAGAAGCATTCTCTCCTTACGTTTCACCTGCATCTATGGCAGGCATCCTCAGAGGTTGGGAGGTCTGTTGGAAACTAGGAAAATTGGATTTATATATCTGTGGAATGTTCAGGGTGGGAGAAAGAACTCTTGTCTGTTGGAGCTGGGTGAGGAATGTTTCAATTGGCCACCTTGATTAGCATTTGATGGATGGACAGTTTTTAGGTGTGGCTTGTGGCTACCTGGGGGAATCCTTTGTTGAGAGGTGATTAGCTGTTTCTGATTGTTTCTTGTCTGGAGTCCCCCTGTGTTTGAGTATCGTACTTTATTTGCTGTTATAATTTTAGAGTTTTTTAATACTGGTAGCCAGATTTTGTCCATTTTCATGGTTTCTTCCTTTCTGTTGAAATTGTCCACATGCTTGTGGATTTCAATGACATCTCTATGTAGAGAAGAGTACTTCTCCTACTCCATTATTATCTTATTCATACATTACTTGTTAACACGTTTTTCTCTTTTTCAGAGTGCCGCAGGAGTGAAAGCAACGGATTTGAATGATCTACAAATAACATGGAGAGGGCTTTCCTGGAGGTAGAGCTTTCCCTAGAATTCCTCCCAAGTTCTAGTTCAACAGTGAATTGAAATCATCATGTTGTAGAGTTAAGGCTGCCAGAGATGAAAATGAGAGCAGCATGTGTATGGGAAGATTACATCTTTGAGCATATGTGAATCCCAAAAGATACAACTTGTACCTTTTCCAGGGACAAAGGCCATATTGGTGCCCTTCTGATAATGTGGTTTTATCATACTGTCTTTAATGCAGATGATATTACTGCACTTCTGTTACAGCATGAATGTAACATTTAAAAGTCCAAAACAGCTTTGCCCTGTATATTTGAAGAAGTGCAGCTCCTTATTTATCAGTTCCTGAGAATGGAGGTTTGTTGGAAAGGCTGACTTTCCTACTAGTTGGGGCAATACACTGTAGGATCCCTTAAAGACCCAATTGATGCCAATACTAAGATCAGTTTTGTGCCAGGAAGAAACATCGATTTTGCTGGGACCTTTGGGGCCAATTAATTTAATGCAAATTTGCATATGTACTTTGAATTAACTGGTTTTAAACTGCTTTGTTTTAACTTGCCATATAATATAATTTTAACCTGTTTAAAATATAGATATAGGGTGGGATATATATATTGTGGTACAAGGGGCTGCAGTGGCGCAGTGGGTTAAACTACTAAGCTACAGAAACTTGTCCACGAGTTTCATGTCCATGAGGACTCCAAGATCATTTTACATGTACTGCTGTATAGCCAGGCATCTCCCATTCTGTATCTTTGCACTTCATTTTTTCTGCCTAAGTGGAGTATTTTGCATTTGTCCTTGTAGAACTTTATTTTGTTACTTTTAACACATCTCTCTAATCTGTTAAGGCCATGTTTAATTCTGCTCAAAACAGGATATAAATTAGATAGATAGATAGATAGATAGATAGATAGATAGATAGATAGATAGATGGATGGATGGATGGGTAGGCAGGCGAATCTCCTCCTATAACACTACTTGCACTGATTTCCAAACTCAGGTCTGTGCAGAAGATTTTCTTCTTTATACAAATTATTTTGATAAAAATCATTTTATTGAAACAAAAATAATCCAGTAAGATAGTGATGAATGCTATGGATCTGTCTGGGAAAAATACAGTTTAGGCAGTGATTTATTATTTTCCTAACATTTGGAGCAATGTCACCTTCAGACAATTGCCCTATCATTATCTTGCCATATATGCAATAAATGCATAAAAGTAACGAAGCCTGGAGGTTTGAGGCTTAAATTACCTTATTTTTCAGAAATGAGGATAAGGAAATGTCCTTTAATATACATGTGTTCCATCCTTTTTCCTTTTATCCAAAGGTGGCTTTGTGTTTGTTTCCTTTTGTTCCAAATCTATCTCTCGCCCCACTCCCTTGCTAATTTAGCTATATTTCTAGAACAGATGGCAGGTCTTTGATATGCTATTAATGTCACCCACTAATTCTGTATTATCCTTTTCCTAGCTCTGGAAGTGATGGAAACTTGGAGATGCACACAACATTACCTAGTGAGTAGCCTAGGATATCCCAGCAATTGAAAAAGGAATGCTTATGGATGCTTTCTTTTAAAAAATGGAATAGTTTCATTTTAGTGATTTATTAAGGCTTATGTCCAACTTAGTATAATTCACTTTTTTGTTGCAGAGATTAGGTTGGTTTTTTTTAACCAACTGTGCAATTAATAAACTCCTATCAAACCACCATTTAAGCTGCTAAAACCTCCAATTTGGCTATTCAAGAGTGGGGCATGATCCAGTTAATGTCTCTGTAGTTGGATCCACAGTTATGATGCCATCAGCCTCTGGGATCTCAAAAAGACTCCAGGAGCATCTGAAAGATACCTGACAATATGCATTTGGCTGTCGAAACAGCACTGGATGGTGCTTTAGTTCCTCCACCAGCTAGTAAATAGCCATGAGGGAGCTGGGGCAGCTTAAGAGGGATGATATGTTTTGAAGTTCTGCTTGCATGTAACTTTGTGATACATCTCCCGACCCAGGAACTTGCTTGAGGTTTAAAGAATTGTGAACTCATGCTGTCATTGTAAACTCTTTCCTCGCACCCTCTTCTTGTGTACAGATTCAATTCCTTACTTTCTGATTAAATCAAAATATAATTTGACATGCTATCCACACAACCAAATTGTTCTTTGAGTGAGTTCCTGCAAGATTTGGTAGTGGTTTGCAGCCCTCGTTTGGTAACAATCATGTAATGTAAGTCACTGTTCATCAGTCCAGATAGCCTTGTAAACTCTTGATTTGATTTCAACAGAAAGTAAAGAATGGGGCAGGCTGTGTGTAAGCACCATAATCACTCACAATCCCAATGCTAATTGTATTAATGCCTTGGAGAAGAATCTGTTCGATTTGACATTGGGGAATATAAAGTTCCAACTGTGTATATTTACAGAAAGATCTGTACTAGTGACTGTTAACAGCTGGGTGAGTTTTCCCAGTATACCCTCATAGTGAAGCAGTGACTATTTGTTTGGGGAGGTGGTACAACACCAAGGGACACCCAGTAGCAAGCCTGGAAAAAAAGCATGGTGTATGGAGGTACTGACTACCTCCTTACACATTGCTGGAAAAACTTACCTAATGTAAGCCCCAATCAGTTCCAAGAGGATTCCAACTACTTTCTAATTTTGGAAGTTGCTCAGCTTCTCACTACTTGGTGGATTCTAAAGTGTTACTCATTCATGCATAGGAGGAATAAGGGAGGGACAATGCAGGCTTCAGTTGATTAATTACTTGGGAACACACTAGGATCGTAATTAATGTAAACCAGTCAGCTTTTGACTTTTTAATGTTTTGTTGTTATGCTACAACAGAAAAATTGGGCCAACTTGTCAACTGAGACACTCTGTGTGTGTTTACACACAATCACACTTTACCCCACAGTGAAGGAATATGGTGTTCCCTTGGTCCAGCCATGAACTGACTGTGTCCAACTCCAATACAGAATTCTATGTGTTTTAGAGCACCTTTGCATACTGTGTACTTTCTATGTAGTATACAACCCTTGCATTGTGAAATTTGTGGTGTTAAGGATTGGAATGCAGTTGATATGTTCCATTTTAATGACAGTTTGCAAATTAGGTGGTTAGTGTGGGTAATAGCTACCTCAGTAATGAAGGTCTCCCGTCACACTTCAAACAATATTGATTGCACTTGGCAGTCCTAACCAGAAAAATTCAGGTTTGAAAGGAATGTAATGAATAAAATGATGGCTTCCAAAGTCAACATGGGGAGTGTCTGTTGCTCACCTGGAGAATTCAATCAAGCCAGCTAGACTTTGATGAAAAAAATTCAATATTAAGACAAGCTATTACAATATGACCCTCATATCTGCAAGGCTAATACCTGCAGTTTCACCTACCTTCATCTGACGATTTTTCTATGTCCTCCTGGTTGTTCTATGTGACAAACACAAGGCCCATGGTCCAAATTTGGCCCTTCAGATCATTTTATGTGACCCATGAGGCTTTCAATGCCAGGGCAATATGTTTATACAGTCTTACAATTACAAAATGGCCATTTGAAGGCAATCATAAAGCTGATGTGGCCATTGGTGGAAGTGAGTTTGACACCCCTGTTCTATGATATGCTTCTACCAGAAGCTACCATAGAGTAGCTGTGGATAATATAGAAAATTCTTAGAAAGGATATCTTAGTAGGAATTTTCTAGGTACTCCAAGGTGACTCTGTAGTAACTCATTGCAGAAATTGTTCATTTCAATAGGGTTTGGTATTATCTGTGATTTCCTTTTTCTATGATAAGTTCAAGAATGTATGTCCTGCAAATGCAGGGATTGTATCATACTTTGACATTTGGATGTACAACAGTGAAGTTTAGTACAAGCAAGGAATTTTATAGGGACAAGTGCCTTTTTTTAGTAATTTGGTCACAGCATTCAAGTATGCATGCCTACTCTGCAGAACTGCTGTATGAGAGTCAGTGACAGTTCTTGTTCATCACATGGAGACTGACCTTGAGCTTCTCTTCCTCGGCCAGATATTTTGAAAATGTTCAATCCAGAACTCACTGGTTTTTCCACTGGCACCAAGAAGGAAACTGCAGGATTCAACGTGGCAGAAGACGGGGCAGTAGCACAGTAAGTTTTATCAAGATGCATATGGGCAAAGAAAGAGGTGAAATGAAAAAACAATACAATATTATGGATGACCTAAAAAACTGTCTCAAAGCCAAGTGCTTAGTTATTACTAACTATTCCATTGGCTATTTGTTTTATGAATCTCTGCAGAGACTTTTGAAGTGATCAGTGTATGAGAATCTATAAATCATTCTAGATACTTGGATTGGGGTGGTATATAAATGCTCAAATTATATTTTAAAATAGTCCTCATAAGGCACATTGTATACAATGTTGGTCAATCTGTTCAATAAATCATTTGCTCACTGTACTATGTGCTTACCTGAAAATCTGGCCAAAATGGAAATAAAGGAGAGCTGCTCCCAACCTGGTACCCATGCAAGGTAATTGAAAGCAAATCCTATCAGTTCCAGAGAGTATAAACAATGGTTGGGGATAATAGAGGTTATTACAAGGTTGGGGAAGCTGCTGTGGGAGCTGAGCAAGAGATGTCCCTTTTCATGTACTGTCATCACCACCTGCTATCTTCTTGTTTTGGAGTTCTCCCCATGATCATAAGCTGGATCTACATTGTTAAATAATGCAGTTTGAACTGCATTGAATGTCATCATATGAGTCTAAACTGACCACATAATACTGTTCAAAATGCATTATTTGGCAGTGTATCTCTTGCCTCACTGCCTCCAATAATATATGACTCTCCTGCTGCTTCCACTACTTGGAGCTGGAGGTGCAATGTGTTGGTTTGGCTTGGGAAGCTGGCCTTCTCATTCTCAGATAGAAAATCCTACTAATACTGTCTGATTTCTAAAATCCCAACAACTGGTCACAGTCCCTGCCAATCCAGGCAATTTTTTCGTATCAGGAGTGACTTGAGAAACTGCAAATTGCTTCTGGTGTGAGAGAATTGGCTGTCTGCAAGGACGTTGCCCAGGGGACACCCAGATGCATCACCATCCTATGAGAGGTGTCTCTCATGTCCCCGCATGAGAAACTGGAGCTGATAGATGGGAGCTCACCCCACTCCCCAGATTCGAACCACCAGCCTTTTGGTCAGCAGTCCTGCTGGCGCAAGGGTTTAACCTAATGGTTCTCAACCTGGGGTCTCCAGATGTTTTTGGCCTTTAACTCCCAGAAATCCTAACAGCTGATAAACTGGCTGGGATTTCTGGGAGTTGTAGGCCAAAAACATCTGGGGACCCAGGTTGAGAACCACTGGTTTAACCCATTGCGCCTCCTGGGGCTTCTATCCAGGCAGTAAAAAGTCAGTTATTGAGTAAGTTTGGGCAAGTGCCTCCTCATTACCAAATAGATATTAAATGTTGATCTGTTAAATGTTGAGAGGGACAACCTGAACAGAGTGCACTCTTCATTGGCCAGCATTGGTATTATGATGGTGGAAAAAGCTATATAATGGAGTAGTTGGTATTTGTAAATTTATGATTATCAGAATCACCCATCATTTTCTAAATTTAAAATTTTAATTTTTTGTGGGTTGAGCAAAAAACTGCTATCAGGAAAAAGGCAATATTATATTTCATCTTTCAGCAGACATATAGTAACTTTACCTGATTTTTCATATTTTAATTTCCCACTGCTGACCAACATCCATGTGAACCTGAATGCCAAATGAAGAATACAGTTTGTACTGTAGCTCAGGATATCATGGGAAAGTAGCTGTCTCTTTTGAAGCTATCTGTAGATCTTTTTTAATATAAGGCAGTAAAATGTGACAGCCATTTTTGTCTGCTCTCACTGGACCTGAATGAGGCATTCTATCCAAAATGGCCTCATGCCACTATAGCTCATGAATTCCAGTGCTGCAGAGTTTTAAGAAGTGACCTGTGCCCTGTTCAATTCACTTTTGCTTGATGTTTCCATAGATAATTTACTGGTTCAATTCACCATCTTTGTTTTACCTCATTTCCTTCTGGAATATATGGATCCTAGGATAAACTCTTGCCTCGAAAATCTTTTACAATATTGTACCTGTCTGAATGCATTTGGCAACTTTACACACTGAGGTCCTCCATCGATCACCTTTCACAGAGCGCCAAATTGACTGCAGCGGGAGTTAGAGGTTAGATGGCATGGCTGGGAAATAGCACCAAGCTTCCAAGTGCAGCCAATCTTTCAACAGAAATAATTGATTGGAACTTCTCGGCTCACTGGCAAACAGGCTGGCTTGCTGGCAGGCAGACCGGTGGTGTTTTGCAGCTTTCACTAGTCACTTGATCAGCCATTGTTTATTGAACATATACTACAATTGTTTAGGTCATACCTTCTTGGATTCTTATTGGTCTTTTAGTGGCAAGTCAGAAAAAGAAGAGTAGAATAGGGATGGATTAATCTACAGGTAAGGGTTCTAATGTTTCCTGATTGTTTTCCATTTAAAAGTTGTTTCATCCCATTTTAGCCACAGTTTTTTTTTCTAAAAAAAAATCTAAGTGAAAATGCATATACATTTTGAACATGTTTCTCCTAACATGCATTTTGCAAGCAGTTTCATTTATGGCATTTGTGTTATTTTTAATATTATTAGCATTTTGTAAATACCTTAGTTACATCTAGAATGGATTGCTGCAATGCACTCTATGTGGCGCTGCCTTTGAAGATGGCTCAGGAATTGCAATTGGTACAAAGGCTGGTCCCAATTCAAAGTGCAGGTTCTCACCTATAAAGCCCTACACTAGCGTTTCTCAACCTGAGGGTCAGGACCCCTGGGGAGGGTCGCGAGGGGTTTCAGAGGGGTTTTCAAAGACCATCAGAAAACACAGTATTTTCTGTTGGTCACGGGGGTTTTGTGTGGGAAGTTTGGCCCAATTCTATCATTGGTGGGGTTCAGAATGCTCTTTGGTTGTAGGTGAACTATAAATCCCAGCAACTACAATTCCCAAATGTCAAGGTCTATTTCCCCCAAACTCCACCAGTGTTCACGTTTGGAAATATTCAGTATTCGTGCCAAGTTTGGTCCAGATCTATCATTGTTTGCATCCATAGTGCTCTCTAGATGCCATTGCCCACCAAACTCTTCCAGTATTTTCTGTTGGTCATGGGAGTTCTGTGTGCCAAGATTAGTTTAATTCCATTGTTAGTGGAATTCAGAATACTCTTTGATTGCATGTGAACTATAAATCCCAGCAACTATGACTTCCAAATGAAAAAAATCAACCCCCCCCCCCCCCCCCCGCAGTATTCAAATTTGGGTATATCGAGTGTTCGTGCCAAATTTGGTCCAGTGAATGAAAATACATCCTGCATATTGGATATTTACACTACGATTCAAAACAGTGGCAAATTACAATTCCGAAGTAGCAACAAAAATAATGATATGGTTGGGGGCCACCACAACATGAGGAACTGTATTAAGGGGTCGTGGCATTAGGAAAGTTGAGAACCACTCCCCTACACAGTTTGGGTCCAGCCTACCTCGTGACAGCATCTTCCCCTATGAACTGGCACAGGCTCTAAGATCTGCTGTGAAGGCCTTCCTCTCGGTCCCATCTCTGTCTCAAGTGCAGCTGGTGGGGTCGAGGATGAGGGAGAGGGCCTTCTCTGTGGTGGCCCCCCCTGCTTTGGAAACCCTCCATAGTGAACTTAGGCAAGCCCTTAGGCAAGATTCCTCCTCTCTCTGAGTGGTTTTTTTTTTTGGCACTATAAAGATAACAAAGCATTCATTCGCATATGTCCTTTTAAAAATGCATTTTTGAATGAATGTACACAGTAAGGTATTAAAAGTTGTGAGAAACTGCGCAGATTTAAATATGAATTCATATATTTAAAGAATATTTTCTTGGTTTCTGAAAATTGCAGAAATATTAATTAAAATATGCAAAAATGACAGCGGCAATCTTTAATACACTTCAGTTTTGGTTTCCTAAACTTTCCATTAAAATAGCATTGTTAACTAATAGAATATAATGTGTTTTTAAAATTATTGTTGCTGCATTGACAAGATGCTGACAGTCCTTTTTCAAACAGAGAGCCCAGACATATAATGGTTAGATTTGATCCAGCAAGACCTAGATTTAAGTCCACATTTAGCCATGAAGACCACTGGGTATCTTTGGGCCAAACATTATGTCAGTTTGACTTTATAAGACTGTTATGAGAATAAAAGGGAGCAGGAGAAAGAACAATGCATGTCGCCTTTATGAACTCAGTAGGAGAAGGAAGGAAGGGTGGGAAGGGGAGAGAAAGATGGAATTGGGCACAGGGCTTGTCTGATTTTTCAACAAGATCCATAGAGATAGTTTGATGTTGCACCAGCAGTCGACAAGTGTAGAAAACCGCTCATGCAAGTGGTCTTCTTGCACTTGACTTATATGGTCAAAGCTGCCTGTTCATTAAACATTATAGCTCATATTTTGTTAAAAGCAAAATAGTTACCTATGGTTTTTCATTTCATGGAAGATAAGCCACAATCTTTCATACATGTCAGATTCTCCTGTTATTTTGCTGTTGTAAATAAATTGGCTGCATGAGAGGATGTGTTGTGTTTTTGTTTGGTTGGTTAGCTGCTGGAAAACCATTGCAACTAGCATTTTTATAAGAACAATCAACTGGCACCTCTAAAATAACAACCAGACAATCTTTCCCTTGTAACTTAGTGTCACTGCCACCTTACGGTTCCTATTTAATGACTCTCTTTTTCTGTTTTGTTAGGAACCTCCCATCCCAAGCCCATGAACTGATAAAGAGAATGAAAAGCAGTCTGGTGAGTGTGTACATTACAGAAGGCTAAGGGACAACATAGTGAGTGGTTTGAGTGTTGGACTTGGATCACACACAGTCATGGAAACTCCCTTGAGCAAAAAAGTCATACTATCTCAACCTAAGAGAAAGGCAAAAACCCCTTTGAAGAAATTTTGCAAAGGAAAGTCTATGATAGAGTTGCCAGAAGTCAGAGTCTACTTGAAGATACGCAGCAACAATCAATGAAGAGCATAAGAGCAGTCACTGCGCTATGTAGAATTCATGCATTACTGAATTAAAAACATTCCTAGTGAATGTGTTGTCGAATACTATGATGGCCAGAATGACTGAGTTGCTGTGAGTTTTCTAGGCTATATGGCCACGTTCCAGAAGCATTCTCTCCTGACGTTTTGGCCACATCTAGGGCAGACATCCTCAGAGGTTGCGAGGTCTGTTGGAAATTAGGCAAGTGATGTTAATATATCTGTGGAATGTCCAGGATTGGAGAAAGAACTTTTGTCTGTTTGAGGAAAGTGTTAATGTTGCAATTGGCCACCTTGATTAGCATTGAATAACCTTGCAGCTTCAAAGACTGGCTGATTCCTGCCTAGGGAAATCCTTTGTTGGGATGTGTTCGCTGGCCCTGATTGTTTCATGTCAGGAATTCCCCTGTTGTTTGAGTGTTCCTCTTTATTTACTGTACTGATTTTAGAGTTTGATTTTCATAATAAGCTCCTCAGATTATTATAAAAAAAATGGGAGCCAATCCTCGCACTTTAGAGGTCATTGTATATTATACAGTCCAGTGCAGAAGCCAAATGCAAATGTTTTCCCCTTGCACTTTAGTTCCAAACTCATAACTTTCCTGATGCCTACAGGAGAAAATAAAAACAGGATCATTCTATTATTCTCTTTGCCTTCCCATGTCTGGTGCTAAGTAGGCCAATGTCAGGCTGCTTCCCAAGTGCCTGCCAAACACTCTGTTCCCTCCAGTACAGTGTCAGTTCAAATGAGAAATGAGTAGCATCACTCCAATGGAAGACATCTCTGAATCTGAACTTTGAGTATACCTCAGAGATTGCCTCTGCCCATAAAACAACTTTTTAGCAACAACTGATGTACACCAAATGAGGACATGGACAAAAAGTAAAAACAGGCAATGCAACATTTGTACAGTTTGCTTTTTCTAGATGAAATATCCAGGCTGTATAACTGAGCATATTGTCCCATATGAGTTTGCCTGGGTGCTGAGTCACTAAGATGAGACTTTTCTCTCAGTTGCATCACAAGCATGTCAAGTGCTGGGCTTTCTTAGTTGCACCTTGACAACTGAGCATTTTTAAAGAAAGAGCTTTTATTAGAGGTGATACTTCAAGTCCATTTGTGACTTGTGGTTACCCTAAAGCAAATCTATCATGAGATTTTCAGGGCTGATAGTGGATAAGTTGCTCAATGTCATCCAATGGATTTCCATATCTGAGCTGAAAACATCACACTCTTCTGGCCTTATTACAGTACAGTAGACTCTCGCTTTTCCAACCTTTGCTCATCCAACATTCTGTATTATCCAACGCAGTCTGGCTCCCACCCGAATCCACAACTGTTTCAATACATTGTGATGTTTAGGTGCTCAATGCAGTAATTACTACATAACATTACCATGTATTGAACTGTGTTTTCTGTCAATTTGTTGTAAAACATGATGTTTTGGTGCTTAATTTGTAAAATCATAACTTAATTTGATGTTTAATAGGCTTTTCGTTAATCCTGCCTTATTATTCAACATTTTCACTTATCCAATGTTCTGCCGGCCCGTTTATATTGGATAAGCAAGACTCTACTGTATTATATTTTTAGAGCTGTGTTTGTGACTGTATGGTGTGTTTTAAATTGCTTTTAATATTATTTACAGTTTAATTACTCGTTAATGTTAATCTTTTTTTCTTTTCAGCTCAATTGTATTTGTTATAATTTGTAACATTCCTTGAGAACCAATTTGGGTGGTCCCCAAATAAAGTCAGAATATAAATAAAGTTCTTCCTTTTGATGATAATGTGGAGGATGCTGATGGAGATGTCTTTCAGAAGCACTAACTGGCCTTTTACTTTTTTTTTCCTTCTAAATCTAAGGTTGGAATTATGTACTCAGAACCTACCTGAGTCCTTTTGCCTCAGAATATGAGGCAATGGAGGTAGCCAAATGTAGACCTAAGAAAGGTCACTTTTGGAAAGAATTACACAATTTCTTGAACTTCTATTCAGTCATACTAGTATCTGTAGTTCAAAAAGTTATTTTCCCAGGATCTGAGCAAGTGAGCCTAATACTACCAAAGTATTGACTGTTCATTTTGTGAAGCTCTGCCATAGGGCTTTACGAAATCCAGGGCCATGTTATAACCAGTGCTGCCCTCTGTATCAAATGTTGCATATTAGCTTTTACCTTTAATAGTGTGATGGCGAGCAGGAAACAAATCCACCCCCTTCTGTGTTTCCCCGAGTCCTTCCCTCTATCCCTTATTCTGAGGGAGCAACTGGGTGGAAACACTGACATTTGAATGAAAGTCACAGTGGCCTTACGAAACCAGTGACAATGACGTTGATTGAATGCCCCAGGCAATCCTTTGAAGTAAATGTGAAGTGGCAGACCAGGAAAACAAATCCTATTAATGAAAAAGAAAAGATCTAGCCCTGTTAGTGATTCCCAGGCTTTTAGTTTCTTTAGGACAGATTCTCCAGTGCTTGTTATGTAAACTTGCTGCTCTAAAAATAGCCGCCATCCATTCCTTTCTTTGTACAGCATGTTACAGAATGTTTTCCATTGAGTTACAGCTCTGAGCATTCCCTATTGTTGGCTGCCAATGACGTAGTTTTAGCAGCTGCTGGCCTTAGCTAAGCACAGCTGAGTCACCTATCTTGGGACCTTAAAATGAGAGCGAGAAAGAACCTCAACCCCCCCCCCCCCCCCCCCCCCCCCCCCCCCCTGTTTTCTGGGCTTTCCCTTTTCTTTTCAAGGTTCCTGATAGTGAGCCGGCAGCTGAAAAGAATTCCCGACAAGTCCAGATACTCTGGGCTGGTATTAATGTGTTGTCTAAGAATTCTTTGTCCAGCTTGGCTTGCCTGTATACTTGTGCAAAAAGGTTACAACTCCTGTCTTTAAATCCATTTGGAATTGAAGCCTCCAATGTAACAGAACCCTGCAGAGCAGCTTATATGATCAAGCTCCAGAACAGCTGACAAGCTTTCCCTTCAAATGAGAAGCTCTTTGCATTACTGGGGAGTAGACAGGCAAGAGAAGCTAAAATAAACCCTGGCTTTTGTTTTCTCTGTCTGGGTAGCATCTTACCTTTGAGCTCAAAAACCAACCTGATCCAGAAATGAAAGAGTTTGGATTCCAGCCTCTTTATTTCTACTATAAACAAGACAGAACTTTCCATTTCACTGGTCAACTCATCACAGTCCTTGCATCTAGTTCTCGGATATGATTTCATTTCAATTTAGCCAGAGCCATGCATTTTATTTCTCTTTCTCACTGGCTTATAAATTCTACCGCACAGTTACCCACAATTCCACCATCAAGCTCTGTTATGTAAAATTAATGACACGTTGCAGATTTGCTTGGTCTGCACAATTGTGTGTGCAGACATAGGACTGGCTCATGAATATCATTTGGTGGTTGTGGGCACCTGGGTTGATAGGTGGAGGTTAGAACAACCAATTTGGAGGTGATTTACTGGCATTTTAGCAAAACCAAAAATCATGTGAGTTTGGGGAAGTGTTAAGGGGTTATGGAAAGTAATATCTTTGGTCAGGGGGAGATTGCTGGTGGTTTCTGTTTTCTTAAAATGGCAGTGACAATACTGTGTAACACAGGTTTTGTTCCTGAGTTACAAATGTCATTTCCTAATTGGTTCTGACACACAAACATAATAAAATTTGTTAAACTGTTTTTTGTAACCCGCAGCACATTTTGTGAGAGTCTTTCAATGAATAATAATAATAATATTAATAATAATCTTTATGTATACCCCACCACCGTCTCCCCAGAGCGGACTCAGGGTGGCTTACATGGGGCTGAGCCCAAAAATACATTACACCAAAATACAATAAAATAAAACCAAAACAATAGAACTAACATCACAATAAAATAAATAAAGCATAAGAATACAATAAAACAATAAAACATGAGCGGGCCACATGTAACAACATAAAATGATAAAACTCTGGATGAGAAAATAAAAAAGAAATGTTTGTAAGGGATAAACTTGTGGGAGATTGAGTAGTGAAAACATATAGTGAATATCTCATATAGAGTCTCAACCAATTCAACATAATTTGTGGCAGCCACAAAAACAACATTTCTGGAGTATAACAACTACTTTCAAAGTAAATACTGCACAATTAAACAGGAAATAACACTTTTGAACCAGGAACAGGATATTTTCAAATTTCGTTACATAGTGTAATAGAACAAGGTTGGCTCATATACTAATTCCCTCCTTTCATCAAGGAATGCTTGTAAAATTGTCAAAGACAGTTCAAGCTAATAATAATATAATAACTTTATTCTTGTATCCTACCATCATCTCCCCGAAGGGACTCAGGGCGGCTTATATGCGGCACAATGTGCCTAAAAACAGACCATAAAATGAAAACAATTTTAAAATACCATTAAATGCAACTTATAAACATATAAAACAACAAGTAACATTCAATTAAAAACAGCGCTCATCAACCAAGTGTTTGGTTTCAGTCCAGTGTTTGATATCAGTCACCATATACAGGCTGTCCTATCTGTGCTTCGTGGCCATTATGGTACAGTTAAAAACCACTAATGGCGAAATGCTTACCCAATTTTCAATGGTGCTGGCTGTTAGATGTTTTATTGTTGGCCATGCTTTTAAAAGTACTTCTTTAGTGATTAGTTGTTCTATGTTCTTATTTTGATATTTAATTTTATTTGATTAGTACAATGCTGTTATTATTCCATATTATGCTTATTGCTGTAATGTTTTGGTATATGCCGGGCATTGAACATTTGCCTTTGTATATGTAAACTGCCCTGAGTCTCCTGTGAGAGATAGGGTAGTCTAAAAATAAAGATGATGATGATGATGATACGTACAACATGAGAAATCTATACTTGGAAATCCACTTTTGTGCTGCCTTTTTCCATGGAGATGACTTAAATATGCAAGTGCTTTTCTTTGACATTCATTCACTCCAGGCATTCTCTCAAGCAGTCCCTGCCAAGTGCTCAACAGAGAAAAATTCCTGCAGTTTCAGAAAGCAGAATCAATTTCCCTCTTTCACATACTTCTTTACCCCCAACAGAAGTCAATTTAACTTCATTACTCATTACTCTCTGTTGATTCTTCCAAGGATCTCTAGACAGCTATAATATGAGTCTATTTCTTTTATTCCTCACTAGAACATCGACTATAAGAAGGACTGGAAGTTAGTCACCATTTTGATTGGAGCCAATGACCTGTGTCAGTATTGCTACGACAAGGTAGGCAAGCTGGTTTGGTTTAAAAGCAATAAGATTTATTTTCATTTCATTTTGAATCAACTTAAATAGCCAGTTAAATTACATCAGTTTTATATCTAATCAAGCGATAAATAGCTTTATCCCTTAAATATGGTGAATTTAGTTTTTTGTTTTTGTATTGCATTGTATTGTGAGAAATGTTCAAGATGGGTCATTTGGCTCTTTCCTACATCCCTGCCTCCCCATTGCCAATTATTTTGCAAGATAAATGTAGGAAAACAAGACGAAGAAGGAAAGCAAAGCAATAGAAAGTCTAACTTCTTCTAACAATTATCAAACGGGAGAGGGAGAGAGAATAAGAAGAAAGTAAAGAAAAAGAAAGAACCAAGCCCATTTTGAACTGAGTTCCTCTGTGACATCAGAATAATAATAATAATAACAACAACAACAACAACAACAACAACAACAACAACAACAACAACTTTATTCTCTTACCCAGTATCTTCTCTCCAAAGGGACTTGGAGTAGCTTACATATAGGACAGAATGTCCACAAGACACAAAAGTAAAATAATCCATTAAACCAAAAACACAATTAAGGACACAATGAAATATAACAATATAGTTAAATAAAACATAAGAGTATAAAATAGCAGCATTGAGCTCTATGAAAACAATGCTTGACCAGGCCCAATAATCAGAGATACTAAAATAGGTGTGATCGTGCTATAAAAAGGGTCAGGCATGGGATAGTGCAAATCAACGTACCATAGGGCTGGGGAATTGGATGAAGTGCAGAGTCAGAGTATCATCTGCGACCTAGGAACTGGACATTCATAACTAGGGGTTGATAACTACCAAATGCTTGCTGAAACATTCTGGTTTTCAGGTCCCTGTGAAAGAGGACAGAGTAGAGGCTTGCCTAATCTCCCTGGGGAGCATGTTCCAAAGTCGGGGGGCCACCACCAAGAAGACCCCCTCCCTCCTTCCCACAAGCCACACTTGTGACAGTGGTGGGAGCGAGAAAAGGGCCTCCCTGGTGGATCTTACAGCCCACACTGGTTCATAGACAAGGATGTGGTCACGAAGATAGCCGGGGGCTGAACCGTGTAGGGTTTTAAAGGTAATAATCTGCACTTTGAATTCGGATCGGAAACTTATTGGCAGCCAGTGGAACTGCTTTAATAGGGGCATCGTATACTCTCTATAATTAGCTCTAGATAGAAGCCTGGCTGCCAACCTTTGTACCAGTTGCAGTTTCTGGGCCATCTTCAATGGCAGCTATGTAGTATTCTGTGGTTGTTTTATATTGTTGAAATGATTTTGTGAATTTTGTTGTTATATGTTAACTATGTTGAACCTCAGCTTGCCCCATGTAAGCTGCCCCGAGTCCCTTCGGGGAGATGGAGGCAGGGTACAAAAATAAAGTTATTATTATTATTATTATTATTATTATTATTATTATTATTATAACTGTCAACAACATTTATTCTAACTAATGAGCACACTTTCTTATTTCAGTTCACTATTTTTGTTTAATGATTTGGGGACGATCTACTGCTGACACACTAAGGGGTAACATCAATTATTTTTCAAGCCCTGCTCCTTCGTCTCTTCAAATTGGAGATTGTGGAGGGGCAGAAAAATCTGCTTTACCTCTAGTCCTGTTCATGCAAGATAGATTTGATCCAAACATGTGAGCATGAGAAACAAGCTAGACTTGCGTCTCTGCATTGTTGTTGTCTTCCCGAGTCATAGCCATCCTCTATATGTGCCAGTTTCCCATACATCAAAAATGCTAACTTTTCAGAGTTCTGGATTTTGTAGAAAGTCTCTGGGTACAGCATAGACCACCCTTCCTTATTATGGGGTTTCATGAAGAATGTGACAGCAGTGGGGACAGGACTAGCTTGTCCCACTGGGCATTTAATGGATTTCCTGGATACCTGAACAGGGCAAATGTCACCAACATAAACAAACCAAATAGTCAAGACAATAATGTCTTTCCTGTGATGTTGTTGTTAACAGCAGTGGCACTGTAGCTTTGATATCCCTAAATGCCTTTAGATAAGAATTCTCTGGTTACAGATATGCAATTCCCACACAAATGCATAACTGGCAGGCTGGTAGATTCTCATTGTCGCAGTATAAAGTTTCACCGGTTTAATTTTCCTTTATGGGTGCAATCAGACATAAAGATTGTACACAACAAATCTATAGCCTGGCATTGTTTAATTAAATCTAGCAAAGGCAGTATGGAAAGAACCTGGTATGAATTCAAATTATGAATCTTGATGCAAACCGTATCAGCACTTGAATTATATTCATATCTCGTATTTGAACATATGGGACCCAAATTGGTTTATATCCAGCCAAACTGATTCAGTTATCAGGATGTCCATATCAAAGGCTGGGAATGTTCCTTTTGTTGCAGAACATTGTCAAGAATCATTTAGCTGCATAGTCACTGGCAGTAGCTAGTGACTATGCTAGGTAGGTTGCATCTGTATAATTTCTTTTAATTCCACTGGATGAGCAAACTCATTTAAGGGTTACATGCAAACAGTATGTGCACTGGGGAAGCAATGCACTCACTGCAATTGGAGAACATTTCAGAAACATTTTATTTTTCATTGCTTGATTTTCTTAAGTGTTTTGTTACATCAATTAATTATAAATCCCAGCAACTACAACTCCCAAATATCAAGGTCTATTTTCCCCAAACTCCAACAGTGTTCACATTTGGGCATGTTGAGGATTTGTGCCAAGTTTCATTCTCATCCATCATTGTTTGAGTCCACAGTGCTCTCTGGATGTAGGTGAACTACAATTCCAAAACTTAATGTCAATGCCCACTAAACCCTTACAGTATTTTCTGTTGGTCATGGGAGTTCTGTGTGCCAAGTTTGGTTCGATTTCATCATTAGTGGAGTTCAGAGTGCTCTTTGATTGTAGGTGAATTGTAAATCCCAACAACTACAACTCTCAAATGACAAAATCCCCCACCCAATCCTCACAGTCTTCGAATTTGGGCGTATTGTGTATCTGTGCCAAATTTGGTCCAGTGAATGAAAATACGTCCTGCCTATCAGATATTTACATTATAATTCATAAAAGTAGCAAAATTACAGTTATGAAGTAGCAAATAAAATAATTTTATGGTTGGGGCTCACCACAACATGAGGAACTGTATTAAAGGGTTGAGGATTAGGAAGGTTGAGAAACATCCTAGGCTGAATCTATATGAGGGCTATATCCCATCTCCATTGTATAGTAACCTGCCCCAGTTTGCTCTAGATCAGTGGTTCTCAACTCCCTGCCTGGAGAAATTAGGAAAACCCCTTCCCTAGAAATCTTCAAAAAGAATCTTAAAACCTGGCTCTTCTGCTGTGCCTTTGATGAGTAGGTATAAAATCCCACATGATTGCTCTGCCTCAAAGTTCTGTCATTGGAGTATACGTCCCCACTCATGGGAAAGCTTGATTCCACAACTCCCGCTAAAATGAGCCCTCCTTCGTAAATTACCTGCTTCCCTCTTTTATCTCACCCGAGTTTTTAATTAGTTTTAATCAGTTTGTCCTTTTAATCACTACATGTAGCCCACCCATTATTATTGTGCCTGTGCATATTTTTTTTATTTTTATATTGTTATGTATTCATATGTTTTATGTACCTGTGATGTTATTGTTTATTGTTCGCATTTTCAGTTTGTGTTTTTGGTTTTTCTTTATTGTAATTGTCATTTGGGCTTGGCCTCATGTAAGCCGCTCCAAGTCCCCATTGGGGAGATGGTGGCGGGGTAATAAATAAAGTTTATTATTATTATTACCAGCTACTAGGATTTCTGGGAACTGAAAGCCAAAACATCTAGGGACCCACAGGTTGAGAACCACTGCTCTAGATATATTGATCACAGAGCCCATCGTGACTAGTCATAGGAGTGATAAACAATGGGACTTCCAGTGCAACACAATTTAGAAGTGAGAATGCCATGTTGGGAAGGGATGCACTAATAAAATAACTGTTAAAAACAAAGTGAAAGGAGTCTTAAGCCTCCAGTAAGCCTTTAAGTCTTTCTTGTACTGTTTATCTATTTCAGGGAGACATTCCATAACTTTTGTGCTGTCGCATATATTATTTGAAATATATCAGATCTTCATAATGTAATCACATCCTAGGCTGAATCTACATGAGGGCTGTATCCCAGCTCCATTGTATAGTAAACTGCCCCAGTTTGATCCCTTTACAGCACAATGTATCTGCTTTAATCTAAAATGAAATCAGTTTGGAAAGCCACAAGGAACCCGCATCATATAGTCATACTATAGTATAAGGGGGTGTTTCTACTGTGTTCACCATATCAGTTTATGTCCAACCTGAAGTAGCTGTGAAAGTTTTATTAGTTCCAGCTATGCATGCACATATTTGCATAATCAAATAGCCTTTCACTTTACCTGGGGTTGTGATCTGACTGCCTGTTGGCACCCCCATTGGATTGGATGGATATGTGTTGCCTTTGCCCCTTCTGATTTTCCCAAAGGGGAAGTTCCGTGGGGCTTACCTCTATGTTTTCAGTCTTATACATGAAAGTGCATGTGGGACTTACGGCATAAAGAACTAAGTCCCACTGACTTCAATAGTACTTACTCCCAGGAAAGCCATTTATTATGCTTGCATCATGAGAATCCCCTTATTTATTTATTATTTATTTCAAACATTTATACCCCGTCCTTCTTAACCCCTGAAGGGGGACTCAGGGGCGGCTTGCCACTATGGTACTCACAAGCATATGCAAAAGTAAGCAAAGTTTCTGATTCCAAGTTTCCCAAATGTCCAGAATACGAAGTTTAAAATGGTGTTGGCCCTTCCTGGCTGTCATGTAGATTCAGCCAAGTCTCCTGATACACCTTTCCTTCACTCCATCCTGATTTTGCTCTGAACCAGTCCTGGCTGCAAGCCACACAAGAAGAAAGAAAAGATATACTAGGTCTTTCTCAAAAACCAGACTGAAATTGAGGATTTTTAAAATTCATTTCAAAGACTTTGAGGCCCATAGAAGATTGGATTTTAAACTGGATTGGGAAGAATATCTTGTGATATGCTCAGATAGAGGTAAAACCAGATTGTTTTCCCTGTGTAGATTCCCTGTGTAGATTTCCCTGTGTAGTATTTTATAGATTGCTTCCAAGTCGAACCATTCTGTGAGTCTTTCTGGATCAACTGGTGTTATGTTCTCTACAGGACACCTATTCAGTGGAAAAATATGTACAGCACATCCAGGACACTCTTGATATCTTTTACAAGGAGGTAAGGTTTTAAGATACTCTAGAAGGCTGAGTTCTTGGCAATCGCACATACATATTTCTCACCTCTCACAGAGTTTCCATGATCATCTTTCATTCAAGCCCTCCTTTGACATAGCTGGCATTGATACAACCATACTCGAGGACGTTCTAATGCCCTTGAAAACTAGTGACTAAGAAACTGGTGGGATTCTAATATAGGGAAGGTGGCAGCATATAAGCTGTGGCAGACTTTTCTTGAGCTTGTGACAATGTGGAGATGATCCACTATTGTCCTCTGAATAGTAATAAGTTTCCACCTCAAGTTGGCAGCTTCTAGACACTCTGCTGTTTTTTTTTTATGGTTTCCAGTATCCTTCTTTCTTTTTCCCTGCAAGACTGAAGAAAGGGGATGAATGAACAAACATTTTATTTATTTATTTATTATTTAAACTTATATGCCGCCACTCCCCTGGGGCTTGGAGCGGCTTACAAGAATAGCTAAAATCTAACAAAGTTTAAAAGCAATTTAAAACAATTTAAAAACAACAGTATCAAACATTAAAAGCCTGTCGGAACAGGTATGTCTTACATGCCCTGCAGAAAGCTGGTAAGTCCCGCAGGGCATGAACTTCAGGTGGCAGAGCATTCCAGACTGATGGCGCCACTGCTGTGAAGGCTCTGCATCTGGTTGCCGTTAGACACAAGGTCTTGACACTGGGGACTTCCAATAGATCTTGGTCCTCAGAACGGAGGGATCTCTGGGGTTGGTAGGGAGTGAGACAATCCCTCAGAAACATGACATGATGTTTACCCAAGACAACATGGACAAGCAATGCCAAGTATGGCAACTCTTTTGAAAGAAGAGGCTGACTGACAGCCTGCAATGCACTGTGTACAAATCACTCCAGAAAACTAAAGCTTTATTTCTTTATTTACCATATTTTCTCAACCCCAAAGGGGACTCAAGGCAGCCTTATAAAGGCAACAATTCAATGCTGCATGTATACATACATCAATGAATAAACAAACATGTTAAAACCAACCAATTAAAACATAACATTAAAACAACAATTAAAATTACATAATCTTGGTCATATTCCAGGAAAATGTTCCGCTTGAGAGAGCATATTCCAGTCAAGTATACCTCCCTGCCCATTTCTATCTTTAACAGGTAGTGTGAAAGTATGGTCCGGCACACATTTATTTAAGTAAATATACTTAAATTGCCCAAAGAATACAGTGAAAGGTTCAGGTTCCAAAGTAGGAAGCGTTTATTGAGATTAGTGGCCAAGTTAGGGATGAGGAAGAAATATGATAGTATGAAAAGAGTGACTGGATGTCATAATCCTCACGGTTTAACTTTGTGGGATCAGTGAAAGTGGACTGAAATAGGGAATTCTCCAACTGATAAGGCCAGGTGACCTTGTACTTGTGACAAGGGAAGCCAAACAAAGTAGGCATTACCTGATAAATGAATTTTTGAAACGCTGACCAGCAGAAGGAAAGATTTCTGGTCTGTGCATACTAAGGATGCTTGAAATCTGATCAATAGCTTGTTATGTAATGGGAGGCACACTGCATTCTATACAGGTTGGGCTTTTGCTGCCTGAAGCAATTGTCTTGCTATGCTTAATGGTAGAGCCAGCACTGGGGGCAAAAACAGCAAAACAAAAGAAGTATGAACAATTGGATTCTAATAATGGTCATACCTTGTTGTTTTGCTTGAGTATTATTGTCCTTTACAAAATTAAACCCTGTAGTTCTGCTTGGGGGTGTTAGCTGTGAAAATCTATGGGCAAAGGTCTCCTGGTCAAGGTTTTGTTCTGGGGGTTTCTGACAAAGCTAAGTGTCTTTTTTTTTTGCTTAGCATTAATAATCACTCAGCAAAAAGCATTCCATCTAACCATATGCATGCTCCAGCTGGCACATTTTTAGCTATAATTCAATACAATGCCATATTAGCGATGTCCAAGGGTCCATTGCACTAACTTCTCTATAGTTCTCTTTCTATTTATTGCATGCTTAGTTATCTCTGCCTAACCCTCTCTATGTTGTTTTTCAACTGCCTTGTGCTCTGTGCATCAATACACCTGGTTACTTTAATTCTTGCAGCTCCCTCGGGTCTTTGTCAACATGGTACAGATAATGGAACTCACTGGATTGCGTCAGATAGACAGGGGAGCATCCGGATGTGTTCTTTCAGGGGCGTAAGTGAGCAGATCGCACGGCAATCTGTACTGAATGCTATTTTTAGGGCTAATCTATATCCTTGTTATTCATAAAGCAGCCACAAAGGGCTTAGAAACCTGTGCCCTGTCAGATGTTATTGGACCAGGGAGTTGCGAGGCAGCAGATTGCTCTAATTATAACGAGGATATTGGGTTCTGTTTTTCCTTTGCTCACATGGGAGCAGCTTTCATTGATTTCCATTAGCCATTTAAGAGAGAATAGCTTTGCGCTCCTTCTTTTCTGCCCAGATATTAATAACAGAGTAGAGTGCAATCCACAAACTCAGAATGATGCGGCATCTCTGGTGTTAGCTGAAACACATTAACGTAGTTCCTAGAGTCTCATTAGCGATCTCTTATTTCCTTCTAACAGCATATTGCATCCCTCCACACTGTGGGAAACTACAAGCATAGCCTTCGATTTTCATTCTCTTTGAAGAGATTAAGGAGGCATCTACCACTGTACAATTAATGCAGATGGACAGAACTTTACCATATTTTCAGAGCTATGGCTTATTACTATGGAATCCTAGGATTTGTAGCTTAGTGAGGCACCACCATTCTTGGGCAGAGAACACTAAAGACCTTGCAAAACCACAACTCCATGATTCCATATCACTAGTCCTCCTAAATAATATGAATAATAATTAGACAAAGAAAGCTATAGTAAAGACACATAATAAAAGTACAGTCAATATGCAATAAAAACACCCAAGCAACTGTGGATTAAGAGAGCAACTGCAGATTAAAAAATCAGTAAAAATGCAAATGATGGAAGAAAAGGCAGATTTTTATCCTTCACTAAAAATATTTTGCTAAGGTTTTAGGAGGCCAGACATTAATGATGGACGTCATACTTACAATGAGGTTGTTGAGGGAAACAGCATTAGTGTACAGATACTCAGTGACTGCAAGGAACATCTTTGGCTGCACCTGTCTCAGACTCAATGGGGCACAGACCTCCTGGGTCTGGCCCAACATCAAGTGGAAGGCCTGGAGCAGGAGGACAGGAGGCAGCGATCGGCAAAGACCTCCTGCTGCTCTCTGCCAACCAGAAATGTCACATTGCTGTAGAGAAAGGGGCAATTGGAAGCTCAGTATAGTTATCAGTGGTTACCAGACATATTTTTCAACTTCCTTCTTTACTTCATCCAGGTACTTTCCTTCTACTGAGAAGCAAGACAGATCCATGACAGATAAAGTGAAGTACAGTTGTCCCTCCACATTTGTGGTTTTGAATGATTCCATATCATTGAGCCATAGCAGTTAAAGTGTTGTCAAACTGTATTAATTCTGCAGTCTACATGCAACCAAAGACAGACATGCTTTGGAACTCTGCAGTTCCAAGGTATCAGTCATCCTATCTCTTTTGGAAGGCTTGTCTGGCATCTCAAACTGTTAGACAAGACTTCACTGATTGGTACATGTATTCCTATCCATCTCAAGCTTTTTTTGTTGTTGTGTCAGGAGCGGCTTGAGAAACTGCAAATCGCTTCTGGTGTGAGAGAATTGGCTGCGTGCAATGACGTTGCCCAGGATGTTTTTTTCATGTTTTATCATCCTTGTGGGAGACTTCTCTCATGTCCCTGCATGAGGAGCTGGAGCTGATAGAGGGAGCTCATCCGTGCTCTCCCCAGATTAAAACCTGAGACCTGTCGGTCTTCAGAAGTCGCAGTCCAGAACATTGGACAGAGAACACATTAAAAAGGCTGCTCTAGGCCCCTTAGGTTTGGCAATAATCACATCACACAGTAGTAAAATCAGAAAATAACTCTCCTTCTTGGAATATGTATTTGTTTATTGTTTATTGCATTTGAATTCCACCTTTCTCCCAGAGTGGGACTCAAGGTGGCTTCCAAAACAATTAACATGTTCACAATGAAAATGTATAACTTTTAAAAACACATAAAGAAATATAAAACATATAAAAAACGTGTGTGTGCGTGCATGTGTGCGTGTGCGTGTGTACCATGTAAGTTCTCCTACTTACATGTAGTGTAGATGCACCTTAGGACGTCAGTACAGGACCTCTTTCTGAGAAGTCTGTTCTTAAATCACAGAAAAAAACCAGAGATCTGGTGGAGAGAAAGGCTTTATGCATCCCATGATTCCCTAACTGTTGAAAGTGCGTAGAAGCTGGTGATGAGAGAGACACGGTGCTTTGCTTTTCTTTTCTTTTTTGAGCTATTTGAAACCAAAGCCATCTTGGATGAGGACTGATTTCACCATTGCTCTATTTCAGGAGCCTTTGTCCCTGTTTTTTCAACCCTGCAGAAAATACCGTTGAACTACAAGAAATGCAATGGACAAACAAAATTTATCAGGTAAAGTGAGCACTTTTATTATTGAATTCAAGACCTCCTGGAGAAATCATACATTATCAGACCTTCAAAGGAAAGAAATTAAATAATTGGGGTGCCATCACAAAGAAGGCATCTTCCCATGTCCTCCCACAATGTCTCTCTCCTATTGATGGAGAGGTGGGTCTCTCTGAAAGACCTCAGTTCTCAGGAAAAGGTATAGAGAGAGGGAGAGGAAGCTCTCTAAAGTATTGAAACCCTGAGCAATTTAGGGTTTTAAATGTTATCATCAGCACATTGAATTCAGAATTGAATTTGCTAAGGATCATCAGATGGAGAATACATGTCCTGTTTTAAGAGTCATAGGGAATGCCACTACTTTTCCTATATAGATCTAGCCTGTGGGATTCACATTTTATCAAAATGTGGTTTTGTTGTGGCCCTTTTTGTTATGTTCCCTTTATAGTCATTGTTCTGCCCCCACATTTGTTATTTATTTAGAAGGTGGCTGTTGTGCAGGGAACAGATCGAATGCTCCACATTTGAAGTAAAAACAATTTGTTAAGCAACAGATTTCAAACTTCCTCTGCCCCAGAGTGTGGTGGAGGCTCCTTCTTTGGAGGCTTTTAAACAGAGGCTGGATGGCCATCTGTCGGGGGTGCTTTGAATGCAATTTTCCTGCTTTTTGGCAGGGGGTTGGACTGGGTGGCCCATGAGGTCTCTTCCAACTCTACGATTCTATGATTCTATGAAGTGATTTACTGCCAGTCTTTGTGAGGGGAGTTATAGCCCTTGAAGCACAACCGCAGTTCTCACTGGATGTTACTTTAATATAGCTTCAATTGGATCTCAATCTGTTATATCTTCGATGTGGTTTTACTCTGTGTATTTACTTTTATGTAGTTTTCATGTAACTTTTATGACTTGTGTAACTTCAATCTGTGACTTAATGTAACTTGCGTAGCTTTGACGTGACTATGTAGTTTTGACGTGACGTTCTATTTTGTGGTTCTTCCACCTTCCTTACTCTTTGCCTTCCAAAACCACTCTGCCTGAATCCTCGAGGAACCAGAAGGGTCTTGGCCGAGGCTCCACCACTGAGAGGAGTCTTAAAGGGACAGGGCGAAGGAAGTTTCAAACACAAGGAGGAAGAGGCAATCTAGACCAAGCCCACAAACTATACATAAAATATGAATCCCCTCTAATTAAATAGGGGCGAAACAGGAGTGAACAGTGAGAAATCTTGTGGAGGCACGGCAGTCATCACTATGCATTTATTTGTGTTTTGAATTTTTATATTAAGTCTGAAGCTTTCTCGATGCTGAAACATCGGTTAGTCTAGCTCAGCCATTTTTCTTTCAATTTTTATCAAAATGGTGAAGACAACCTTTTCTGGAAAGCGTTTGCCATGCAGAATGCTTATTATATCTAGAGATAATTGCTACCAAGTAGAATTAGAATTGCACATTGTTGGGTATTAGGTTATTTTTATTTATTATTGTAACCACTGATAGTGATATTATTTTACATTTTAAAAGAATGGTTTAATGATTTTAATGTAAACTGTTTTAGGAGCTCTTGCTGGGAAGCAGTATAGTAATGAGGATAATAATAAATTGTTTTTCTTTCATCTAGCTAAATAGATGTTAATGGTCTAGAACAATGGTTCTCAACCTGTGGGTCCCCAGATGTTTTAGCCTTCATCTCCCAGAAATCCTAACAGCTGGTAAAGTGGCTGGGATTTCTGGGAGTTGTAGGCCAAAACATCTTGGGACCCACAGGTTGAGAACCACTGGTTTAGTGAGACAGCTTGAAGATGGAAAGTTCCTAGTGCTACCAGTCAAAAGGCAAAAATGCAGTAGCACAGGTTTTTCCTCTTTAAGAACCAGTATCTGGTAAGAAAACAGAGACAATTGAAAGTATGGAAAACATGGGAGATTATAAATTGAAGATGCCATCTGAGCTCCCTGTAAAATATGATGCTCAGTGGAGGATAAATCTATCTATTTATTTATTTATTTACTTCATTTGTATACCGCTATTCTCAGCCCCAAGGCGAATCATGGCGGTGTACAACAATCAAGCAAGAACAAGGCAAACAATCAAGGCAAAAATTCAATGCAGCATCAACAAGACACTTAAAAACAATTAACACAGTAAAAGCTTTGTCTAGAAGCACCCAGTATTCCATTTTCTGCATTATCCTCAAAGTGGCAATGTGAAGCAAGACACACAGATATTCTGCATGCCAGATAAATAACAGAAGTTGAGGCAGTATGACTTCTTCAGTCATAAGCCTTGAGGTTGTTGCATTTCTTGTCTAGTTTCCCTCAACCTAGTCCCCACCAAATATATTAGACTGAAGTCACCTCCAAACCATCAAAAAAATTGGGAGTTCTGACTGGAAATTATGGGAACTATAATCCTACAGATCTGTGCAGCAACAAGCTCAAAGAAACATGTCCTCACACTGTCCTCTCCTGGCATTCTCCTGTTTGATCCTCCTTAGTCCATTGCTGTTGCATTTCTAAAAGCCCCAGAGTGAGACTGAACTTCTTATGTTGTACTTCTTATTCCAAAACAGGATAAAACTGCCATGTTGATCCTTGGTGACCGTTATGAAAAACGGGAAGACTTTGCCGTTGTCGTGCAGCCGTTTTTCCAAAAAACCATTATGCCACGAACTACCGTGAGTCAGCCGTTATTGCAAGTATCATATCAGCTTTAGTTTCATTTGGCTGGTAAAATGTAAAGGATGAGAATTGGATCAAGTTTACATCTTTTTGCATTGCTAGCATGCATGGAATTTTGGAAAAATATTTTTAAAGACAAACAGAGGGATAAAATAACATGTTCCCAGCATTAAGACTCTTTCCATGTGGCCACTGTTGTTATTATCTAATTCTGCTTCCCACATTAAGGACTCCTAAACATATATGAATGGAGGAACTTGATCTCTAATATTCAGAATGTACCTAAGATCAGATGTGGATCTCTAATCTCCAGAATGTACTTAAGATCAGAGGGGCCCCTGATGGTGCAGTGGGTTAAACTGCTGAGCTGCTGAACTTGCTGACCAAAAGGTTGGCGTTTCGAATCCGGGGAGCAGGGTGAGCTCCCGCTGTTAGGCCCAGCTTCTACCAACCTAGCAGTTTGAAAACATGCAAATGTGAGTAGATCAATAGGTACTGCTTCAGCGGGAAGGTAATAGTGCTCCATGCAGTCATGCTGGCCACATGACTTATGGACAATGCCAGCTCTTCGCCTTAGAAATGGAAATGAGCACCACCCCCAGAGTCAGACACGACAACATTTAATGTCAGGGACAACCTTTACCTTTTTACCTAAGATCAGATGCAATCCACAGAGACATTGGTGGGGGGGTCATTGTCCCTCCAAGAATTTTGCCCTCACCAATGAATGTTTTATGCAGTACCTTAACACTAGAGCTGAGCATTTAGAAATATAATGTAGGCATCCATGAAAAGAAGCAGTCACTGTTACAAAAGGAAAGTAAATAGAAGAATTCTAGCATGAACAGTTTTCAGTATCACACTCTTTACAATGCTAGAAAATTAGGGACTGAAGGAATTTGGGAAGGGAAGAGTTCTTATTTGTGAGGCACTGTAGCTACATCCCTATAGCTACACCCCTGAATAGGGAACAGTATCTATGGAGATTTTGTCACTCACATTATATATATGTATATATGTATAATACATAGGGTTTTGGGTTTTGTTTTTGTTTTTTTATGTCAGGAGCGACTTGAGAAACTGCAAGTCGCTTCTGGTGTGAGAGAATTGGTCGTCTATAAGAACATTGCCTAGGATACGCCCAGATGTTTTTGATGTTTTACCATCCTGTGGGAAGCTTCTCTCATGTCCCTGCATGGGGAGCAGGAGCTGGGACAGGAGCTCATCCCACTCCCTGGATTTGAACCACTGACCTGTCAGTCCGCAGTCCTGCCGGCACAAGGGTTAAACCCATTGCACCACCAGGTGCTCCAATAACTTCCAATAAGTCCAATACAGAAGTGAAAAGCAAACAGGTGGAGAAGGGAAAACAAGAGACAATGGGAAAGACAAGAGAGAAAACAGACCTATCAAGTAATCCTCTATTTTTCAGCAAAAATTATAGGCAGTCAGATTTCAGCTCTAATGATGCAAGTCTTCTCATTCAGAATTGTGTCTAAATCCCAGTGTGCTGACATGCTCTCTGTAGCAAAGGTTGATTGAAATGAATAGCTTCTTTGCAAGTGGAGAATGCCATCAATGTGTCAGAGTCACTGTGTCCTCCTCAGATGCCAAGTTGGGGCCTCAGTGCATAGACAGGACTGGGAGATGAGAGGTTTCTGATTGCTGCTTTTATGCACAATAAAAGTAACAATTCATCATAAATATCCATTGGAAATTACCGTGGCTTATATTACCCTCTCAATCTAAGAGTATTTGAAGATGAAAAAAGAGTGCACCATTAACCCTACAGATCTTTGACCATAATGTTTACACTATGCAAAACAATTCCAGTGAAATCCATGGTTGCAACAGGAGTAGATTTTATACATAATACTTACATAATGACTATTGGGAGACAATTTTTGATTGATGACTGGCTCAGCACCAAGAGACAAGGAGCCAAAACACACACACACACACAAGAAATACCAGAGCTTTGTTAATAAGAACTAAAAGATTTTCTGAAATTGAACAATTTTATTTTGTGTTAACTTACAGGATTGGAAACCAGACCTAAGTTTCTTTGCAGTGGATTGCTTTCATTTCTCAGAGCGAGGCCATGCCGAGATGGCGATAGCACTCTGGAATAACATGGTAAGAGAGCAGTTATATAAAGTTGAGCTGTATTTCTTCGCTGTAAAGTCACATGCTGCAACGACTTAGTCATTATGGAGCACTCTCTTACCATGCTTCAAGGCATTGCGTACTATAATGAGTTTACTAGTTATGTAATCGCAGTAGCAACAAAGGCCATCTTCCTATTTAACTTGTCACAAATCACCAATCACAAATGTAGCAGTACAGGGTTGGCTGAAGCTACTTTTGTGCAGCTGAAGGCATTCCTTCATTGGAAAAGGAGACAAGCCACACATTTCTTACTAAATCTTTCTCCTTCGGGAGTCTCTAGTCTGCCTTTCCCACTGTTTTTCAATCCTTTTGAACTGATATGAGGAGGATTAGAGAGGGAAAGGGAGAAGCAGAAAGCAATGATTGGCCTTTGTGGATCTGTGGATCAGAAGCTCTCTATGAATAGGAGTCCTTCTGATCACAGAACTTTAGATACAAACCAAAACAGAACCACGTATCTGAGCAGATAAAATATTTAGAGACTCAATTCAACACCATCACTACCCAGATCTATGGGATATTTGTTTTTGTTGTGTACCTTTAAGTCATTTCTGACTTATATTGACCTAAGACAAACCACTCACAGGGTTTCCTTGGACTGAGGATTTGTGACTTCCTCAGGGTCACCGAGTGGGTTTCATGGCCCAACAAGGATTTTAACCCTGTTTTCTAGGGACCAGTGGTGTAATGGCTTAAACCGCTGAGCTGCTGAACTTGCTGATCGAAAAGTTGGTGGTTTAAATCCAGGGAGCGGAGTGAGCTCCCACTGTTAGCCCCAGCTTCTGCCAACCAAGCAGTTTGAAAACATGCAAATGTGAGTAGATCAATAGATACCACTCCAGCAGGAAGCTAATGGCACTCCATGCAGTCACCCCCAAGAGTCAGACATGCCTAGACTTAATGTAAAGGGGAAACCTTTACCTTATCTCTAGGCTACACAGAAATAACTTTCATTAGAAAGCAAAAAAGGTTTTTCCCAATAGAATTATATAATAATTTTTATTTCTTGCCCGCCTCTCCTCATGGCTCAAGGTGGGTGACAACATTGCTAAAACACACATTCATCTAAAAACGTTCTTTATATACACATATTAAAATATATTTCCACAAAATATATATATTTAAATGCACAAAACAAATATTTAACATGAGATGCAAGTTTAAAATTAATCACGAAAACTGTCTGGGTAGGCCTTCTAGGAGGTACGAAAATGTTTTGTCATGTTTTTAGACCCCCGTGAGGCATTTTTGACCCAGGGGAAGACTTCTTTTTTAACAAGAGGTGAACAGGAGTTGCTTCTGATTCACTTCCTTTAAAAAAAAAAAAGCCTAGACTCAAGTTCTCACTTACACAATCTTCGGTCAGACAGCCCTGCAATATTTTTAGGCCTCACTTTAAAGTATTTGTTTGATTGTGAAGTTGATGTAATAAGCATAGTCTGCTTAAACCACATCACAGCATTTTGCTGGTTCTAACAACAACAACAACAACAACAACTTTATTTTTATACACTGCCTCCATCTCCCCTAAGGGACCCAGGACATCTTACAAAGGGACAAGCCCAGGGAGCACAAATTTAAAATCATAACACTAATAAGATAGCATCAAAACAAAACCAAATAAAAACATATCAAAATAACAAAAACATATCTTAAAACTGGTGACTGGTGGGTTGAATGTCAGTGGGGTGGTGAATCCACTCCATGTTTCAGGCTGAAGTTTAAAGATGCTCCCCAGTTGTAGTTAAATACAGTTCAGCTTCTTGGGTAGTTTCTTTAAAGTTTTGAATGCAATATGAATTCACTGCCTCAATGGCATTCTGACACACGCTGCCACTGGGTATAATATTTCCTACTTGCAGGTGGCTCTCAGCAGCTCATTTAGGTTCAGTACTCAGAAGAGGCGGGTAAGGTGATCTGAAAGATCAAATGCTGAGAACCTTTGTTAATGTCTAGACAGAGAGATGGAACAAAACAAGAGTTCAGGTGTGCCTCACAACATTTTGTTGCTGAAGTAGCAAATAATATTCTTGCAACCTAAACTTAAGGATTGTTAACACTAATGATCTGAAAGATAGTAGGCTCTAGAAAGGGTCAGACTCTTTTATGTTGTTGTTGTTGTTGTTGATATCTCTCATCAATTAACTTCTTCTTATGGCATTCCATTAAATGAGAGACCTCCAAATAAACCTATCATCAGTAGTCCTGCAGAGATCTTCCAGACTAGAGCAGGCATGGGCAAACTTCGGCCCCAGGTCCTCTAGGAACTGTGGGAGTTGGAAGTCCAAAACACCTGGAGGGCTGAAGTTTGCCCATGCCTGGACTAGAGCCATGGCTTCCTTATTTGAGTCCATCCATCTGGAATTTCCATTCTCTTTTCCTACTGTCTTCATTTTTTCCAGGAATTATTGTCTTTTTAGTGCATCATGTCTGGCCAAATTCTGATACTCAACTTCCAGGGAACATTCAGGATTGATTTGCTCTAAGACCTGTTTATTTTTCTTTCAAGATCCATACACATCTTCTGTAATACCACATTTCAAATTAATCTATTTCTCTTCCTATCAGCTTTCTTCACTGTTCAGCTTTCACAAAAATACTTGGAAATTGGAAATACGATGGCAAGGACAAACCTAACTTTGCTATTAAATGATATATCTTTGTGCTCCAGGATATTGTTTAGTTCCTTAGCAGCTTCACTCCAAATCATAGTCTTCTTCTGATTTTTTGGGTGCAGTTTCCAATCTGGTTAATGCCTGACTCGAGATCTTGATAATCTTGAACTATTTCAGTCTCTCCATTGTCTACTTTAAAGTTATTTAAATTACCTGTTGTCATTATTTTTGTTTTTGTGATGTTTACTTTCGTCTTTGACTTTCTTCAGTAATCATTCCACCTTTTTGCTATTTTCTGCTAGTAGCATGGTATTTATTTATTTATCGTGTCAGGAGCAAGCCAAACAGTTGTATTGCATTTTTTAATAAAAAACAAAACATGAAGTTTGCAAGCTTGGTAGTTGATTAAATGTCCTTTGACCAGTATCTGGCAACTTGGAGTGCCTCTGGTGTTGCTGCAAGAAGGTCCTCCATTGTGCATGTAGCAGGGCTCAGGTTACATTGCAGCAGGTGGACTGTAGTTTGCTCTTCTCCGCACTCGCATGTCGTAGATTCCACTTTGTAGCCCCATTTCTTAAGGTTGGCTCTACATGGAGTCATCTACATATTGTAAAATATTGATATTTCTTCCTCCAGTATTCCGTCTTCCAAGTTTAATTTTGATTTATCTACATTACAATATGTTCAGCATACAAGTTAAACAGATAGGATAATGACAGTCCCCTTAAAAGTAATGGATATTTGATGGCTCTTAGTGCTACCCCTTAAAGGCGGCATTATCATATTTCAATATCCAATTTAGCAATATTATATTAATGGCTGTCTTAAAGGCAGGGCATGTACAACAGACAAACTCTTCAGTATAAATTAGTGTCGCTGGTGTCAGCTTTGCCTGCCTCTCCTGTAGATGGCAGCATCTTACACCCTCTTAACAACAGCAACAAAACAGCCCTGCAGCATCATAATGACAAACTCCAGAGACAGACAAATGAATACAAGTAAAGAGAAATCAGCCAAACAGGATAAAATTAAAAGCTATCAGCATGTTATTTTAGGGGTGCTCCGAGTCTCTCCCCTAAAATCCTCACAATTTCATATTTTAGTTGCACTTCTTGTTCTTTCCAGTACCTGCTATTATAGTAAATCTTCTTGTCTCAAAGTAATATCCCTACCTTGCCCCCTAACCCAGCTACTCAAATGACTTTGTAGATTAGGCAGTGGGGTTATTTATGCTGATGGAACCATTACTTGCTAAGCCTTTAAATCAGAGTTGGGGAATGTGTTGTTCTCCAAATAGTGTTGGGTCGGAGCTCCCCAGTAGCCTTAGCCAACATAGCCAATGTTATGTAATCATGGGAGCTATAGTTTTACAAGCCAGCTCCGCCAAAGGGCAGTTAAACTCTTGTCATACTTCATTCATTCTACAGTGTAGATGCACCCCTCAAGTTACATTTTACTTTTCCAAATGACTAGATGTCCCACTTTGGGGGGGAAAAGCGGTATCCACACATAAGCAAGCAAACAAACAAATATTTTGTTATAGTTGTTGCACTGTACCAATTTATGATGATCTTAAGGCAAACCTATCATAGGTTTTCCATGGTTGAGTGGGAATTCAAACCCTGGTCCCCAGAGTCCTACTTTTACATTGAAGCCACTTTCAATGATAGCTCTCAGTCTATCATAATAACACAAATAATAGCATATATAATTATAATTATAATTATTATAACACATATAATTTATCTATATCTGTTCAGAAAAAAATGTCCCATTGAGCTCAATGGGACTCTTTCCAAGTTGAAGGCTAAATAATTGGGGAAGAGAATTTCACAAGACAAAAGCAAAAACAACAACAGGATAACCTCCGAGTAAAAAATAAATAGTCGGAGAAGAACATATACTTTTGAAGAAAAATTGCTACCATAAATGGAGTTTATTTTCCTGTCAAACCTGAGGATTTCAATGCAGTTCTTTGAATTTTCTTGCAATTCTGAAATTTATGCATTCTGTTCTTGGGTTAGAATGGTCGTGCTGATCTCCCTTTCGACTTCATCACATTGACTAAATTCTAGTACCACACTTAAAATTCAGGAAGCCCCTGTTCCCATCACATTAGTTTGGCCTCAAGTGTAGGAGAGAGCATGCTTTGCGTAGTTTTAAGCATGGAGGCCAGCAGTCCTTTACAACATTTCAGAAGGTGGTGGGGAAATTGATTTTTTGAAATCATCTGGAAGTTTGACCTTTCCTGTAATGTAATGGCATTTGTTGCTCCCAGTTTAAAATGTGGGAAGCAAAATTGTGGGAGGAGCTAAAACACCCGCTCCAGTTAGGAAGAGTTCCGTCGCCGCCATCACTGAGCAAGTAGGTCTTTGCCAAAACAACTTCTACTTTTTAAAGCCCTGGAAATAAGCCCCACTGAGTTCAATTAAACTCTAGTGCCTTTCAGGGCTGTCTGGCTATGTTCCAGAAGCATTATCTCATTATTATCAGAGGCAAGTGGGAATAATGCCATTGGTGACTTTGATTAGCACTGAATAACCTTGCAGCTTCAAATCTTGGCTGCAATTATGCAGTGATGCAAGTATCCCCTAGTAATTTCTTTGTATTTGTTGTTGTTGCTTATTCATTCAGTTGCTTCCGACTCTTCATGACCTCATGGACCAGCCCATGCCAGAGCTCCCTGTCAGCCATCACCACCCCCAGCTCCTTCAAAGTCAAGCTACTCACTTCAAGGATACCATCCATCCATCTTGCCCTTGGTCAACCCCTCTTCCCTTTTCCTTCCATTTTCCCCAGCATCGTTGTCTTCTCTAAGATTTCCTGCCTGCTCATTATGTAGCCCAAGTACTTTATCTTTGCCTCTAATATCCTTCTCTCCAGTGAGCAGTTGGGATTTATTTCCTGAAGTATTGACTGGTTGGATCTTCTCATGGTCCAAAGCATCTATCTTCCTTTGCTCAGCCTTCCTTATGATCCAACTCTCATATCAATAGGTTACTACAAGGAATACCACTGCTTTAACTATGTGGATCTTCATTGCCATTATTATCGAGATTGGTCATTGCTCTCCTCACAAGAAGTAAACGTCTTCAGATTTCCTGGCTGCAGTCTGCATCTGCAGCAATCTTTGCACCTAGAATATGTATATGATTATGAAAGCATTATATAGTGTATATGCACATTTGTTCCCAGAGCACATACAGCTAAGTTGCAGAGTTTGTCTCCCTTTTCCCATGTCAGAAATAACACTGAAATACCTAATTCCTTCCTCCTCTCTTCTTGGCAGCATCCCAAAAGGACAAACTGAGCATGCTCAGAAGTTTCTCAGATCTCGCATTAGTATGGAGGAAGGATGAGATTTCAAAGAGAGGAGGATTTCTTTCAACAAATAATGTGGGGAGAGGGATGGTGGGCGGGGGCTCAGAACTGTAATGTGATGAGAAAGTAACTCAAAGGAGGCTGATACATACTTAGTTGCATGGAAGTGTGATGAGGGTAAGCAATTCTACCATTTCATAGGAAAATGGATCTCTACTCAGCCAAACGTTTTCATCCATTTAATTGCCTTAAAGTCCATCGTTTTGAAGGTTTGTTTTTGTCATTCCTGATTAACTAGAATGATTCAAACACCAGTTTCTTAGACTTTTCTTTTTCATGAAGTCTCCTTCTTTGCTCAAATAAAGAGATGAAGGCAGTGGGAGCTTTTCTGCCTTCTCTCCTGAGGTTTTTCTGGGTCAGGCAACACTTGAATCTCCAGTGGAATTCTTGCTGTTGCCAGTAAAGGCTGCAGAAGGGCTATGCCAAATCAGCGCATTCTCAGCTGCTCCAGCCAGCCACTTTTCTGGGCTTCCCAGGATTTTAAAAGCTGTTCTGTTCTCTGTCAAGCATCACGTTCTCCCTCCTGGGAAAGGCTTGTGCATGTAGAAATCCTCAGAGCCAAAACTGCAGGGGGCATGCCAGCTTGTCTTCTTTAGTAATATTGAAAGCAGAAGAAAGAGCTAGTATGATCTAGTGGGTATAGAAGCTCGGAAATCTGCATTAGGAAGCTGCATTCAGACAGACCAGACCCCACTGATAAACCTTCTGAAGTAGCTGTCCTTATGCCAGCATTTTGGGTGTCCTGAAAAGATAGCAAACTGTGTGTTCCTGACTTTGATGTGATTCATATTATTTGTCTATCTTGTGTGCCAAAATAACTTGGCTAGCTTTATTACACTGCATCTTAACTTGGTAAGTGGGGGAATGCCATTTGCTGATCTTCACTAGCCAGCAAAAGGTCTTGGGCTTGCTCTACAGTCTGTCATATGGGTGAGCAACACATTGGCTGGCAATGGCTGTCTAGGATTTCAAAACTGGCTCTTTCTCTAACTCATTTGACACCTTTAATGCATTTCTACTATTGAACTATGGATCCTAAGTCCCTACTGTTTTAAGAAACAATTAATTACACTTAAGCTAGTGGCTATTTCTACTTATCAGCTGTACAATGAGAGTGACAGGCTAAGTTGATAGTGAGATAGCTCAGGTTAAAACTTGCGTAAATCCTATGCTTAAGATCTTTAATATGCATCATGGATAACATTACAGGTTATTTCCAATAAGAACAAAAAGAGGAATGATGAGTCAGATCAAAGACTTGTGTGGCCCGGCGTTCCATTCTCATGATGGCCAACCCAAACCATTGACTTTTTAGGAGGTTGGGTGCTTAACTGCAGTTCATTTTTTTTCTGGCAACTAGTATTCATAATGCATCTAATGCCCAGGAAAATATATACCCTTTGTGATTAGTAGCTGTTGATAGCCCAAACTTACCAGCAGTGATAAAACATCAAACAGCCTGAATAGATGCAAAATCAAGAACACAGTGTTGCCAAATCAGGCATGAGAGTACTCATATCTTCTAATCTCTATGTTAACAATACACAACCCATGCCCCTTGCTCCAAATACCTCGAGTGCATTCCCCAGTATGTCTTGATCATGCCAATTTCACACAGATGACTTGTTTCTTTTCTGCTGCTGACAGCAAGGTAAGTTTCTCAAGTCGCTCCTGACACGAAAAAAAGCAAGGAAAGGGCAATCTGTATCAGGGTTGCTGGGATAAGGAATAGAGAACGTTTTTTTTCACCTCTTCCCAAGAAATCCTGGTACATACTGGTTAAACTGGGGCACATTTCATGCACTTTGACGCCAAACAACGCTCCTTGAAAACAGCTCCTCTTTTGTAGAGTACGTTATGTCCACTACAAAAGGCTAGGGGATGATGAGATTCCGAAATGGTGGTAGAACATAATAAGCTGTCCATGGAGCTCTGCATCACACCAAGTTGAAGTTGCATGCTAATAGCTTTGGATTTCAGAGTATTTTAGATCTTTGGAGAAGGTATATTCAATCTGTAGTGACTCTTATCTTTCACCCCCAGGGATAATTTTTTGGATTTTATATTTTCAGATAACGGATACAAAAAGCTCCATCTTCCCAACAGATAATTTTCATAACCTAAAAGATAACATGCAGAATCCGTTCTGTTCTCATGGTCTTTTGAGATATTATTTGATTTCTACACAGTTCTATGTCCATAAATAACAGTTACATTTTCTAACCCATAATTATATAAATAGAGGATCTGGTATAGTCATTCCTCCACATTCACTGGGGATAGGAGTGTAGGACCTCCATTGAAGTGGGAAAACTGCAAAAAAAATTATTTATTTATTTTAACAAGAGGTAAAATTTCTTAGGAATCTCGGTGTTCTCCAGCACAACCCTGTCTATGGTCAACCTCTGTCAGAGGACTGATTGGATATTTATAGTTTACTGTAGTAATACAGTATGTATAACTCTAAAATATCATGGCTTTTCTAAGTGTGTTTCAGTCAAGTAATGATGACATACCCATTTACAGGAAGATTAAAGAATCAAGTTTGAAAAATCATCAATTGTGTCCTTCCTTTCAGCTGGAGCCAGTTGGAGATAAACAGACATATAATAACTTCACGTATGGGAGGAAGAGACTCAAGTGTCCAACCCCAGTAAGTAACAAAGGTCTATAGAAACAACCTAAAGAAATGACATATGACAATTAAGAAGACTGCCCTGGATCTGGAGGTTGAGAAAGAGTACTTCTTTGAACTGCAGCTCCCATAATCTTTTAGCCAGCATAGCCAGATATAGTGTACTTGTGGTTCACAATGGAAAGAAAACTTAATTGGAGGTTTACAAGATGAGATGCCAAATATCCAACATTAAATCCCTTCTCTCTGTGTGCCCCCCCCCCCCAAATGCTATTCAGAATTAATTGGTCTCACTTGGAGATTAACTCACCACCTCCTATCACACAGTGTTTTCAATGAGCAGATACTGGATCAATTGCTTTGACAAGCTGGAATGCATCCAGCGGAGGGTGACTAAAATGTTCAAGGGTCTGGAGAACAAGCCCTATGAGGAGTGGCTTAAAGATCTGGGCATGTTTAGCCTGCAGAAGAGAAGGCTGAGAGGAGACATGATATCCATGTATAAATATGTGGTGGGAAGTCATAGAGAGGAGGGAGCAAGCTTGTTTTCTGCTGCCCTGGAGACTAGGAAGCAGAAGGGTGGTTTCAAATTACAGGAAAGGAGATTCCGCCTGAACATGAGGAAGAACTTCCTGACTGTCAGAGCTGTTCAGCAGTGTGATAGAGGCTCCTTTTTTGGAGGCTTTTAAACAGAGGCTGGATGGCCATCTGTCAGGGGTGCTTTGAATGCAATTTTCCTGCTTCTTGGCAGGGGATTGGACCGGATGGCTCACAAGGTTTCTTCCAACTCTATAATTCTTTGATTCTACTTCTTTCAAACTCTGTTGTCAAACATCTTCACAACTCTAAAGCAGCGGTCCCCAAATATTGGATCTCCAGCTGTTTGGATTTAAGCTCCCAGAATCCCAGTCATTTTGGAAAACAGTCAGAAATTTGGAACTGAAGTCAAAAACACTGGAAGACTGAAGTTTGGGAAACACTGCTCTGGGGTGTTGTTTGCCCCATTAGAGAAGGCTTATTTATATAGGTTTCCTTAATAAAGCAAAGAGCAATTGATAATAAGAAGATACACAGGTTTTATGAGAAAGTTTATGATAGAAACCAAGGAGTTTCTGCATCATCAGAGATGGATGGTAATCCTGTCAGGGATGCTTTGATTATGCTTTTCCTTCATGGCAAGGGATTGAACTGGATGGCCCGTATGGGGTGTTTCAACTCTATATTCTATGTTTCTATAATTCTATGAACATCTGACCTTGCCAGAGGCCGAGAAGAAGAACAATGGTGGTACTCATATTTAGGACAGCAGGCAGGAGATTGTACCAGACTGCGATAAAGGAAGCTCTTGTTAATTCTGATATATTTAATTCCCCCTGACGTATATTTTGAACACATTAAATAGAGTCATCTCATGAGGTTTATATAACATCCAAACCATCTGCTTGCTCAAAACAGCCCAGGCAAGAGTACATGAAACCAGGTTATCTTTCAGATTTCATAACCTTTAACATTTTATGGATGAAAATTGAAACGCTTGTGATCATACAACATCCGAGTGCACTCAACATGGCAAGCATATGAGGAAGAGCGTCCAAACTATGGGAAGTTGTAGTTGTAAATAAACAGAAGCTTTACCACTGTTTCTGAACCAAAATATACCCTGCAGTATAATAATGTGTCACTCAGAATTGGGTAACGAGTAATAGTAACTTTACTTCAGTTCAAAAGGTCAAACCGAGCAACAATATACACAACAGTCTCTCTGAATTCTCACAGAGAATAGGGGGAATAAACAGTCCTTTCATACAGTGCTTCAAGCCCCAGAAATCATCAGGCTTCAGAGAGTTGGCAGCCATTTCCTTCCTAGCTCTTCCCAGTCAGCACTCTCTTCACTCTCCGAGGTGAAAGTGGCAGTTAAAACCATTTGTCTCAGCAGCATGCTAGAGACAGTAGCCAATCAGAATTCTGGCTCCTAGCATGCTCAGCCAATCAGCTGCCGACCCAAGCCTTTCCAGTCAACCCATCACATCATGGCGCCTTTTCACAAATCCTCACACAACCTACGACAGGCTAAAGCAGTTTGCTTTTGCTTAAACTGACTGGAAAGGGCAGGATTCCTCCTCTTCCTGGTCTCTCCCACACTGCTGAATTAATTGAGGGCAATTGAAATAAGCTGAAGACAAAGGGAATAACTGCCAGGAAAGAAAGAGAATACGGAGCATTTAAAATAGCTGAAAAAGTGGGACAGCAGAGGATTGAGACTGTCCCTGCCAAATCAGGCCAGTTGAGTTTGAAATTCACAGCATTCACACTGCCTTTGGCCTCTTGAGAGCTGAAGTCCATGCAAGTAATATTTCTAAGCAATAGGATAGAGAGATTCATGGGAACACTTTTAAGAGGCAAATTTTTAAAAGAGGAAGGGAAATCAGAGTAATGGGAAGCAGTTTCCCCTTGAGGTTAACTAATGAGAGAAGAAATGAGTTTTGCTTTGCCTAATGAGTGAAAAGAACAAAAGCTTCTGCCATAATTCATTAATGCAGGTAAAGAATGGCGATCGTAGCCTTGTAGAGATTTCAGACAGTTTTGTATCCTGTTCTGCTGACAAAAGTACATGTCTTTGGAAAGGCCTGTTAACCTGGATTTTGTCCCTAAACTCCCCATCTTCTTCATTAAAAAGGGGAGAGAGAAAATCATTTCGCTAACGTTGATTTGAGTTGCTGCTTGCATACTCCCAGTTGGAGGTTTAAAATAAATGTGCTAAAAGCTGTGCTGATCCAGCAGAGGCCAAATGCAAAGACTGGAAGGGAGTAAACATGCTGACGGCTCATGGAAGTGTTAAGAGTGAGGATGAATGTTTTTGCTATATGAAATGGGAAGAACTGCAGTTTTTCCTCATTAGGCAACCTCAGCCTAATTTAATACAATTCTTTGCCTAATTTCAAAAGCCCCAATCAGTACAGACTCCTGAGTACAGACTTTCTGAGTGAGAAGAAAGAGGGAGGAAGTGCAAAAGGGGTGATAGAAACAATAAAGGAGAGGGTAAAGGATGACAGAAAGGCACTTTCATATCACACAATTAAAATACCATGATTCTATTGACAAGCCAATATTGTGAGGAATCCTGGGATTTGTTGTTTAGTGAGCCAATGGTATTCTGACTGAGAATTCTAAATAACCCACCCTAAACTCCATATCTCAATATTCAACAGCCCTAGTTAAAGTGAAATATAGCACCATTATGGGGTGGTATGAACAGGCCTGGAATAATCCTCATAAATTTTATTTTGGTACTACCTACCACTCATCTCTGACTGTGAAGCAGAATGTAATACAATATAATACTAATTATAATATAATATTATATTATATTATAATTATATATTTTATATTACATGTAATATTACTAATAATATTACAATATAATGGTATAGTACAATATAGTAATATATAATACTGATATTGTACTATGCTAATAATATACTATATTGTGTGTGTGTGTGTGTGTATAATATCTTGTAAGCCGCTCTGAGTCCCCTTTGGGGTGAGAAGGGCAGCATATAAATGTCGTAATAAATAAAGAAATAAATAAACTTGGATAAGTTACTCGTTTTTGGACCTCAGTGTACAGAATCCCTTAGTTCAACTCGTAACTTGGGAGTTTTTAAAATTATTATCAGGTCTGGGTTGTTGTAGGTTTTTCCGGGCTATATGGCCATGTTCTGGAGGCAATTTTTCTCCTGACGTTTCGCCTGCATCTATGGCAAGCATCCTCAGAGGTAGTGAGGATGCTTGCCATAGATGCAGGCGAAACGTCAGGAGAAAAATTGCCTCCAGAACATGGCCATATAGCCCGGAAAAACCTACAACAACCCAGTGATTCCGGCCATGAAAGCCTTCGACAATACATTTTCAGGTCTGTTTCCAAATCAGGGAATGCAGCACAGAAAAAATCACTCTATAAGAAGGAATACTTTGTTTTTCTATATTTGTCATCAGCCCAAACAGTGGAAAGTCTTTGGTGTTTGAGTAAGAGTAAAGGGAAAGTACAGTTCCATGGTAACACAGCGATTAAAAGTTGCTAGCTGTAGGAAAAGCCATGAGTCAGGATGAGCTTTCTACTGTTTAGTCCTAGCATCTGCCAAAAAAGTGCCCCATGCAGACATGCCAGCAAAAAGATCAGAGATGTCTGCAGACAGCAGGCTCCTTCAGCATGGAAAATAGAAAAAGAGCACCACCCCATGGCCAGAGTTGAGCATTGCCTCCAGACGCCGGAAATGGAAAAGGGGAAGGTCTTTGCCTTATCTGTGTATTGTATGTCATTGTTTGTGTAAAAGGCATCGAATGTTTGTCTTATATGCATACTGTAATCCCTCCAGGCCCAGGGAAATAAAGAGGAATATAAATAAAATTGGGGGGGAGGGGAAGAGAAATAAGTCATAGTAAATGTCATCTGAGTGTGTGAAGAATAAAGAAATAGGATTTTAAAAAAGAAGAAGAAGAAGAAGAGAAATGCCCCTTTCTTCTTATTTGTTTTGGAATCCACAGAATGTGTGCCTCTTCCATGCCCTAGGAAAGGCATGCATATAGAAAATGCAGACTAAATGCATCTTCCTATACATATCCTGAGACCCTTCTCTTTCTGTTTCAGGAACAGCCCTTTTTTTTTACGTCAAAAAACAGCAAAACAAAGAGTCCGGAAAATGAAGCCGGGAGCCACAGTGACGGGGTGGCTTTATGGTCTGTGATTGTGGCAGCAGTAGTTGGAACTGCGATAGGAACCTGCCTGGGTTGGCTTTGGAGAATCCGCCAACGCCAAAGGTCAACATCCACAAGCCATACAACAGCACTTTAAATATGCTGCACCAAGGAGATAGGAAAAAAAACACCTCCCTCCACCAGGATTGAAGGAGTGCCAACTATGCATCATTACAGCTTTGCACATGCTGATTTTAAATGAACTTTTTCTTAAAGTAAAAGAAGATCGAACAACCAAGACATCATGGTGATGAGTAACAGACCAGAATTTAGAGGATAGGATTTTAAAGAGTGGAAAATTAGAGCAAGAACATTGAAAATTTAATCTGGTTTCTCTGATTTTAAGTAGGGTGATATTTTTATTACATAATTTCTGTAACTCGTTCATGAAGCATTACAGACTACTGGTGTTCCCCAACAATTTCTTCAAATCTTTTTTTTTTAACCTCAGAAAATCAGGGAAGAAGGAAACTACAAGGCCTTTAGAGCTATAGCATTAGAAGATTTCAATTTGGATATTTGTTAATGAAACAGAGATTTTAAGATTCTATACTGTGATTAAATATTCATGTCACATTCTTCCTAAAATTGTTAACATAGTCAGGAGGCTGTCTTATTAAGTGATATTTTTTGAATAAATTTAAAAGTGAATCTATGCCCTGTGATAAGCAACCTTCTCCATATTTATTTTTTCAAATACTGAGAATCATAGCTATGAATGCTGACCTTTTAATAAAAGCAGATAAACCTGAAAGAAACTAAAAATAAAACATTAAGTAACAAACTCTGGGAAGGGCTTAATGAATACAATAGCCAGCAGTGTTTAAGAATAAGGAAGAATTAGTCAGGTTGCCAAACTGGCTGAAGAGTGATTAAAGTAAATATTGTTCAAAAGTTACGTTCTGTCTGTCCATTTATATAAACAAACACAGTATCATTAAGGTTAAAATTTCCCCAGGCAATGTGAGAGATGAGTTAATGCGGGCTGAATATCTCTTATCCAGAAATCAAATATCCTCCAAAATTCAACAGTGTTCACAAAGGTGGCCAAGGTAGCAACACATTTGTTTTCCGATAGTTCAAGGTACACAAACTTTGCTTCATACACAAAATAATTAAAAATATTGTAGATAAAATTGCCTTCAGGTTATGTGTTTGTGTGTGTATGTAACAAAAATTAATTTTGTGTTTTAACTTGGGTCACATATTCAAGTTGTCTCATTATGTACATACAGTATATGCAAATACAGGTTTTCTAAAATCCAAACAAACCCCACACAAACCACTTCTGCTCCTAAACATTTTAGATATGGAATAATGAACCTGTTTATGTAGACAAAACACAGTGAACTATAAATAGTAGCTGTTAAAATAGAAAAGGGTCAGTTAAAAGCAGCTTGAAACAGAAAAACTCCTGCATTTAGAGAAGGGAATTTTATAAATATAGGGCTGAAAAGAAGCATTTCTTAAGGCCAAATAAATTGATGTTTCTTGATTAAGTGCATAATCCTTTTTGGCATAATTTTCAATGAAAAATTAAATAATTTATTCTTACTGTTCAAAATTATTGAACAAAATTATTATTATTATTATTATTATTATTATTATTATTCATAATCTTCCGAGAATCAATATTAATCATGTCAAGATACTCTATGACAGGGGTCCTCAAACGTTTTAAACAGAGGGCCAGGTCACAGTTCCTCAAACTGTTGGAGGGCCGGATTATAATTTTGAAAAAAGCATGAATGCATCCTTATGCACACTGCACATATCTTATTTGTAGTACAAAAAACACTTAAAGCAATACAATAATTAAAATGAAGAACAGTTTTAACAAATATAAACTTATTGTTATTTCAATGGGAAGTGTGGGCCTGCTTTTGGCTGATGAGATAGGATTGTTGTTGTTGTTGTTGTGTGCTTTCAAGTCTTTTCAGACTTAAGTTGACTGTGAGCAAGGGCCAGGTAAATTACCTTGGAGGGCCGTATCTGGCCCTCGGGCCTTAGTTTGAGGACCCCTGCTCTATGACATAGGAGTATGTACTTCAGTGGACACTGTGCAGGGAGGAGGCAGGAAGCCATGCAGGCACCATTTGGCTGCAAAGAGGTTGGCTGAAGAAAAGGGTCAAGGTTTGCCCTCTAGATTTCCAGTTTARTGCATCCAGCATAACTATGATATCTAAGGATCCTTCTACACAGGCCCTAAAATATGGGGGGGGGGGGATAAAAGGGGGTTGGYTAAATGACATTTGCCAAAAATGTGTGCTGTATCGCATTAACAGAAAAAAAGATGTGCTTAAACTCCGATTTTGGCCAGCAAACATGCTTATTCACTTCACTGAATATCCCTGCACTCAAGGAAAACACATGACTTTGTTCCTATACACTAGTGTGGACTGTTCCAGTTCATGTCCGCATTTTAAAATACTGAAACAGCTGATTAAGGCTTTAAGCAAATGGAAGCATAGACACATAGGTGGCTAAACGGAAGCACAATTGGAAAGCAATTACTATGAGAACACCTTGCAAACATACCTTTGTTTTGATTTTCATGAAATTAAACAGAGCTTGAATTTGCACAATTGGCACCAGCATGACAGGCAAGTAACCCCAAATGGAAATGTGGTTCAAGAGAGCAAATGTAAAGGCAGCAGAGAATGAGGAGAGAGAATGATAGGAAATATGCTTATGTGTACATTAAGATATGCGCATCAGCACTTATAAAGTCTAGCAGATCTCAGAGAGTCAATTTTTTAAAAATAAAAATAAACTTTTCCCCATCTATCTTGTAGATTTCTAAAATGTGCCAGGACACCAGGGGAGCATTTACTGGGAGTAACAGCTCCATGTCTTGATTTGCTGTCTGATAATGCAATATTTTGCCCCACTTATTTGTCCCGCCTTATGATGCTGTCTGGAAGTACCCTAAGAGGACAATTGCCTTTTTTCTCAACTGCCCAACTGCAACCAGGTATTGCTCAGGCACCTCTAGAAAGGAATGGGATTCCTAATTATGATAAGGGTTATGCATTATGCTGATTTTTAAGACAGCGGTGATGGGAAAGACAATGAATGGTGTAGGAAACAGCTTGGAAATTCTATTTTGAAGGCAACCTATCTCTTTTCACAGGATTGACCAATATATTATAGTTTTCCCCAACTTAGAGCCCTCCAGATTACAATTTCTACCCACCCACACAAGGTTGCAGATAATATAAATTGTATACTAACAATTTCAAGCAGATTGGATCTGATTGGACTTCAGATTGGATCTGTAGTCCAATCAAGTTTGTGGTTTGGAACAGCTTGCTGACTTTGAAAATTAAAGATCTTCAAGGAAACACCAGTTGCTAGCAAATTTACATCTCAAACATATCACAGTGCTGAAGCTCAGGTTTACATCATTTGAAGGATGGTAGTGACCCATAAATGTGCCCATGTTTTAAGAACTTCTTAGGAGGATCTTCACTCTGTTCCACCACTCTCACAGGGACATCTGGTGTGAACAATGGAGATGGCCTTCTCAATAGCTGACCCCAAAATCTGGAACACCCTTCCCAGAGAAATTAGACTTGCACTCAGTATAATGTATTGAACACTGATTTTTGTTATTTTTGTTTTAAATGGTCTATTTGATAGTGTAATTTTTTTTAAGTTTTGGAAGCTTAGTATTTTTGTTGTGACTGTTGGGAGCTGCCTTGGGTTCTGGACCAGAAAAAGGTATGATGTAAATAAATATAATTGTCATCACCACCAGTCATGCATCAGCATCACCAATAACAGATTCTCACTGCATATGACCATTTTGTCATGCTAGCTGTGGCATTACCCAGTCCTGTTTAATTAATCTCTTAGCATCTAACATCCCCCTCCCCCAAGAGAGGGAGGGTGTATTTAAAGTCATAACTGTATCTTAAAAGAAACAAAGGCAGAATCTTGTTGAGGTCTCATACATGCCTAGGTTCCCCTTCAGAAGCAGTTACATTTTTTTGTCTGATGCAGAAAATCTTTTTGACTAAATGGGAGTTAGAGTTAAAGTAAACAGAATTATTTGGGGGGGGGGGCGGGTAGAAGAAAATTGAGGTATAGAGAAGTGAGGATAGAATGAGAAAGAGGATGAAAGAAAGAAAAAGAAATAGCGAGATAGGTATGGAAGGTCAAGACAATTCAAAGAGCTCAGAAGGCATGAGAAAAAGAATGTGTAAGAGAGTAGGACTAAGGAACGATCCACTCAACAGAGATGTAGGAGGGAACAAGAAGGTGAAAGAGATGGATACAAAAGATGGAGTGGAGATTCATACAAAGGTTGTGGGTTGGAGAATGGAAAACGAAAAAGGAAAGCGGGATAAGAAAGAGTGCCATTGTGTGTGGTGGTGATGGGGAGAAACAGGACAATGAAAGAGGAGAACAAAGGAGAAGATATAGATAGGCATTGGCAAGAGAGAAAAGTGAGAAGGAAAAGATAATGAGTTTTTGGGAAGGAGAAAAAGAAGGAGTAATGGATAGAAAGAGGAGTGAAACCAAGGAAGCAAGTGCCTAAGCAGAAATGATGAACAAAAATCTTTGTTCCAGACAGTCTCTGCCTCCTCTAACTCCTGAAACACACATGGAGTGTGCCAATGTGTGTTTCCGACCAAGAAAAAAATGGGAACAGAATTGAGAAAGCCAACATCAGGCCAGAAAAAGCCCTAAAACCGCTATCTTGCATCACTATGTTCAACCATTTACATGGCAGGGAATATGGAGGTAGTTTGTCCTGATCCCTGGTGCCAGCTTTGAGAAGAGGAGTAGGAGGGTTATTTCTTTTACTTAAGACTCAGTAAGTAAATTTCACAGTGGTTTTATGAAACACACAGCAACAAGGGTCATTGTGAGAAGTCCAGTTTTATTCTCCTGCAGTTATTCTTTACCAAGACACCTTCTGTGAGCAATAAATATTACCCATGCATTCCAAAGGGTGCTGAGAAACATTACAGAAATGTCAACAACGTTTGTAACAGTGTTTTCTAGAGGCTGCAACAAAGGCTGGATACAGAAAGGCAACGTGTGATTATATTGTTAATTGTTGAATGTAAACAAGAGGCAGGCTAAGGAATGGGCTTCAGCTCTGCAGCCTAATTGCCAGGCTGACTCATTTCATTCTTGTGCAGAGGAAGGCTTAGTTGCCAGCTTTGAGGGTTGGCATGGCACCTGGCTTGGAATGAATGAGGAGCAAGACGCTCTGTTGCTGTAGCCCATCGCAGGACCAGCAGGAACACTTCCCCTCCTGCCACAGAGATCTGGAATAACAGCCTAGTTAACTTAATCATGGCTGGAGACTGATAAAGCCAGGCTCAAAAGTAGGGTCTGGTATAGACAGACTCAGAAGTACAATCTGCTCCCCGGTGAACAATGCCACCCACAGCTCTTACAGAGGTTTCAACATCAATGCTTTTGAGCAAGTGCTGTCAATCGGGCAGAATTTTATAGTCCTGACTAGGATGAGGCCTTTCCTGATCAGCTGCCAACACTAGAGGTTGTAAAGCACACACACCACAAAATGAAAACAAAATCCAGCTGGGCCAGGGATTTTGTTGCTCTTCTTGTGCTTATGCATGAGTTGACATTATGCATGCACACTGAATGCATCATACTGAGTTTCTCCATTTAGA